AGAAAGGTATAAAAAGACAAAAAACATCATAGTATAGTCAGGCATAAAAACGTCGAATTATAATAATGTAAAATATTCATAGAATAGTGAGACATAAAAATTCATAGTATAGTGAGGAATTAAAAGTCATAGAAAAGTAAGGCATAATAATCATAGTATAATAAGGCATAAAAAGTAATTGAAATTCATACTTTGGTAAGGCATAAAAAGTCATACTATTGTAAGGCATAAGAATTCATAGAATAGTAAGGCATAAAACATAGTATAGTAAGGCATAAAAAGTAATAAAAACCTCATTTATAGTAAGGCATAAAATGTCATAGTTTATTAAGGTATAAAAGGTCATAAAAAGTCATACTATTGTAAGGCATAAAAAATCATAGAATATTAAGGAATAAAAAGCCATAGAATAGTAAGGCATAAAACGTCATAGTATAACAAGGCATAAAAAGTCATAGTATAATAATGTAAAAAAAGTCATAGAATAGTTAGGCATAAAAAGTCATAGTACAGTAAGGTATTAAAAGTCATAGCATTGTTAGGCATAAAAAGTCATAGAATAGTAAATCTTCAAAAGTCATACTATAGTGAGGCACAAAAGTCATAGTATAGTACGTCATAAAAAGTCATAAAAACTTAATAGTATTGTAATGAATGGAAAGCCATAGTATAATAAGGCATAAACAGCGATAATATAGTACCGAAAAAAAATAATTGAAAATGTATAGTATATTGATATGAAATGTCATAAAAATGTAATAGTATAGCAAAGTATAAAACATTATACTACAATAAGGCATAACAAATCAAAAAAAGTCATAGCCTAGTAAGGTGTAAAATGTCTTATAAATTTCATATTATACTAAGATATAAAACCTCTAAAAAAATAATAGTATGGCAACGTATAAAAACCTCTTTTTATCATAATATAATAAGGAATAAAAAGGACCAAAAAGTCATTGTATATTAAGGCATAAAATGTCATAAAAAAAGTCATAATATAGTAAGTCATAATACGTCATAGTGTAGTAAGGTATAAAAAGGCAAAAAAGTCATAATACAGTGAAGCTTAACAAGCCATAGTATAATGATACATAAAAAGACAGTAATACTAAATAATACTATAGTGAGTTATAAAAAGTGATACCACAGTAGTGCATGAATAGTCATAGTATGATAAGGCATAAAAGGTCATACTACAGTGAGACATAAAAAGTCCTAGTATACTAAGGTATAAAAAGTAAGAAAAACGTCATATATAGTATGGCATAAAACATCATAGTATATTAAGGTATAAAAAGTCATTAAAAGTCATGTATAAAACGTAATGTTATTGTAAGGCATAAAAACTCATACTATATTAAGGTAAAAAAAAAATTCATATCATAGTAAGGCATGAGAAGTACTAAAAATATCATGTATAGGAAAGCATAAAGCGTCACAGTATAATAAGGAATAAAAAGTCAGAAAAAGTCCTAGTATAATAAGTCAGAAAAATGTAATTGTATATTAAGTTACCTAAATTATAATCTTATTATATTAGAACAAATGTCATATCATATTACATTAAAAAAATTGTCTTAGTATAATAAGTCATAAAAATGTCATGTTATTTAAATGTCATTACGTGTAAGGTCAAAAGACAGTCAAGTATATGGAGTCATGAAAAAATTTTGTATTATATTCAGTCAATAAAAATACCATGACATTTTCAATGACTCACTGTAGTATAGTAGATTATACTTAGTATGACACAGTATTCCATAGCATACTTTATGACTGTGTAAACGACGATACATTTTGAGTATCTATACTATGGCATGTTTTTATGACTTAGTATACTATGGCATATTTATGTGTCATAGTATTCTACTAAATGAGATGAAAATCTTGTGAGCTGCTGGAAGGAGGTTGAGGACACTCAGATTATTAGACAGGCATTTATTGATGTTTGATGCACAGAGGAGAAGAGAGAAGAGCAGTACAAGTTGCAACATGAAAACATTACAGTGTTAACATGAAACATTACAGTGCTAATATGAAGACATTACAGTGCTAACATGAATCATTACAGTGTTAACATGAAAACATTACAGTGCTAACATGAAACATTACAGTGCTAATATGAAGACATTACAGTGCTAACATGAATCATTACAGTGTTAACATGAAAACATTACAGTGCTAACATGAAACATTACAGTGCTAACATGAAACATTACAGTGCTAATATGAAAACATTACAGCAGTAACATGAAGACATTACAGTGCTAACATGAAAACATTACAGTGCTAATATGAAAACATTACAGCAGTAACATGAAGACATTACAGTGCTAACATGAAACATTACAGTGCTAATATGAAAACATTACAGCAGTAACATGAAGACATTACAGTGCTAATATGAAAACATTACAGCAGCAACATGAAGACATTACAGTGCTAACATGAAAACATTACAGTGCTAATATGAAGACATTACAGTGCTAACATGAATCATTACAGTGCTAACATGAATCATTACAGTGCTAATATGAAAACATTACAGCAGTAACATGAAGACATTACAGTGCTAACATGAAGACATTACAGTGCTAACATGAAAACATTACATTGCTAACATGAAAACATGACAGTGCTAACATGAATCATTACATTGCTAACATGAAAACATTACATTGCTAACATGAAAACATTACAGTGCTAACATGAATCATTACATTGCTAACATGAAAACATTACAGTGCTATCATGAAACATTACAGCGGTAACATGAAGACATTAAGAGTTCTAACATGAAACTTTACAGCGCTAACATGCAACTTTACAGTGCTAACATGAACACATTAGAGAGGTAACATGAAGACATTACAGTGCTAACATGAAGCTAACACTTTGAGCTAGCATCTTCTAGCTCATTCCCTCCACTGAACCAAACTTCTCTATCTGACACAACAGATTTTATTTTTTGTCAGTCAACGTCAACAGATCAAACAAAACAATGTCAATACAGAAAGTTATTCCAATTTCTAATAGGTTTCAATATATTTTTTTACATCTATGTACATATAAAGTAAAGAAGTATATTTCATATGTGGATATTCAATATATGCACATATATTATATTTGGTAGGAGGTAAACTGAATACACTGAGGGTGGATTTTATTTATAGATTTCATAAAGACGCACACAAATCTTTAAAAAAATACAGTGTTTTATAGGATTATCATGTTTTCCATTTTTAAAATCTTGATCTACTACTAATCTGTCAGTCTCTTAATGTAATCCCACACTGACTCCATGATGCTGAGATCAGGTCTCTGTGGGGACCAGACCATCCAGGTGGTCTGGGTTGTTCTTCTGTGAACACTCAACTTGACTAGTGATAACACAGCGAGCAGGAATCAGCTGACTCAGGAGACTCTCACACCTGGGGCACATCACTCACCTGAAGATGAAGATCTGAAAGCAGAAAATAGTCACATGGTTTTTAGAATTAAACATCCAACAAAAAATCAGAGTAAAGAAGGTTTGTCTTTGTGGTGAAGATAAGACACTATTCACCAGAAAGTATCAGGTATATTTGAAAGAAAATAAAAATTATATAAAGTGAAATTCCAATACAGAGGTTGACACATCATGTCTAGTTTCTGTTATATGACCATTATGATGGAAAACAAGCTGGTTTTACTCTCATTTCTTATTTACTCAGTTAATTTAATTCTTTTTATTCTTTACCTCCATTACTTTATTTGTTACTTGTTTCACGTTAATGAACTTTGTAACTTAAAAGATAAAATATATTATTATTATTATTATTATTGTTATTATTGTTATTATTATCACAGCATCAGCATGTGGGGGAATCTAGGCAGATAGATAGATAGATAGATAGATAGATAGATAGATAGATAGATAGATAGATGATAGATAGATAGATAAACAATAATAGTTAAATGAGTCCAGTTGTGGCTGATGGCAGTGACACCTGTTGATGGGCAGAGTTTAAACAGTGCGTTATCTAACCTGAACTTTTCCACTGTATCATTTCCACACTGTGTTTAAATCAGTCAGTTGCAGCAGCAGGTTTATCTGATGAGCTGAGTTTTACAGTGGAGCACATTCCTGGTGGAGGGATGGGTGATGGATGATTGACAGCTGAGTCATGGTTGTTACCAAATGCTGTTACCAAACTACGAAGCAGCGGCAGGACGACACCTGGAGCTCCGAGCGGCCAACAGGCCAATGAACAGACTCACAGAGAGAGAGAGAGAGAGAGAAAGAGAGAGAGAGGGAGAGAGAGAGAGAGAGAGAGTCAGGATGAAGTGATTGAACAAATGAAGCAGAAGACTGGAGTTGTGTAAACACAGATTGTTGGTGTGTTGTAACGGCCGGCTGGTGTTGGGGGGTGGGGGGGGGGGGGGGTGTTGGCTTTGACTCACAGGGACAGCCTCTGCCTCCTTTTGGTCAGCAGTTATTTAATGAGTTGGGGACTGTGGTCTGTCCAGCTCAGACAAACTGCAGCGCTTCACTCATGAAAGCAGCAAAGACTCAGAACTGAGTTTTACTGAGCTGCCATCAAACATCACATTGATCACTATCAAAGACCGATCAACACTGACGGGGTTGACTGACAGGGTGGAGGTTGCATAAATGGCTGCCATGTCCCATCATGCCCCCTGAGGGTCCTGACCAGCCAATGGGGAGCGTCGGGGGGGTGATGATGCAGGTGGTCCCCCCTGGTATAAAAACCTAAACCACCATCTGGGCCCTCCTGAGCAGTTGGAGCATTCCCAGCCTCGCCTCGGGTGGAGGGATTGCGAGGAGGGAAAGCAAAACTACACGGCCTCTCACTGTGTAGTTTTGTTTTTTGTTCGGGGTGGGGGATATTTCAAGGCTTGACCGTTCTCATCTTGGATTTTTCTGAAAAAACCTTTCTGGATAAGGAGACTGTTGCTTGTCAGAGTCAGCTGGGCTCCGTCCCATCAGTCGCAGGCAGCCTTGTGGAAACAAGTGAGTAACGTCCCCGTGTCCCCGTACGTCCCGCAGCGTCCCCCTGTCTGTACAGACTCATGTGGTTTATGGGGAGCGGGCTCAGACCGGGGGTTCGGGGTCGTGGTTTTGTTGAGCTCTCTTTGCCTTTTGGTGTTTTTGTGTCACTTTGACGTGTTTCTGTGTGAAGTTGGACGGGGCCGCGTGCAGCGAACTGAGCAGTGATCTGAGAAAAGCCAAGAATAGCCGCTGATAGCATGAGAGTGGACTGTCAGCTGGGGGCTGATGGCTTTTTAAGGGAATCAGCAGCAGGGCTATCACTTGCACCTCCAGCTATGTGCCACATGGTGGCTGTCAATCAAACTGCATGGGGTCAGAGGGGGGGTCGGGGGGGGGGCTGTGTATTTTTGGCCACTGCCATATCTGTCGCTCAGATTCCAGTCTGTAAATATCAGCTGAGTTAATCTTTCCAGTTTTTTGGATTGAAGGTTGTGTATTGATTACTGATTGAAAAGACTGTGATCACATCAGTGTTGATCAGCTGCTCGACGGCAGAGAGAATCTGAGAAACTCAACACCTTCACCTCAAATCAGCTGACAGCAGTGCAAAAAAAACAGCTGTCCTGACGAGGTGTTTAATGTCACATTCAAAAAGCAGGAACCAGATAAATCACTTGTTATTGATCATTGATTTTCATTCTGGGCTGTGAAATTAAAACAGGCTTCACTCGTTCTAATTTCTCGGCCTGTTTCTGCTTTTCACATCAATTTAAAATATATTGTCAATTATTTATTTTGTCATGTGGTCTGATATTTTTATTTTTATTTAGATTTGAATTTATTCATAAAAAAGTTTTGTTGCATCTTCTTTATCGAAGTCAAGACAAAGTTCATGTTGGACCAGACTGAAGAAAGAAATGAAGGGAAATCCAGTTCTTTAGGATTCATGTTTAACGTCGTCAAACTCTTTTTAAATCTTCACTTTTCTCATCGTTTCTTTTCCCTGTGTTTAAGAATAGCTTGTGTCATATGATCCACTTTACAGTAAATATAGTGAATCATTTCTGTAAAAATAAAACTGACAGTTGTTTTCTGCTGATCGCTGCTTCTATGTCAGTTTTGATACATCGTCATGTTTATTTTGTTATGTATAAAACACATTTCAGTAATTAGAAACACCACAGAGAGATTCATGTTTTTTTCCTCAAGTGTCTTTCAGTCTTTATTTGATTTATTTGTTGCTTTTTTATGGACTTTGCCTTCCAGACTGAGACAGTCTCAGAACATATCATTTTTAAATATAGAATATATGATGTATAATGTTTTCTGTTGGTCACTGGTTATGATATATTTTTGTCATTCCCTTTTTTTTGTTTGTTCGTTATGATTTGGACCAAATATGAAAGTGTTGATATGAAAGTTTATTTATATTTTAGTCTTTTTGCATTTTGAGCCATTTCCTGGCCACACTGTTGAATATTGTGTTGTCTCTCACTCAGTCAGTTTCATGTTTCCAGTTATTTATAGATCAGCTTTTAAAAATAAAGAGCTTCACAGAGACAATGAAATACATTTAAACTGATCCAATTAAAAATGAAAATAAAAGGTAACTAACTGAAACAGGTTAAAGTCATTTTGTATTTATATCCATAATAAATTCATAAGTAGTAATGACAGTGTTAATCTGTCAGTGACTGCCAGAGGAAAACCTCCTATCTGTTTCATTATACTGCTGTTACAGTCAGGGGGGAAACCTTGTATTTCCCTGCTCTCAGATCAGTTACAGTTGCATTAAAGACGCCACATAAACAACCTGAAAGTTCATTATTTATCTTATTATTCTTATCTTTATCTGACAGGAAACCAGTCGGATTTTCAAAGTAAAAGTTGATGTTTTAGAGAAAGGTTTTTTTCCAACAGCAAAACAGTGACTCCAGCTGCCAGATAAATATAGTGGAGGAGAAGTAGAAGGCAGAGTACTGCAGTAGTACTGCAGTACTACTGCAGTACTAAAGTTCTCTCAGTCACACCTGCTGCTGTCAGATCAGCCTCAGACGCTAACAGCTGTTAAACTGCATCTTCACTCTTTCTTCACCTTTAACAAGGATTTTTAATCATCTCATCATCTGATCATTATTCTTCTGGATCATCTGCTTGGTTGATGATTAATTAATGATAAATTATTTGGTAATCAAAAATGTCAGAAAAGTTTTTACAGCCCAAATTCACATGTTCATTTTTTTATTTTGAACGTTATTGTTAAAGAGGAAAAAGAAACGCAGCAAAGATTCACTGAAGAGGAACGAGTCAGAATTCAATTAAATGAATTCAATTACATCAATTACATCAATTACATCAATCCAACAAGCGTTCCAGCTCAGCAGGAAATACTGATTTTCATGAACCGATAAATGTTTAATTTAACACTGTTTATCATTATCATCATCATTATTACTATTATTATTATTATTATTATTATTATTATTATTATTATTATTATCATTATCATCAGATGGATGACTTTGAGGTTTATGCTGATTAGTAAAATATTATATCGGTGGCCCTAAAAACCCCCTGCCCCCCTCCTGTTCACACGTGCAGTGAAACCTTCCAGAAGCTTTTACGACAGTTTTACGAAGCTGTTTGTCTTTAAGGAAAACAGAAACAAATTGATTTGATCACAGACTCACTCTGTGTTTGTTGTTGTTGTTGTTGTTGTTGTTGTTGTTGTTTTTGTTGTTGTTCGTGTTGTCATTTTTCATTTTGTTCAATTAAGCTGAAACAGGAAGATTTAACGTTCAATCAGAGGGTTGGTGTCTGATAGTCACTGAGTTTTCAACTGATTCTTCTTCTTTTTATCATTTTAACTGTCACAATGATCAGAGGAACATGTCATATATAACATATAGGTAAAAAAATGAAATTATTTTAATTTTTAATTTATTGTCTTTACTTTAAAATAATATACTTCTCTTAGAAGTAAAAGTTTTAAAAAGACTGAAGATGTTATTGAAATAGAAACAGACTGAACTTCAGCTCATCTATAAACTAAAATAACCTGGTTCAGATCTCAGGGCAGATCTCGGGTCAGATCTGAGATCAGATCTCGGGTCAGATCTCAAACCCCGCCCCCTGACCTTTATAGATCCTGGCTGGCTCACCTGTCTCACCCCTGTCTCACCCCTGTCTCACCTGTCTCTGTCTCTGTGCTGAGTGAAGCTGCAGTGTCTGGTTCAGAGACTCATGTTGGATGTCATGACGACGACACGTGTCACTCATGGTCTGGAGCAGGTGGTGTGAGTGTTTCCTGATCACATGACTTTGAGGTTCATCACATGACGTCGCCCCGCAGGAGCAATGTGGCCGTAGGTTGTTCTTTCAGTTCCTTGAATCCATGGTTACGACATGTTCAGTCAATGGCATATAGGTCTTGGTTAGTCCTGCTCCCCGATGATGTCATTGTGTTGTCATCAGACTACAGATGTCAGTGTGTACAGAAAACCTTCAAAATAAAACCCTGAGCTGTGTCTGTGTGAATATGAGTCGCTGCCAATAAACCCCAGTTAACAGATCCAGTCAAAGCTCAGACGATGGAGAACATGATGTTGCACTTTGTTTACTGTGTTCCTGTGATGAAGGTTCAGCCTCCTCATCACGTGATGTTTCCTGTCTTCATGATTCATTTTGAATTTCCTGTTTCCACTGTGTGAGTGTGAACTTTTAAGATGTGGTTGTTTATCAGGCAACGAGGCTCTGTTCAAAGACACTATCCTGGTGCATTATGGGAAACGTGACCTGCAGTCTCAGGATATGTCCACCTCTGCTGCTGGACTGGAGCTTCCCCAGTCTGTAGCGAAAACAGAGAGATCAGCCAATCCACTGAATCTGTCTGATCCTCTAATCAAGGATTCTTCAGTGCCATGGAGTCAAAGCATCAACAACTACAGCTCCCATGAATCTTTGGGAGACTGTAACCTGAGCCTTGACAGATGCAGGTGTCTATTTATGGAGAGAAGGGTTAATAGGACGATGGCGTCTCTTTTCCTCAAGTCTGCTCCTGTGTCTCCTGGACCGAGTCGTGCCTCCTGCTGGGATCAGCTGATGATTAACGAACATTTCATTAATCACTTTGTTTGTGTCTTTGTGCTGCAGGCTGCCGACCATCATGTCAACACAAGCACCAACGTTCACACAGCCGCTACAGAGCGTCGTGGCACTAGAGGGTAGTGCCGCCACGTTCGAGGCTCAAGTTAGTGGTAAGAAACATCTGGACTCTGTTCATGTGGACTCGTCCAGACCAGAACCTTTCTAGACTGGACTTTTCTCTCTGAAACATCTCCGTTTGTGTAGATGTGACTTTCTGTGTTTGTTAAAGTGATTCACTGACTGGAAAGATGTTTTCACATGTTTCTGTAAATTTCACTCTAAACTCACATTAAGTTTTAAACAGACATTTGACTTTAATTAATCTTGAATTAATCCCAAATTTTTGATCCTGAGATTGAAAACTTTACCAATTACAATTTCTGATGTTTTTCAATTAAATTCCTTCATAAATTTTTGTTGAAAAAATATTTAATATTTGTCCTTTTTTTTCTTAAACTTTTGACTTTTGACTCTTTTTTTCCCAGACAGAACTTTAATCTGAGATTTAAACTCCTCAGGCACTGATTTTTTATTTTATTTTATGTTTGATGTTAGTCAAATTTTATTATCAATAAGATGAAAAATCTAAGATTTTAGTATTATTTAAAAAAGTATCATATCATCCTTAAACATTAACTTGAATATCACATTCACGAGATTTGTTTTGAAATCTAACTAAACTATAATTCTGTCCTGAGATTAAAATAAAATATTTTTCAACAAATTCATTAAAACGTCACATTATTTATATTTGTGATCAAATATTTCTTGAGATAAAATATTTCTTATATTTTTCAACAAGTTTAAACTTTAGTGTTTAAATTTATTCTCACACTTTTTAAATCAGAGAATAATTAACCTGAAAAATCAAGTTTCAAGTCGGACAGTTGAATAGAAACAAACTGAAATAATTCACTTGACAGTGTCATCAGTTTACCTGTAAGTTAGACCGGTCTGGGTCCTCTCTCCTCTGCAGGTTCTCCAGTTCCTGAGGTGAGCTGGTTCCGTGATGGCCAGGTTCTTTCCGCCGCCGCTCTGCCCGGCGTTCAGATCTCGTTCAGCGACGGCCGCGCTGTTCTGAGGATCCCCGCTGTGACCGCCGCACACAGCGGAAGATTTTCTGTCAGAGCCACCAACGGCGCTGGACAAGCCACAAGCACCGCCGAACTCCTCGTTACAGGTGAGGCCGCAGGTAGACTGAAACTCCTGGTTACAGGTGAGAACATGAAGTGGGTTAATACAAAAATACTTTTACCTTTTATACCTGTAGGCCTACCTTTTTTTACTGAACTCATTCAGAGACATGGTTTTATTTTTGTCTTTGTTTCTGGCTCGTGTACGGACAGTTCTTACAAAGTACACATTTATAAACGTGGTGTTCCAGTGTATCAGTACTGATTAGCATCTGACAGGAGACACAATATAAAGAAACTCCATCAACACTTTCCTACTCAGCGGAGACGGCGCCTCCCAGCTTCCTACAGAGACTGCAGAGCTCCACAGTGAGACAGGGCAGCCAGGTGAGGCTGGATGTCCGAGTCACAGGTATCCCCGAACCTGTGGTCAAGTTCTACAGAGAGGGAGCCGAGATCCAGAGCTCGGCCGACTTCAGGATCCTCCAGGAGGGAGACCTGTATAGTCTGCTGATCGCTGAGGCCTTCCCAGAGGATTCTGGGACGTATTCTGTGACCGCTACCAACAGCAGTGGACGGGCCACCTCCACCGCAGAACTGCTGGTTCAGGGTGAGGACTTTTAAACTGTCTGATATTTTTAACTGTTGTAGCAACTAAATCAAATTCATACCTAAAAGATCAGAAATCTTGGTGTTAGCTTCCTGAGAGTCCAGTCCAGTACAGAGGCAGGTTCAGGGGTTAGCCTAGCTTAGCACCTAGCTTCATCAAAGCCCAAATTGTACAGTGTGTTTCCAACAAACCTCCTGGTGGTGGTTGATCCACATGTTAAAGTTTAGATTTAAAAAAAATATATATATAACATGATTGGCTGATACCACTCAAGCCAAATTCAATCCAAAACACCAATTTGTTTTATAGAAATGTGTCAACTTAATTTTCTCAGGTGTTTTTGCCAAAATGGAAGAAGGAAATGAAATTCTTAAAATTTAAAGGGAAATTCAGCTGGATTTTAAAACAGAATGAGAATCATTGTGTGATTTTCTGTCAAGTAAGAAGAAAAAAAAATTATTTTCTTTCTCTCTTATTATTATTTTGTGAAGTATCTTTCAGGACCATCAAATTATTGTTAATAAAATAGAAATGAAATATAAGAATCGTTTACCTCTAATTGAATAAGATTTTCAACACTGGACCTAATAAATAAAAATAAAATAATGACATTAATCTATTGAAAAAACACTGTATATACATTTGCATTGTAACCATGTGATTCAGAGAACATTTTAATATGCTGACAGTGAGATGATGCTGATAATTACATGAATTTGGTCCACACCTGTGTTTTCAGGTGAAGAAGCCGTTCCAGCAAAGAAAACCAAGACAGTGATTTCAACCTCTCAGATTTCACAATCCCGTCAGACCAGAGTGGAAAAGGTACAAACACTCAACAGCTGATTTTAAATAATCATTACACAGAATATGTAAAGTTTAAGTATGAGACATCCATCTCATCTCCCCTCAGAGGATGGAGGCCAGTTTCCAGGCCTCCGCCATGATGCAGATGCAGGTGGAGGGCGCCGAGCTGACTCAGCAGCTGGCTCACAAGACTCCACCCAGAGTGCCTCCAAAACCCACATCCAAGTCCCCGACCCAGCACTCGCTGGTCGCCAAGGTGACCGGAGGACGGCAACAGTCACCATCACCTGTCAGACACGTGAAGGCGCCCACGCCCACACCAGTCAGGTGGGTGGAGCATTTTCTGGTCATGCTGGCTTTTGTTTATTTTGATTTTATTTTAATACATTGTTTCAGAAATGTGTTGTTGTATTCTACCCCTCAGGGCCACAATAGCCACCAGCTTTTATTTGAGAATTTACAGTCAAAGTTTGAGAGGATTATTTTGCTGTTTGTAGAGAGTCAGTGTGAAATCTGGAGTAGCTCAGTGACGTTCAGATGAGCGAACGGGGCGATGGTGTTATCGGGGCTTGGCCCTCTGGCAGGCCTGTAACATGACCTCCCTCCCCTGTCTCCAGGCCTGCCTCTCCCACTTCAAGACTCTCAGTCTCCCCAATCAGGCCGGTCAAGTCTCCCATCACCACGCGCAAACAGGTGGTTGTCGGCGCCGATGTCCTGCCACCCTGGAAGCAGGGAGACTACATGGCCGAGGCCAGCTACACCAGCATGACCAGTATGACCAGTATGACCAGCAGCACTGTCACCCAGCTGGGCCAGGAGCAGCACTGGGAGCAGCAGGTCACCGGGGTCAAAGAGGTGAGGGAGGGGCCACAAGGGGTCCGGGGATCCATATTGTCACCTGATGGTCAACGAGTCCAAGGAGCAGTTTGAGAGACATGGAGGATGGACGGTATAGGACACACTTTCTAAAACTGTGTGTTTTTATAAAACACTCATAAAGATTTTCCTGTAGTATCCAACAGAGCCAACATTTTAGTTCTTAGCTGCAGTTTTACCTTCAGCATTGTGTTGGAGCTTCATCATATTAAGTTGTGACCTCCACCTCCAGAGGTTTTCATCCACCCAAGACATTAACTCTTTAGACCGTCCTCTTTTCTGTTGAACAAACTGCTCCTGAGCGTCACTGCTGAACTTACAGTTGTCACATGTGACACAACATGACGACATCTTTTCATCCAGGTGGTCTGAACCTCTCTGGTGGTCTCGTTCCACCGCAACACAAGGAAACTTGATGTACTGTCTCACTGTTTTAATGTGACTAACCAACAAACAGAGGCAGCAAGATGACGACAACACAAACATTGCTGTGTGACCAACGATCAGTCCTGTGGTCATGGCAACAGCAAAAGAAGCTGGTTGAGGGTATAACAAACATGTCCATCATCTAATCCCCCTGCTCCAAAACTTTCACTGTTTTTCAAACCAGATCTCCTTTAATCAGATCAAAGGGGTCACCTGGGGTCATGAGCTCTGGGTAGTGACCCAAAGAATGAGATTGTGGTTACAAGTGGCCAAAATGAGTTTCCTCTGTGGGGTGTCTGGGCTCAGCCTTAGAGACAGTACAGACGCTTGGAGTAGAGTCGCTGCTCCTTCACGTGAAAAAGCCAGTTGAGGTAGTTTGGTCATCTGATTAGGATCCTCCTGGGCGCCTTCCTTTGGAGGTTTTGGCACGTCCAACTGGGAGGAGACCCCGGGGTAGACCCAGAACTCGCTTGAGGGACTACATATCCCATCTGGCCTGGGTACGCCTCGGGATCCCTCAGAAGGAGCTAGAAAGTGTTGCTGGAGAGAGGGACGTCCTGAAAACCCCGCTTAGACTGCTGCTTCCATGACCCGACCACAGATAAGAAAAAGAAAATGGATGGATGGACGGATTCTTTTTAAATGTATCTCAGATAAAATGTCTGGTTCAAAGGTTTTGAAGGTTTGGGTTGAAAAACAGTGAATCTCATCTTCAACTCATCCGTCCTACAGTCCGGCCTCTTCCATCTCTTTTCCATCTCTTCAGTATGAATGTTCTTGCTGCTTCTTACTTTGTGACACTTTCTCAACCACTTCATCTCATCACAACTTCACACCAGTATGAACGTCAAAGTGAACTCTTTCATTTTGTTATCAGCCTCAAACTATCAACATGGATTCTGAATCATTTGGAAGACAAGATGACTCAGATTTTACCCAGAATGCAGAGAGAATGGACGACAGCACTACGAGCCACGAAGAGATGCCATGTGACCCTAACCTGCATCATTCTCATCATCAGAACTCAAACGGTGATGAGTTTAGCACAGGTCTGGGAGGTGATTGTGAAAGTTTTGATGACAGAGATGCAACTTCCATCGAAGCAGATTGTGGGGCTTCTGAGAGTCATGTGATGACATCAGAGTGTGAGCCATGTTTCAGTCCGTCATGCATCAGTGAAGATCTCTCGTATGTCTTTAACTGCGAAGACTTGTCACCTGTTTCAAACGGAGAGCACATCCTCCTCAATTCAAGACGTCATAACCAAGACGTCTGGCCCGGTTGGTCTGAAGAGAGTCCATCAGGTGTTCGGCTCGAGGATGATCCAAACCAAGATGGCTGCCCGGCGGTGCAGCAGCCTGAGGAGCAGGTATTTCTTGATGCAGCACAGTCGCTCCTCTTCTTTTTTGAGCACGTTCACAGAATCTTTTTTTGAGTTGTTGCCCACAGGGTGGTTGTGGTCACGTCACTTCTCTTCACCTGCAGTTATTCCTCTATTCATGTTTGTTTCCTTTCAGCTGATTTTACAGTTTTATTTACTGCATGTCAAACAGATGAGTATGTGTTATCCTCATCAGATGAACATGAGTACATTTACACACACACCAGTATCCTGTCCATGACCTCGCATGGATAAATTATAGTCTATTATCACGACTGCTGTTTCTCTGACAGTGGACAGAGATGTGTTCACAACTACCAGGATTATGATCTGGTCCAGGTTTCAGTAACAGTGATACTGCTGTAAGTGTACAGGTACTCCATCAGTTTTGGTGTCTTTACAGAGACAGGTGGATGTTGAAGGGTAAAATATTCATAAAAATATTTATTGAGATTGATAATTCATCCCCTAACACTTTTACGCATCAATTCATTTATTCTGTTCCCTTGTTTTAGTCATTCATGCCCTTGAATACTTTAAACTGTCACCTTTCAGCTGGACATCTGGAATCCGGCCATGGTTAGCCTAGCTTAGCATAGAGACTTGAAGAAGCGTTAATGTAACTCCCATTAAAACCATGCAGAAGAAGTGGAAATATAGTATTTCAAGAAATGTGGAACTACTCCTTTAAATGAAAATCGTACATGTTTGGAGGTGGTAGGACAGATGGAGGCAAGTTGAAGATGGTGTTAAGGGAGGCAATTAATCGAGTATTTCAAGTGCACAAATGAATAATTTGAGGGAAGTAATTACTAAAATGAAGACATGTCCACCTACCTGTCTCTGTACCGCCGTCCTGCCATGGATGTCCTGAGATCTATGTGCTGCTGGTTGTGTCTCCAGGCTGGGGGAGGGAAAAGAGCCGGGGCAGTGGCCAAAGTGGTTGCCGCCGTTGACCTGGCTCGTGTACGTCAGCCCGTGCATGTCGAGGGCGGTCGAGCTGAAGAGGAGGAGGCCGTGGAGGCAGAATTAAGGCAGCAGGGCATCGCCGCCGCTGCCGCTGCCGCCTCCACGGCTGCTGATGAACAGTATCGAGCCGGATGGACAACAACAAGAGTGCAGGCTGGCCAAATGCTTACTACTGCTCAGGTGTTTGCTCCTGAACCAACCCTGGCACTGCCTCAGGTTAGATAGGCCTCAGCACCAATAAACACAGAAACAAGATTTACTTTTATTCAGAATCTTCTTGTACTACACTGGCAAACAATTTTTGAGGTTTCATGAAAATGTTGAGATTCTGTCACAACAATCCAATGGTTGCAAAGTGCACTCAGGTTCTATGAGGTCAATTAGATAATGTATAACAGTGGAACACTTTTAAAGACCATAGTGGACTCCCTGGATATATAAATGATAACCGAACCTATAGACAACGACATAATCTCAAATGTCCATGAAGAGACGATACTGACTCCCTCATGTCCTCAATAACGACAGATGTGTCAAATGACTGTAAAATAAAATCATGTTGTGAGTGAAACTTCTTGAAAATAAGCAAAATTATTTGCCAGTGCTTTAAGATAAATCTCTTGATAACTTCGTCATTAACTGCAATACTTACAGGAAAAAAAGTAATATTCTAAACATTTATATTTTTGTTCATTTTTATACTGTCCATATATATTGTCTTACACTCTTCCTGAGGTTGTAACGCTCTTGTGAACTCTGTTGGTTACTCCAGATTCAGAGAGCGACAGAAATCTCCTCCCACGTGGACACTGGTCTCGCCCCGTCCCCAGTTCCACATTTCACAGTTTCTAAAGTTTCTGTCCCAAAACCTGAATCTAGCTCTGAGGTAAGAGAGGCAATATCAGGCAAGCAGTAGAAAATAATCTGCACAGACAGAGGCAAACTTAAAATATGTGGACTGACAAATAACACTTTAATTCAATGCTGAAATAACACAAAATATATTTTAGTCAATAATCCAATCTGTGACTGACCCTTCACTAAGCCCTGCCCCCCTTAGTTACTGTTGCTAACAATGGCTGTGTTTTTGAGATGGATTGATCAAAATCAAGTTCCTCAAAGAAAATTGAGAGACAGACTGAACCCACTTGAGTTTTATGATGAAGATGAATTTTTGTCAATATACCAGTTCACAAAGGACACTATTTTGAAGCTGAACAGGGAGATTGGGCCAACTGTTAATCATGGCAGTGATAAAAACGGTGCTGTACCACCGATGCTCCAACTCCAACTTCCTCAAAGGAGGAAACATTTCAGCTCCTCTGCCGAGCCTTCAGGATGACTGTTAAACTAGCAATTCTTTAGCTATCTCGCACCAATGTGACGTTTTGGCCCCCCTCCACCACTCTTTATACTTACTAGGTCCTGACAGCATGCACATTATTTATACGTATTATTTACTTATTTTAATTTTGAAATGCACACTTGTCCCTATTGATTAAACTCAGTTTAAATTCAGTTTAAATAAATAAACTTGGCTTTACTAAACCGAGTTTAATTTGAATTGGTGCAACAGAGCTTGGCCTCATTTTAAACCTAGTTCTACTAAACTCTGAATAGAGCTACTTTTGCATTAAATTAAACCTTGTTGGTGCAATCCAGCCTGAAAGCAGCTAATTATCAGTTTGCTGTATTAACTACTGTAACTAACAGATCTGATCACCTGTATCTAACCTGACAATTTATTGAAGCCAACTCCTGAATTGGTTCAAAACTTCATTTTGAAATGTTTCCAGGGCACCCATTTTAAGCAAGGGGTTGTAAGTATGCACTTGATGGCTACATACATGATGTTGTGTAGTGGACATGGAAATAAAGAAACAGCATTGTTCTAATATTGCAGTGCACATTATTATAAGTTAGTATTGTATTAGTAAGGAGTTTGATAAATCTAATACTTCTCAAAATCCAATAAAGATCAGAATAGAGTCACTGACTTTACTTCAAACCTGTAACACTGCAAAATAATATAGTTATCTTAAAGTTGTAGGTAGTAAAAGAAAGGGTTTTTCTATTTTTGATTGTCAAAATGACTCAACACTGCATACTGCTTGTACCGGGAGCATCTCTGATTAGAGCTCCATGTACACTGTTAAGATATGATTGGATTATTGCTGTTTGGAGGAGGGGTTTAGCAAACAGTCCATTGGTTATTACTGCTTGCCTGAACTTGTTGTGAACTGCTGTGTAGAAGTGATAAAAATAATGTCTATAAAATAATACAATGAATCCACCTTTAACCTTGTTGTTCTTCGCTCCCTTAATCAATAAACACTTAATCCAGTAAACCACTTATTAATCCGGCTTTATTTAAAACTCCCTTCATTTCCCCATCGTAGTTTTAATATAACTAATAAACTGTAGACCTCTCCCTGTGCTGTGGTTTAACACAAACCAATCAAACAAACCAACGTATTCTCTTGATGATGGTGTGGCTGTTCCTCCTCTTTGGGTCGATCAGGTTTCCATCGCTGGCTCAGCCATCGCCACTCTGCAGAAAGAGTTATCTTCATCCTCCGCCGCGGCTAGAAAGATCATCAGGCCTGTCAAGTCTCCCAGTCCATGTAGAGTGGCAGAGACCAGAGTGACGCCAGAGCCCATCCCTCCACCGTTCAAAGACTTCTCTGAAAAATATCAAAGTCGTCTTGGCACTGAGTTACAGAGGGGGGTGGTGAGCTCGGGGGGCATGGAGAGAGTATATGAGGACTGGGCAGTCCAGGTTTGTAATCCGGTTTTCTTGGGCTGGACCTGAACAGGACAAGAAAACCTGATGAGTAGCTGCAGGTCAGATAACTTCAAGAAACTAAACCACACATAAAGAATCAGTGTTTTCATCCATCAAAGACTTAAGTAAAGAGCAGGAGATCTCAACAGCTGTTGGCCTGAGTGCTTTTGTGGTATTCACATGATGATTACCAATATTTTAAATGACCTCTCTGGTTTTTATTGTAGTGCCACTAACTGGCCAAAACATCAACTTTAGGAAATATCAAATCAAAGGGGCAGAGCTCCCCAGAACCTGAATGCTTTCGGTTTCAGTGACCCTAGCACCAAACTTTATATTTGTATCCCCACTACTCATTGGGCTAAATGTTGTGTTCACACTGTGGTATACAGTGAAGTCTAGTTTTTCAGACGTCCGGTTTTCTTGATTTCTGTGAAAATCCAGGATAAATATCACTCTAATAAAAATATTAACATGCTGGTCGATGCTATTGACAACTTCATTCTCACCTCTTCAGCCCATCCAGCCTCCCCTCCATCTTTCTGTGCTGCATCATCTTTTCTTCTCATGTTGGATGTGAACAGCAAGTTCAAAGTCTTGTCCTGTGTGTTTGTTATGTTGTGTCCATGTTGGTGATTTTAGAAAAAGGTGCATTGTTTTGCTAAAAGCTTTTGTGCTAATGAATCTGTGACTGTATGACAGGTGGTGGAAGCAGCAGCTGTACCTTCTGCAGGTGATGGCGTGGTCCCACCCACACTGATGTCTGTAAGTAGCATGGTCCTCCACAAAACCACAAAGTATATCCATGCAGCTTTGGGAAAGTGACATTTTCTAAAAGTGTTGTGTTTTGTATGTAGGGCTTGAAAAACACAAATGTGACAGAGGGTGAGTCAGTGACCTTGGAGTGCCAGATCAGTGGTCACCCCGCTCCCGTCATCATGTGGTTCAGAGAGGACTACAAGATCGAGACCTCCATTGATTTCCAGATCAGCTATGAGAGTGGATTTGCCCGGCTGGTGATCCGTGAAGCATTCGCTGAAGACAGCGGACGCTTTACCTGCACCGCCACTAATGAGGCGGGAACCGTCAGCACCTCCTGCTACCTGCTCGTCCAGGGTCAGTGCCAACCGGAAAAACTGCCGGAAAAGCAATGAAGAAAAGAATTATCGTTTTGTAGCATACTTCACAAATACAAGTTCTCTACTTCCTCCTGCAGTTATTTGTTGAGACCCTCATGGTCACATTATGGGGCCTCTTCTGTTTTTATTTTATAATTTACCCTTTACTAAGTCCTGCCCCCTTTACTTACTATTGGTACATTGGTTTAACTTTCCATTATCACACTGCAGGCACAGCAACAGTAACTAAGTCCCATATGGTGCCTTCCTATTGAGACTAACTCTGTCTTCCTCTTTCAGTGTCTGAGGACATCGAGAGCAGAGAGGAGATCACTATCGTCACCGAACATGTTGAAACTGCTCAAGAGAAACTGTGAGTCACTCAAAGCTCCTTTGAAGTTTGCTAGAGAAACCGATATAGTACAGGTTGATAAAAACAGTCTACACCTGATCAACACTGATCAAAATGCAACTCAAGAAAAGATTCTTCAATTAGTATATTTCTACATTGTTGAGACTTAAAGATGGCTAGCAGCTAGTGGTACAGCTTGGCCCTGGAAATACTAAGAAAAGATTTTTATTTCCAGAGTAACCGAAGAAGCCAAACAAGAAACCATGTCTCAGGTGAGCGTGGCCGAGTCAGATGCTGCTGCCGCTGCTCCCTTTTTCATCAAGAAACCTACTGTTCAGAAGCTGGTGGAGGGAGGAAGTGTTATATTTGAATGCCAGGTCGGCGGAAGCCCAAAACCACACATCATCTGGAAGAAGAGTGGCGTACCGCTCACTACCGGATACAGGTATGTAATATCTTCCTTTGTTGCATGTGGTTCGTCATCTCCCTCGAGCTTGCACCAAAGATGAGCTCTTACCTGATATCGAAATGTCTCAGATTTAACAACTTAATATCCACTGTTTCTAAAGCTCCACCTTTAGGCCAGACTTTTTTTTTTTTCTTTCAAATTTTAGCTCAATTTCTGGCAAGACTGTAAAAATAGATAAATTATCCGAATGATGTTTGTTCATATCGTGTCTGTAATTAACACTGCAGCCTGCGGGGGTCAGTGGTCATCTCTGAGTAAACTAAAATATGCCCTTATCCTTCACTGTCCATTAGATACAAAGTTGCCTACAAGAAGGAGACTGGAGAGTGCAGGTTAGAGATCTCCATGACCTTCGCTGATGACGCCGGAGAATACTCTGTGTTTGCCAAGAACCAGCTTGGAGAAGTCTCAGCCTCCATCAATCTGCTGGAGGAAGGTACGTGACCATTTGCATCAATAAAATCTACCATCCTGATCTAGTGAGACGGGTGAGCAAGGAGGAAAAGAGATCAGCCTAGAGGAGAAGTTATGTCTTCTAGGACTTCAGAACAAAAACTGCAAAGATCTGATTTCATTTTTATTAGGATGTGTTTAGGAAACTCAGTCAGTGAAATAAGTTGTCTGAGCGCACATAACGCTAAATGCTTTGTTTTGTTAACAGAGGAATACGAAGCCTACATGAAGAAAGAGGAAGCATCTTTTAAGACTGAAGTGACAGCCATGGTGCAGGAGCCCACAGTGGGAGACGTTCCCCCAGTTGTTGTTACAACCATGGAGCAGATGACCACTACCATTATCTCAGGACAGGTAAGAGCATTATTAGTCATAGATGGAGCCTTGTAATAAGTTTTGGACAATGTTGGTATATTTATCTATATGGCCAAATTAACCCACTAGGGGGGCACTGGGGCAAACTTTACTGCCATTGCCACCACCACCTGAGAATGGTGTATGTGTCCTTTCACCTTCAAAGGTAAGAGATTTATACAGGGATAGGCATTATGGTGATTAAAGGAAAACATAGATAATTAAGACATTTAATTTTTGATACATTGCCCTTCTATAAGACCTTATTTTTAGGTAATAAGGCAGGACTTCCGTCTTAATTTAGTGGTGAAAAGTCACAAACAAATTTGCCCTTAATCCAATAACCACAAATTATAGACAGTAATTCTGAGGGTTTAGGGGTCCTGGGGTAGTTGCCCTCTTTACTGGGTTGATAGTCTTCATTTTAAATGTGCTATCACAGGGGAAAGGTTACAGCACTATGTGGAAGGACATGCAGGAAACAATGCGTTAAGTCAAGTCATTAAGTTTAAATAGTCGAAATACCTATAACCTATAAAAGAGCTCTCCCTGCTACTTGGCTGGCAACCAGGACCCATGTTTTAATGATTAACTGATGGTGATTGACAGTCATGGTTACATTAAACATCTCGTCACATTTGCAGGAATTCCATCTTTCTGCTATCGAGCAGAGGATAATCCAAGAGATTGAGCTCCGCATCATGAAGATTACCTACAGAGAGATAGTGACAGAGGATGGAGAGTTGATGGTGACCGCTGCCCCCACAGAGGCCATGCAGCCCGCCTTCGACACTCCTGTCAAAAACTACAGGATCATGGAAGGAATGGGCGTCACTTTCCACTGCAAGATGGCTGGAATGCCGCTGCCCAAGGTACTGAATACTTGATTAGCTTCCTGTTTAATTGGCTCTGTTCAACTAAAATGAACATAGATTGGGGAATTGCACATTGAATCCAAAGTGGTTTTACAATGACACTGTCTTCTGCCAGATTGTTTGGTACAAAGACGGCCAGCGCATCAGAGCTGGCGACCATTACCAGATGGAAGTTCTTCAGGATGGACGAGCCAGCCTTCGCTTGCCCGTCGTTTTGCCTGAGGATGAGGGCGTGTACACCGCCTTCGCTACCAACTTGAAAGGAAATGCCGTCAGCTCTGGAAAGCTCTACGTGGAGGCGTCTGGAGCTGCACCACCTCAAAGATACACACCACAGCCAGCAGTGCAGAGGATAAGGTAAGGTTTCACTAAAAAGACAGAGAAATACATATAAAGTTTAGAATCATGAACACTTGGGTACTAATGATGAATAATGCTTCCTTAGGTCCACATCTCCTCGTTCTCTGAGCCGCTCTCCTGGTCGCTCCTCCAGCCGTTCACCTGGACGTTCTCCGGCCCGCCGGCTTGATGAGACAGATGAGGCTCAGTTGGAAAGACTCTACAAACCTGTGTTTGTCATGAAGCCCTCCTCATATAAATGCTCTGAGGGGCAAACAGCCAGGTTCGACCTGAAGGTCGTCGGCAGACCAATGCCCGACACATACTGGTTCCACAACGGTGAGTAAAACATAGATGATATGCTCACGAACTATGTCCTTGAAAAATATTTACTTGCCTCTCAAAATCTGTTGATCACTTTCTTAGGACAACAAGTGGTTAGCGACTACACGCACAAGATAGTGGTTAAAGAGGACGGTACTCAGTCATTGATCATTGTCCCAGCCATGCCACAAGACTCTGGAGAGTGGACGGTTGTGGCTCAGAACAGAGCTGGACGCTCATCCCTCTCCGTCACTCTCACAGTTGATGGTAACATTGTGTTTATTTTTGGATATTCTGTGAACTTGAACCTGTTATACAAGATAACTGTGGACATTTGATGGCTTTGAGGTTCCTTGACAATTTCTTTTCTTGTTTTCTCAGCTAAAGAAACTTTGGTGCGACCCCAGTTCACTGACAAGCTGAGGAACATCAGTGTAAAGCAGGGAACTCTGGTTGAACTGGCTGTTAAAGCCATTGGAAACCCCCTGCCTGATATTGTCTGGCTGAAAAATAGTGACATTATCACACCACACAAGCATCCAAACATCAGGTACGTTTTAAAAATGAAAATGCTGACAGTAAACTCTAGGTACAACAGATATTCAGATCTTTATAATGATGACCAAATAAGATGTTAGCTGCCACTACACAAAGGCAGACAAAACTCTTCAGAATTTGGCAGTGGGCAGGTAGCATCCAATCAGTTTGCATTTGTTAGATTGGAACAAATATATTCCTCAAAGCAACTGTAATTTTTCAGTGTAGTAAAAAAACCTCAAATGTTAAAGCTATTCTAACATAAGAAATCCATGTTCCAGAATTGAAGGAACCAGAGGAGAGGCCAAATTCCAGATTCCCTCAGCAGCTGGCTCAGACAGTGCCTGGTACACAGCTACAGCCATTAACAAGGCTGGTAGAGACACGACTCGCTGCAGAGTCAACGTTGAGGTGGACTATGCTGAACCCGAACCAGAGAGGAAGCTCATTATTCCCAAAGGAACCTACAAAGCCAAAGAAATCACTCCTCCAGAGGTAGAGCCTCTTCATCTACGATACGGTCAAGAGCAGTGGGAGGAGGGCGACCTTTACGACAAAGAGAAGCAGCAGAAACCGCTGTTCAAGAAGAAGCTGACCTCTGTTCGCATGAAGCGTTTCGGTCCAGCTCATTTTGAGTGCAGACTGACCCCTATTGGTGACCCCACCATGGTGGTGGAGTGGCTGCATGATGGCAAACCCCTGGCAGCTGCTAACAGGTTGCGCATGGTCAATGAATTTGGCTACTGCAGCCTTGACTATGAAGTTGCTTACGCTAGAGACAGTGGCGTTATCACCTGCAGAGCCTCAAACAAGTTTGGAGTCGACCAGACCTCGGCCACCCTGATCGTCAAGGATGAGAAGGGTCTTGTTGAGGAATCACAGCTTCCTGAAGGCAGGAAGGGAGCACACAGAATTGATGAGATTGAGCGCATGGCTCATGAGGGAGGACCCTATGGAGTCACTGCTGAAGAAGAAACTGAGAAACTGAAACCTGAGATTGTACTTCTTCCTGAACCAGTCAGTGTTATGGAGGGCGACATTGCACGATTCCGCTGCAGAGTGACCGGTTATCCAGCACCCAAGGTTAACTGGTACCTCAATGGACAACTTATTCGTAAAAGCAAGAGATACAGACTTCGTTATGACGGTATTTACTATATGGAAATCACTGAAATCAAATCCTATGATTCAGGAGAGGTCAAAGTCATGGCAGACAACAACCTGGGCTCAGCGGAGCACACTGTGAAGCTGGAGATTAAGGAGAAAGAGGACTTCAGAACTCATCTGCGCCGTGCTCCTGAGGCTAAGGCAGCTGAGGCTGCACCTGAGCTTGGAAAAACGACATTCGAGGTGGTGAAGGCTGAGAAACATGCAGAGGATTCTCACCTGAAAGAGGTGGTCAAGCTCAAGAAAGCCCATAGAATCGTCCATGAGAAAGCCACAGAGGAGACTGAGGAGCTGAGGAGCAAGTTCAAGCGCAGGACCGAGGAGGGCTATTACGAGTCCATCACCGCGGTGGAGCTTAAGTCACGTAAGAGGGATGAGTCCTATGAGGATCTGCTGAAGAAAACAAAGGAGGAGCTGCTCCATCGTGCCAAGGAAAAGGAGGAGGCTGAGAAGAAGAAGGAGGAGGAGCGCCTCAAACTTACAGCTAAACCTCTAAAACCAGAGAGGGTCAAACTCTCAGCCAGTATGGAAGCTCCAAAGATCCTTGAACGTATTACAAGCCAGACAGTTGCACAGGGTGACGAAGTCAAGTTCAGAGTCAGAGTCATCGGCAGACCAGAACCTGAGTGTCAGTGGTTCAAGAATGGTGTTCAGTTGGAGAAGTCTGATCGTATTTACTGGTACTGGCCTGAGGATCACGTGTGTGAACTGGTGATCAGGAATGTCAGAGCTGAGGATTCTGCTAGCATCATGGTCAAAGCTTCAAACACTGCTGGAGAGACTTCAAGCCATGCTTTCCTGCTAGTTCAAGGTAACACAACTTTCTAAAATTTACCTGTAATTCCACGTCCAAGTTGTGTATTTTCTAACAAAGGTTTTGTTGTCATTTTTGCAGCAAAGCAAGTCATCACCTTCACACAGAAGCTGGATGACATCAACGCCAAGGAGAAGGACACCATGGCTACCTTTGAGTGTGAGACCAACGAGCCTTTTGTCAAGGTCAAATGGCTGAAGAACAATGAGGAGATCTTCTCCGGAGACAAATACAGGATGCATTCTGACAGAAAGGTTCACTTTCTGTCTGTTCTGATGATTAACATGAGGGACGATGCAGAATATACCTGTGTGGTCATAGATGATGACGTCAGGACCACTGCTAAGCTTAATGTTGAAGGTGGGTTGGCTAACAACTGGACACTGATGTAAATCTGAACACTGGTTCAGACTGGTGCTTAAAAACAAACTTAATCTTAGCCTCAATTAAAAAGATTGCAATCCTCTTTTAGTCCTGCAGGGAATATTATAAAATATTGTTGTGTTGTAGTGTACTAACAACTTTTAAATGTATACACTATTTAGAAACCTTAAGGTGTAGTGTCCTTAAATCTGGTAAGTTAGGTCAATGCTTTATAAGAGCAGATGTGCTTTTTGTTTTTCCACTCTCTTATGAAAGAGATACAGAATTGATATGCAAGTACCATATGTGGGGACACTGTCCTTGCTAACAACTTAACACTTGATCTGCTCCCTGGTGCCTTGTCTAAGGTTTCAAATGTGCATTTCTGTTACCATTATGTCCAAATATATGACTCACTTTTCACCAAAACTGTAGACACTGATGTACCACCTGTATTATGCAATAAACAGGAGCTCCCCTGGAGATACTTAAGCAGCTGGAGAGCACAGAGGTGCCAGAGACATACTCCGGAGAATTTGAGTGTCTTGTGTCTCGTGAGGATGCAGAAGGCAGCTGGTTCTTTGGAGAAAAGCTGATCTCTCCCAGCAGTAAATACGTCATGTCCTCCCGTCGTGGAAGACACACCCTGTCTGTCAAAGACGTCAAGAAGGAGGACCAGGGAAAATATACCTTCAAAGTGGGCGAGTTCAAGACAAGTGCCTCACTCAAGATGAAATGTGAGTTTTGGAAGTAACTGTCTTTACTATGTTTTTACAATTTTTTTTTTTTGCGGTCAGTTTACTGTTTTCTAATCTCGTTAAAATCTGTCAGTCCATCCAACACTGACAATCGTTGGTCAGATTCCTTTGAAATTTGTTTTAGAAGTCCCCAGAGGGTAAACACTAAATATTTTTGTTTCCTTGGGGATTTTCCTGCAGTGTCACTGTTGGACAGGATTTTCCCTAGCTCTGAAAAAAAAAATCTGCCATTAAATGCACTGACATTCTTGCACACCAACAGAGGATAAATCCTTATGACATTACTCCTTATGAGATTACTTGTGGCACCACAAGCTACCTCATAATGATAATACCCAAATCTTCACTATATTTTTCCATCTGCAAATTTCATATACTGGGGTGTAAAAAAACAGTAGACTGTCTGATCTTTATTCTTGATGTATCCTGGTACCTAACACGCTTGTCTTGATGTTTCAGTGCGTCCAGTAACCCTGATGCAGCCTTTGACAGACCTGACGGTCTGTGAGGGCGACATTGCTCAGTTGGAGGTGAAGTTCTCCCAGGAGAATGTTGAAGGAACATGGATGAAGAATGGGCAGCCTGTCACAGCCTCCAACCGTGTCCACATCGTTATCGACAGACAGATCCACAAGCTCCTGATTGAAGACACCCACAAGGACGACTTTGGAATGTACTCATTTGTTGTTCCTGCTCAGGAGATCTCAACCTCTGGAAAGCTGGTCATTCAAAGTAAGTCCTCTCAGACGCATACTGCTTTTTAGAGAATTAAAAATTCCAAAATAAAATGTTATGAACAATACTTTTGATTTTCAATTGCAGCTATCGGTGTACTGGTGCCACTGAAGGACACTAAAGCCATTGAGGGCACCAAGGCTGTCTTGGAGACCAAGATCTCTGCTCAGGACATCAGCTCGGTCAAATGGTACCACAATGACCAACTGCTGACACCCAGTGACCGAATCCAGATGGTGGCAAAGGGAGCCAAGCAGCGTCTGGTCTTCAACAGGACCTATGCCTCAGATGAAGGACACTATAAACTGGTTGTTGGCCGAGCCGACACCAGCTGCAAATTTACTGTTGAGAGTAAGTTACACAAGAAATGACCGAGTGAGGTTTAAGCATATGTTGACTTATAAAGAAGAAGAACAGACTAAATAAACAATTTAATATTCATTACTTTCCGTCCTACCTGGACAGTTAATATGCTTACAGCTCCACTTGCTAAACACTAATTATATTTGTGTGAAAGAGAGGGTCAACGTTTAATGACCACCCTTAAAAAACGATTACCCTAACATTTGCCCTTAATAATTATCAATGTGAATATGAAAGATGACTAGATGATCATTAGCTAACTGCCTTTAACTCTTGTCCCATCTGAACAGCTGTCCAGATCGTGACCCCAATGAAGGACAAGGAGTGCTCTGAGTCTGAGAATGTCAACTTTGAAGTCGAGGTTTCTCACCCGGGCATTGATGCCTTCTGGACCTTCAAAAGGCAGCCGCTCAAAGCTGGCGCCAAGCATAAGATGGAGTCCAAGAACAAACGCCACACCCTGACAGTCATGAATGCAATGAAGGATGAGGAGGGCGAGTACATGTTCGCAGCTGGTGAGAAGATGTGCAGTGCTTCTCTCACTGTAACAGGTACGCCGGGTTACATTTTGTCAATAAAGTTTTACAAAAATTATTCAGCAAGTCTGGGGCTGCTTTATATAACAATACCTTGTAGAGTTGACTGAAACAGCGTTAAGTGAAAAGAACTATCTCCTTTCACCAGGTGGTGCTATCAGGAAGCCTCTCCGTGATTTGGTGGTGGCTGACTCCCAGACTGCCATGCTGGAGTGTGAAGTAGCCAACCCGTCTGCAGAGGGCAAGTGGCTGAAAGATGGCCAGTCCGTTGATTTCAACGAGAACGTGGTGAGCGAGGTGAAAGGCGCTGTCAGACGCCTCATCATCATCATCACAAAAGCCACCGACATTGGAGAGTACACCTATCAGGTTGCCACCTCCAAGACCTCAGCCAACCTGAAAGTTGAGGGTAAGTTCAGGTTTTATGAATCAAACAGTAGTCTGTTTAAATCCCTTATAAAGAAGCCACTGATCATAGATGTGTCAGAAGGTATTAACAGCAATGAATACTTGTAACCCCCAGGTTGAGATCGACTGATCTAAAGCACCCACTAACACACATTTCCAAACACTGTGTTGACAATGATGTTTGTCCCCACAGCTGTGAAGGTCAAGAAGACCCTTAAGAACCTTAATGTGGTCCAGACTCAGGAGGCTGTGTTCAGCCTGGAGCTGACCCATGAAAATGTGAGGGGAGCGCAGTGGATCAAGAATGGTGTTGAGATTCAGCCCAGTGATAAATACGAGATCAAGATTGAAGGCACAGCCCACACCCTAAAGATCAAGAACTGTACCACACAGGACGAGTCTGTTTACTCTTTCAAACTGGGAAAACTGTCTGCAAGTGCCAGGCTGAATGTTGAAAGTAAGCAACCACTGATTTAAAATAATACCATTGATAAAAAAAACTGAACAACACAAATTTCAGTTTGTCAAAAATAAAAACTGGATATGAAGTTCCAAGGTGAACAGTTACACAACGAATTGTAAAACTGTAAAATATTTTACCACAGCTATCAAGATCCTGAAGAAGCCAAAGGATGTGACGTCACTGTTGGGCGCAACAGCTTCATTCGAGGTTGGCATCTCTGAGGACGACATCCCTGTGAAATGGATGTTCAACAACGCGGAGCTGAGGCCAAACGAGCACTACAGCATACTCTCTGAGAAAAAGACCCACAAACTGGTTGTCCAGAATGTGGACAACAGCAAAGAGGGAGTGTATACCGCTGTGGTGGGCCACCTGCAGTGCAACGCTCGCCTCACCGTTGAGTGTAAGTGCAGACTGTCAGGTTAGCCATCTATGAAGATGGAAAGTGTATGACCACTGTCAGTAAATGTAAATGCTACTACCACTATTCAAAAGTGAGACGTGCCGATTCTTTTAGCTCTAATTTTTCCAAAACGTTTTAGTTAAGATTTATGTTTTTCTGCAGACAGGGCTGAATAATTTTACACTTAGCTATTGTTAAAATGCTGACAGTAGTAACAAACATGTTCCGAAATGCCAAAAATAAAAGTATTTTTTCCAAGCCGTAATTTATTGTTTTCCACAGTTATGAATTGCACATTTGACATTTTCTCTTCACATTTTCCACTCAGCTCTGCGAGTCACCAAACCCATGAAGAGCGTGGAGGTCCCAGAGACTCAGGTGGCCACGTTTGAGTGTGAAGTTTCTCACTTCAACGTGCCGTCCACCTGGCTGAAGGACGGTGTGGAGATCGAAATGAGCGAGAAGTTCAGGATCGTGGTTCAAGGAAAACTCCACCAGCTGAAGATCATGAACACCAGCAGGGATGACTCTGCAGAGTACACCTTCATCTGTGGGAACGACAAAGTCTCCGCGAAGCTCACCGTTAATCGTAAATTCCTCCCCTTTGCTGCTGTGTTTGATACTGAAATTTAGGCTTTTGATAATTGACCTTTCACTCTCAGATTTATAAATGAATTAATTGATAAATTAACAGGAAGTTGTTCAAACAACTTCAGTGTTAGCATGCAAACATATTTAATCTGAGTTGATGAGAGCAAAACAGTGTTCCCACAGTGAGGTCCCCTCGCTCTAGGTTCAGACAAGTCTGAGCCAGAGCCAAGTTTGAGTGCAACAACAATAACCACAACAAAAGTGAATTCAGTTAACTGCAACTTTAGTTTGGTTATGAGCAACCAAACATGAATATGAAAATAAAAACTGGGCCCTTTAAACCTAAGAAAATTGTCCTAATGTGATTTTCCACAGTTCAAGTAACTTCAGTCAGTCCAAAAGTCAACTTTAAGGTCATAATGTGTGTTGGAGCTGATACCAGTCCAGGTGACTGGTGCACTCCTACCTCAGGGAAGATAGTTCATACAGCTATTTCAGTGTAGATCCAGGTTCCTGGAAACCAAGCTGGGAGGTTCATCAACTACTGAAATCAATGGATCTTCCTCACTCAATAAAAGACCTGACCTGCAACAAAAAGGATTATAGTCAAATTGTTCTTACCATTTGTAAAGTGCATTGTAACTTTCCACTGTCGAGTTGTGTTGTGTCCTGCTGGCCTAGGGTTTCCTCTGATTTATGTTCCGCCATTGGAAAACATCTCTCCCCTTAAAGGTGATTCTGATTAAAGTGGGACAGACGACACCTAACATGCCAAACACCCGCCCCACAGAGAGATGGGTACGAATGAGTAGGCAGAAACTTTGCGGTGGCATCTGGGATGGTCAGTCAGATTGTAGCCGCCCCTTTAAAACCACACCTGTTATTAAGGGCCCTGTATTCCATAAGACGTAAAGACCATTCATCTATAGTATTGTCTCAACTTACCATCAGTTCTGTTCTTTTCCAGCCATTCTAATCACGACGATGCTGCAGAACCTGAACGCTCAGGAGAAAGACACGGTCACATTTGAAGTGAACATTAACTACGAGGGAATCACCTACAAATGGCTGAAGAATGGCGTGGAGATCCGATCCACGGACAGATGCCAGGCTCGCTGCAAACAGCTCACACACACTCTGAGCATCAGGAACGTTCACTTTGGAGACAGTGCTGAGTACACCTTCATGGCCGGCTCTGCAGTTACTACAGCCAAACTTTACGTTGAGGGTAAGATGTTAATTTGACTGTTTTTCCTTTCAGATCTCTTCCAACACCTGTGGGAAATATCTGGATCTTTAGAATCTCAAAAACTTCCCCAGTGACCATTAAAACCTCCCATAGACCCAACAGAAACTACTAAAGAAATCCAAAAACCTCCCAAATTACTTCAGGATACCCCTACAGGACGTCTAGAACCTCCCCAATTACAACTAGAACCACTTATACCAACCCAGGAACCTCCTAAAGGACCATTAGAACCTCTTAGTCACAACTGAAACATCCACATAAGCACCACAATCTCCCAATGCACCACTAGAAACTCTTAAAGGAACCCAAGAACCTCCCAAGTTACCCCCCATACTACCCTATAGAACTTCCTTCCATAAGACTTCCAGAATCTTCCCAGCGACCACTAAAACCTTCTAAAGGACCAAAACAACTTAATATAGGACCTCCAGAACCTCCAGAAGGACATGTAGAAGACTCCAAATGACACTAGACTATCCTAAAGGACCAATGAAACCTCCCCAATGACACTAGAGCCTCTTAGTGGACCCCTAGAACCTCTGAATGGACATCTAGACCCTCCTAAAAATCATAAGAACATTACCTATGGGAGCAGTCATTTCAGCACTACACACCCCTTTAACATTACAGAGTCAGTTGATTCAATGTGAACCCAGGTTAAGTAAAGTGGTTTATGACCCTGTGTTTTTTTTTCCACTGCAGCCCGTGTGGTTGAGTTCACCAAACACCTGAGGGACCTGAAGATCACAGAGAAGAAGAGGGCAACTTTTGAGTGTGAAGTTTCTGAACCAAACGTGCAGGTGATGTGGATGAAGGATGGGCAGGAGCTGGAGATGTCCGACAGGTAGAGCAGTTCACATTCAGCTTATAAAAAATGAACTCTACCTGAATCATGAAAACAAACATGACAAACATCCTCCCTTTTCTGCAGATATAAAATGACCTCGGATGAATTTGTGCACCGCCTGGTGCTGCCATCTGTCCGCCTCTCTGACGCCGGAGAATACACCGCTGTGGCTGGATCCAGCATGTCCAAGGGCCACCTGACAGTCGAGGGACGGGACATCAAAATTTCAGAGCCCGCTAGCAGGAACATCACTGTGAGTTCACACACTTACTGTATCCATGTACACAGTTTGAATTGCTTTGCCTTCATCATTTTACTTTGCATCAATTATGGAGTTGAAGATTTTCCCTGACTTTAAAATTGGGTTAACTTGGTTAACTCTCTTTGTCAATACAAAAAAAACACAGTCAAATCCTTGATCTGTTGAAAATAAAATGTCCTGACAGGTTCTTGCAGCTGGAGCAGAGTTAATAAGTAAGAAATACAAAAATCTCATTTCCCAGGATTCAACTCTACCAATCCTCTGTTTTTGCAGGTCGTTGAGAAACAGAGAGCAACCTTCGAGTTTGAGGTGGATGAGGAAGATGTGGATGGTCGGTGGATGAGGAACGGCGTGGAGATCCAGTTCTCAGTAGAGGAAAGGTTCAACTATGCCACCATCAGGAAGCTCCACCGCCTCACCATCTCTGAGACGTACAGGAGCGACGCCGGGGAGTACACCTTCTTAGCCGGCAGAAACAGGAGCACCATGAACCTTCATGTCAGATGTAAGAACTCTGAACTGGCATCACAGAAACAGATCAGTCTGCTCTCACTTACCTGGACCAGACTCAAAGCTGTCACTACATTGGAGCTAATTCATGACATTTTCTGAACATGAATATGGCCGCAGTCAATCCACAAATTCACAAACAAATTACGGTCCTATATCATTGGTTAACTTACCTTCTTCTCTTCTGTTTTCTGTCTTCAGTGCCAGAGCCTCCTCAGATCGTCCGCCCCATGCAGCCTCAGACGGCGATGTCAGGTCGGTCAGTTCGCTTCTCGGTGCAGGCGTGCGGCCTCCCTCAGCCTCAGGTCACCTGGTACAAGGACTCCCAGGCTCTGTCCACCAGCTACAAGTGCAAGTTCCTCCACGACGGAGACGAGCACACGCTGCTGCTGCTGGAGGTCTTCCCTGAAGACGCCACTGTCTACAGCTGCACGGCCAAGAACGACTACGGAGAGGCGACAAGCTCCGCCCCTCTCAATGTGGAAGGTATGTCATCACGGCGAGGCGTCAAGACGTTGGGATTTGTTTGACTTTGTTTCATCAGGATTTTGAAATTAAAAAGTTATATTTAGATTGTAGTTAGTTGATTATTATTAATTTAATTACCCAGACGATCTTTACACTTGATGAGTAACTTGATTGATTATTTCTCCTTATTGTGTCTTACAGTTCCTGAGGTGGTTGAAGCTGCAGCTCGGGTCCCTCCTCCGGTCCTCATCACTCCTGTACAGGACATCCTGGTCGCTGAGGGACACCGTGCCCAGTTCCAGTGCACCGTCTCTGGGGAAGGTAGTGACCACTGCTCAGCGTCTTCTGGCTGTTATATTCTTAGTAACTGCAAAGAGACACAGATATCTATCTGGACCCAGTTTATATTAGAGACACGTTTATACATTATTTTTGATCATATTTTAGTAAGAAGTCATTCCTGCTTTCATTTGCTGTTTATACAGACTCAACCTTTCCTCCATGTTTACCTGAATTATGTTTACCTGAGTATGCATTACTTTAAGTTAGAAAATAAAAATGATTTCATTTAATTTTTTGTGTAATTTTATTTAATTTAAAATTAAAGATAGTGACAGGTGATAGATCGACGTGTGTCTCATCTGTGTATATTATTTGCAGTGAATATGTATTAAAACACACACTGTGTCTCCAGATCTGCAGGTTTCGTGGTTCTGTAATGACAGAGAGATCAGAGAGTCAGACATCTTCAGGATGTCTCATTATGGTGACACCTGCCAGTTGGAGATCTCCAGAGTTCTCCATGAGCACGAAGGAGAGTTCTCATGTGTTGCTGCAAACTCAGCAGGAATGGTCACATGTGCCGCGACCTTGAATATTGATGGTGAGTTTTCCAGATATTCATGCGCTCAATGACATTCAGGTCAAACTGTCACTGTCAGACCTTTAAAGAAACACTGCATGTGCTTCAACACTCAGAGACAATCTCTGCCAGCATGTTCCTCACTAGGGATGCTCTGATTTTTTGTGTTTTAGAGTTGGTTTCCACTGTGGCAATAAGGTCCTCTGAGATCCACACAATGCTTTTTAAGTCTCTTCATTTAGCTGTTAGCTGGGAGTCTCAAAGGTTACACAATTATTATCAGTCATTAAGTGGATCACAATGATTAAGGGCTCTTACCGACTGGTGTTGGATCAGTCAGAGCATCCCTCTCTGTAACTACAGCACAATCTGACCAGAAAGATGTGCTTTTAGTTGTCAAAGAGTCTCCTCCTTCCCTCCAGGGTTGAAGCTAGCATGACTCACCATCATCTTGTCAAAAATAAAATCAAGCATCTATTGGCCAAAAAAAAGAACCAATAGAAGGCTGCATGGTTCAGCGGGGGGAGGGGGAAAGTTTCAGCATGTGTGTCCATCATACCAGACATCACCTGCTGCTGGTCACACAGAGAGTTTAGTTGGCAGCATTTTGTGAAATCCTCTGATTCAATGTCAGATGCTTCAGATCAACACCAGTTCCATCTGTATTTAGCTTAGCTTAGCACTAGCAGGAGGAAACTGTTAGTTTTGTCAAAACTGAAGAAACCTAGACACTCCACTGTAAATTGAAACTAAAATTTTCAATCAGTTTAATTAACAAGAAGCTAGCCAACGTGAGCTAGCTGACACCTTAGCTCCTTAGCTAACAAGAAAACAAGATTTTAGCTTGTTAGAAAGACACCTAAGAAGATGGACAGCAGTTTAATCTCTGTCTGTCCGGTACACAGACAGGTTCAGGAAATGTTAGCCTAGCTTAGCACAGAGACTGCAAGCAAGTAAAAGGCAAATGAGAAAATTCACTGCAAATTTAGTCATTTTCAATAACCAGGAAAATGACTGTTGGCTAGACAGTTTGTTATCTAACTGACACCGCTGGCCTAGCTTAGCACAAACACATTGCAGGAGGGGAATGCTGCTAGCCTAGCTTAATCAATAGAGAAAAGTCCAAAAAGTCAGTCTGATTTGTATCTGAGGCTAATCATGTTTTACCCAACAAACCGTGAGCTGTTTTCTTGTCAACCTAGACTCATAGTCAGATGAATGTCTGACTTTCTAGCATTTAATTAGTGAAGATTATCTTAACAAGGTCATTGTACAGCCAGTCCCTGGTTATAGCAACTTGCCAGCTGAGCCTTCAGAAACTCTTTCATATCTTAATTATGATAATGTGACAAACTGTAGTTCATATTTTTTGTGAGCATGTTAGTCAGATATTTTAAACCAGTAGCCCTGGACTCTGTTTGCTTTCATCCTCACTGTGAGCACAGGTGATAATCTTACAGGTCTCTCCTACGTGATGCATGATGTCTTCTCTTCCTACATGAATGGCTCTTAACAGTAGGGTCATCTTTACTCTGTGACATGTCTCCTCATGTCAGAGGAATGCAGCATGGACAAAACAGAGCTGAACTTTGGAAATCTAGCTTTCCTGGTTCTTCACACTCGAGCACGGACATAATCCATAGCTTTTTTTTATTGTTTTATTGTAAGTTTTGGCTCCAGTCAAGCTTGCATGATTGACAGCGGAAACCAGCCACTGTCCACTCCCTCACTGATCCTGACTGATCCTCAACGCTCCACTCCAACTGCACCCCTGGCAAACAAGCTGTGAAACAAGTAACCTGAAGAAGTCACCAGAATGATGTGTTGACCTAATTCTTCTACTCTTTCTTACTGCCCAGATGAAAAAGCCTTAGCTAGTGTGTGGAGCACTGAGGCTGAGACTAAGCTAAGTCAGATTCAAATGGAGAGTGTGAGCCTGGTGGAGATGAGCTCTGAGCACAGCGTTGATATCAAACTCTCAGCCAGCCCCAAACTGCTGATGGAAATGAGCGACGTCCGGGTGAAAAATGGCGAGATGGCCGAGTTCAACTGCTCATTCAATGGGCAGCCCTTCACCGGGGTGGTATGGGATCATAACGGCCAGAGCCTGGCGGACACGGAGCGGGTGAGGCGCTCTCAGAGCGGGGGATTGTTCTCACTGGTCATCCAGAGTGTTGGTGTGGTGGACCAGGGTGTGTACCGCTGCACGGCCACCAACCAACACGGCCAGAACAGCTCCTCTGCCCAGCTCACTGTTGAAGGTGGTTAATCTTTCTTTTTTTATCAGTCTGTCTCATCTGGTCCATCCCACCTCTCCACTGCTACCTCCTGCTTTGTCCCCTCCTCTCATAATTTAATATTTCCTTTTAGCCTGTAACCTGTTAGAGTGTAATAGAATAACCAGCTTTGTAGTCTAGTGTACCCTGTTCCTGCTGTTGCCAGCTTTGCCTCGCTAATCTCATCATTCATCCTACTAACCCCTTTAGTGCTTAGAGTCACAGCCTTATACTCTCTGACCCCTAATTACTCTCCCTAACTTTATTCTCACCCAGCTAAAGAAGCAAATCTCAAAGCAGAAACCCCCATCCCTACCGATTCTGTGCGTAAAATGTCTCAGGCAGACAGGGAGACCCCTAGAGATTCCCCCAACCAAGACAAACAGGAGGCAGTGGAGAAACTGGGACTGTCGCCTCCATCTTCCCAGAGACCTTACGGCTTCATCAGCCACCTGCATTTCCCTGATGTCTTGCCTCATGACGAGCGAGGTCAACTCCTCTCCAGCTACCCCGAGTTCCTGATCAAACTGCCTCCTGAGCTGCTGATCCAAAACAGAGACAGCGGCTCCTTGTATTGCGTTATGAAGGGGGTTCCCACTCCCTTTGTTATTTGGCTTTACAACCGGTTGAATCTTGAAGATTCTGTGTCTTACTCTCTGAAACATGACGGCCCCCTGTGCTGTGTAAATGTTAACAATGTGGGATCCGGACACGGGGGCTCTTACACTTGCAAAACTGTCAACTCAGCCGGGGATGCTGAGTGCAGCACAGTGATGAAAGGTTGGCATCTGCATGCTCTTGGTCCTTCTGCTCACTTGGCCTTTATTTGGCCCACCACTCATCCACACTGCTTTCCACCTACACAGCCAGCAGAGGCACACGTGTTCACAGGGCGGCACCACCTCCTCAACAAGGTTAACCCCTGTCTTTAGGTCGCTGACCTTTGTGTCCTGCTTTACTGACTAAAACACAAAAAGAGATAAAGAGAGAGGGACACTCATATCACTGAGCATTTTCCCCAAAGCCAGAGGTGCTACACACTAAAGACCAACAGAAAGCATGCAAGAATGTCAAATAAAAAAACAAACAAAAAAAAACAAAAACAAACAAACAAACAAAAAAAACTGATGATATGGATGCACGACCTGTCACTGATTCTAACAGTCTTGCACCATATGAGACTTTGTGTGCAGTTTCTGGAGTGTTTTTAATCTGGTAATGTTTGTGTCTTCACAGTAACTGCAGTGGAGAAGGAATCAATGATACAGCAGGAAGTGAAAGGTAAATATTTCACGTCAGCAGGAATGTCTGTCCATGATGTGACATAACTTGTTTGTGTTTAGTAGATGTAGATGTTTTCATAAAGAAAGGATTTTCAATAATTTGATTTTGTCTTCAGGCTGGTGAAGAAACTCATGTTAAATTCGAAAAATTCACTGTATTTTTCATGTTTCTTTGTTGGTATTTTTGGATGTTCTTTACTTTGAGGCTCGTATTCTTTATGCTACTGCACATCATTTTCCAAGATATACTGTACTCTTTTATTTTGATTAAAATCTGAAATCATGCTTCACTTCCAGGGCTTTAGACCAAATCTAATGATTTTCCGCAGTGGGCAAAATATTGATATGAATGAATTTCTTCTGAATTGATTTTTCTGACCAAAATATTGAAACCTGACAGCATGTTTTGGAAAATGAACAGTAGCAATAAGAAGTAAATGTAGCCCGTAGTAAATTGGCTAAAGCATCCAATCCACTATGGCTGTTTCATTGACCTTGCAGTCAAATATAACTGAACTGTACAGGAAGTCATTCTGTTTTCAGTGCAGGTGACGTTATTGTGGTTGCAGTGTGTGTCTCACTTTACTTTAAACTGTCATTATCCTGCTCAGCCTTCTCTAGCTCAACCATCACAGTGGAAGAGGAAACACAGGAGTCGTTCTACACTCGCTTAAAGTTACCAGACAAAACCAGAACACTTGAACTCAAGCCAGAGTCTAAACGCTACTCCAGCACTGTGGAGAAGAAAAAAGAAAAACCAGTTTTCCTCAGCGAACTTTCTCCTAAAGCAGCGACTGTGGGGGAAACTACTATGTTAACTGTCAAAGTGTCCGGTTTCCCTAAGCCCACTGTTCAGTGGTCCCACAACGGGCAGACCATAACGAGTTCGTCCGTCTATACATTCATTCACGAGCAAGATGAGTATAGCTTGGTGATTAATAAAGTTCAAAGGGATTTTGAAGGAGAGTACTCCTGTACAGTCAGTAATAGATACGGCCAGTCAACTTGCACTTCATATCTGCATGTTGAGCTGAAGGAGCCAGAAAGGGAGGAAAGAGATGATGAGACATTTGAACCAACTGGGAAACCCCCAGAATTCACTAAAACAATAGAGACTGTTCAGTTGTCCGAGGGAGGTCAAGCCTTCTTCAGGTACATTGTGACCGGAGATCCTCTCCCTGAGGTTCAGTGGCTCAAAGGCAGCTTCCACATTCAGCCTAGTGGGTTCTGTATCATTGTGAGCAACCCAGATGGATCAGGTTTTATTAATATTAAGAGTGTCAAACAAGAGCACAGTGGCATCTACACCTGCAAGGCCTCCAACCAATATGGGGAGGCGTCTTGTACTGCTGAGTTGCTGGTGGTCGTGGAGACAGTTCAGGAAGAGCACACATTGGTAAAGAAAACTAAAGGTTTGAAGATTTCCATGACTGAACAGTCAACAGAATCTAGGTTACATGAGGGAAGAACCCGATCTGATCAGATGATTTATACTATTAGCACCGAAGACCGGCAGATTATTCCCAGTGAGGAGGTGGGAACTCTCAGAGAGCTCGATATCTCTGCTGCCACCCTTCATCGAGAGCAGCTTACCCACCAGGCAGCAGTGCTGCAGTCTCATGAAATACAGGAGAGGGTTACTTTGGCTCCCACCCACCCACCTCAGGCCTCAGCTGTTCCTATGAAACAACTTCACATGGCGACTTTCTTGTCTTCCGTCCACGAGAGACGAAAGATCACTGAGCAGCACTCTGAACGAATTCTCAGCCCTGAGGTAGTCGAACTCCAGTTAGCCAAAGAGCAGCCGTCCAAGCTGATGTCGGCCACATCTGAAGAGGTCCTGCCACTCACCACAGTGAGAGCTGAGGCCTTGACGGACCAGACACTAGAGCACATGAAGACCTTGACTGAGCCCAGGCAGCTTGTTAGCGGTTACCAAATAGAGTCTCCTCTACCTGTCCTTGATGAAACTTCAAGCGTCCTGCACAGATCAGAGGAAGAGAGGAGTTTCAGAATCACAGAGGGGGTTAAGCTTTTATACTCGGCTCAGTCTACAGCACAGCTGCCCATCACAGAAAGGCACTCTGAGCCTATGCCAGCTTTAGATGCAGCTACCAAACCCCTCACCAAGAAAGAGCAGTCTGAACCAGTGGTAGCACCAGTGAGCGAAACTAGAGTGACGTTATCAAAAGAGCAGAAATTTGAAATTCACAGACTGGAGCAGGAGAGCATCAGTCCATGCAAAGATATCATATATAAATCAGCTATCGCTGCTGAAGAGAAATATGAATTCCAGGCTGAACAGGCAAGGCAGGTGCCAGGTATAGCATCTTCTGTGAATCTGCAGCCTCAGCGAGAGGGAGAAAGACTCCTGAACCTGCAGGTAATCAGTGATCAGGATGTTTTACAGTCCGAGGGAAGGTTCAGTTGTGAAAAACCCTGTAGAGAGCAGGCAGAGGCAAGGAAAAGTCCAACTGTGTTGCATTCAGTGACTCAAGAAGAGCAGAGAACTGTGATTTGTGAGGCAACTTCAGAGTTTGCAGCAAAGACTGACGCCATATCAGCTCAGGCAAAGAAAGAGGCACCACCGACAAAATACCTTCAGTCAGTTCATTCTTTATCAGTTCTACCAAAGGAAGGCTTACTTACCATCATTACACCCAACAAGCAGGTGGCGATGCAGAAGCAGGAGAAGGCTAGAAGACATGCAGCTACCTCAGAAGAGAGAAGAGAGATCACAATAGATTATCACAAAGATCTTGATTTGACGGTGACTGGGGTTCAGTCACAGCTTCAAACAGAGCCCAGACTAGCAAACATCCTCATGGTCTCCTCCCAGCCCATGCAGTTTCCAAAGGAGACTCCTTTTACTGCTGACATGAAGCAGCAGCGAGCACTAGTCCAAAAAGAGGATAATTGGAATATCATGCACTCTTTGAACGTCATAGACACTCAGACTCTTGAGGAAGGTCACACCATTAGTCTTGAAACTGATGAGAAATTCAGGCCCGAGATGAAAGTTGAGCCCAAGATCCCCAAAAGGCCTGTGTTCATAGAGGAGAAGGCCGTTGCTACTGAACGCTGTACTATCTTAGAAGCAGCTGAGCAGGACTTTGCGGTCCAGATCCAAGAGGGCCAGTCACTCCGACAGTCAGTGCTGCTTGAGGAGAAGCAGGTCATTATTGAAGAACATTCTAGTGAGATACATAAATCTACGGGCTCCTCTGTCAGCGTTGTGATGCAGCCCAAAGGAGTTCTGTTTGTCCATGAGTCTCAGGACACGGAAACTCTACCTAAGGAACTCAACTTTATCATTCAGATTCCCAAACCCTCAAGTCTGAATATACGGCGCCAGCTCAGAGATGCTCTTCAGTCTGCTGTGGCCAGCGACCAGTCAGTGCTGCTGGCTGATGTTGTAGGAAGGTTAGAGGTTGTGGAGGTACAGGAAGTGAAGGTTCAGAGAGAGCCCAAACAGGTCACGAATACTTATCTTATCACAGCACCAGGTGCTCCCATAGAGATCACACTGTCTTTTGAGGGTGAATACCCTCAGACAGCTGACCTCAGGTCTGAACTCCAGGTAGCTCTGCATGCTATGGTTTTCCAGGAGCAGCAAAGTCTTACATCAGAGCAATCAGGCACCATGCAGATTGAAAAGCCTCAGAAAGCGCTAGTCAGGTCAGCACCCTCTAAAGAGGTGTTGTCATCTGTGGTGGACACTGTGATTGTGGCAGAGAGTGCAGTTGGTTTTCCTCCTGCCATGTCTCAGTCTGCAGCCATCAAAACTGAGGACAGGGCGTCCTTCGAAAGTGCAACGGTTCAGAGTCAGTCTGAGATCCGACAGTCTGAGCAGGTAAGCAGGAAGACAGTAAAGGTACAGAGGGATGTCTCCGCTGCTGAAGCAACTGCCAGTGTCCCTGTGGGCCAGGTTCCTGTTGAACAATGCATGGACATTTTTGTCCATAGAGAAACAAGAGAGGAGTATCTCTCAGAGGCAATCATGATCAGTGAGTCCTCAGACAGTCTGGTAGATTATCCTGTTGTCGTTGACTCTCTGGAAGAAGTTTACACTGAGGAAAACAGCAAGGCCATTTTTACTGCCACCATCAAGTATGTCACCAAAGTAAACTGGTTTTTCAATGGGCAATTGGTGAAATCTGGCAAAGAGTTCAAGTGTTCTAAAGACCACGACACATACACACTAGTTGTCAACAAAGTTGTCAAGGAGAGGCATCAAGGAGAATATGTCTGTGAGGCTGAGAATGAAGTCGGCAAGACGACAACATCTTCAAGACTCACTGTGGTCTCAAGAGGTTTGGTGATGGACAATTCTTTGATATCATCATCAACTAACTTCACACATTGGTAAACTTCACATTCTGTTGTCTGCAAACCTCAACCATAACTCAAGTTGAATGTTGAGTATTTTTCAAGCAAAACAAAATGTGTAGGTTTGAGGTTTTCACCCGACAGCAGTAAAATCCTCACAGCTCATCCATTCTTCCACAAACACATTACCCTCATATCTACTCCTGTTTTCTTCCAAGGAATCACCTTTGACTCCATCTCCTTAAACATCCATCATTCCTCACTCCTGGTCCATTCTTTTGTGCATGCTTTCTCTACTTTTCTTATCACAGAACTCCTGTTCATCTCCTCTTCAACATAAACCTAATACCATCTTCCTCCTCCACAGTCACAACAGGATAATTCTGTGTTTGTCACTTTCCATCCCAGGCTCACTACATCACCACCGCCAGTAGAAACATTCCATTTTGCTTCCATTTCGACTTCTTCCGTTTATTTACTTTGTCTTTTTATCTCTCTTTCCCTCCAAAAACACAGTGAAACCTGTGTTCAGGCACAGAATTGTCCCTATGGAGATCAACATTGGCAACAGTGCCAAGTTTGAATGTGAAACCGAGGACGCTCCGAATGTGAGCTTCAAGTGGTTCAAAGATGGGCAGTCCATCAGAGAGGGTGATAAGTACAGGATTATCAGTCGCTTCAGCACTTCCTCTCTGGAGCTTCTGGCCCCCACCAAGGAGGACAGTGGTGAATACACCTGCAAGGCGTCCAATCAACATGGCAGTGATGAATGCTCCGCCTCTCTCAGTGTGACAGGTAAGAGCGACGCATGTTTCTTTCCCCTTCGCTGGTTGAGTTTGGGGCTGTTATTGGTGTTGTAGTTGATTTTTTTCCTACAAGGTGTCATTGTTTGTTCTCTGCTGGTCTTCTTTTGATAGTCACCAGTGCCGGAGACGTCCTGCTTGCTTAATTTTTTTTTAAAAAGAAAAAAAATTTCCTGCTTGCTGTTTTTTTGGCAGGGTTAATTAACAGGGTACGACATATTACCACTAATGTGTTTCTCTTTTTCTTAATTCTTATAGAGCAATATCCTCCTGCCTTTGTAACTAAACCTGACCCTCAGACTGTGTATGTTGGTAAGAGGGCAATGATACAGTGTGTAATAACAGGATCTGCTCCTCTGAATGTTGTCTGGCTCAAAGACAATCAGGACTTACCCAAAGTGCCTGCACAATACCAAACCTTTTGTGAAAAGAACAAACACACTCTTGAGATAACCAGACTTGAGGCAGCTGACAGGGGGCTTTATGTTTGCAAAGTGTCTAATAATGTTGGGACGGCTGAGTGCAGCATGGAGCTGCGTGTCATTGATAAGCCCAACTTTGTAAAGCCTCTGGGTCCTGTCGCTGCTGTGGTTGGAGCTCCTCTGCATCTGGAGTGTCAGGTGGATGAGGACACTGGAGTAAATGTCACCTGGACCAGAGATGGTAGAAAAGTCCACCAATCTCCAGACTGTAAACTGTCTTTTGAGGATAAGACAGTGACCCTTGATATCATAAAGACAACACTGAAAGATTGTGGAAATTTTGTGTGTACGGTGGCAAATGAAGCCGGGAGTGCAACATGCTCCACTTCGGTGAAGGTACAAGGTAAGAGCTGTCTACTTGATTTTCATGAATACTGCAGCATTTGAAGCTGTTGCAAATCTGCAGTACTGAAAATTAAGATAATGTTATACTGAGGTTTCTGATGTACATGGTATTAATGCAGCTCCAGCTGTTCTTTTTAAAATCTTACACCACTTCTCTCTCAATGCTGGGTTGCTATTTTTGAAATGACTTGGCTCCTTCACCCACACACCTCTGCAGAGCCACCAGTCTTTGTAAAGAGGCTGGAAGCCGCCACAGTCTGGAAGCAAGGCAGCACTTCACGACTGCAGTGCACCATCAAAGGATCCCCTGAACTTCACACCACCTGGTTCTTTAATAACAGTGAGCTGTCTGCTGGAGGCAGATACAGCATCAGTCTGAAGAATGGTGTGGCCACTCTTGAGATACACGAAGTCATGTTGAGTGACAGTGGAAACTACACCTGCGAGGTTCTCAATGAGTCTGGCTGTGAAAGTTGTAGCACTAAAGTAACAGTGAAAGGTATGTAGACTTAGACAGTATTTATTATAGAACCAAATTTACAGTCAGAATAAGATTCGTCAAATTGAACCACATGTTTCCCTTCAGAGCCACCATCTTTCAAAAAAGAGCCGCTCTCCATAGAGGCGGTCAGAGGATCTGTGGCTGTGTTGGCGTGTGAACTATCAGGTTCTTCACCATTCGAGGTGTCTTGGAAAAAGAATAAGAAACGCCTGAACACAGATAAGAAGTACAGGATAATGTCACAGGGAGCCATCACCTCTCTGGAGATCCACTCATTCGAGAGTGCTGACACAGGGGAATACGAATGTGTCGTATCAAATGAGGTCGGGTCAGTGTCCTCAAAGTCTGTGGCTAAACAGAAAGGTTAGTGATGTACAAAAAAACACAAAACAGGCGTTTTGTAATCTTTGTAGCCCTCTCGACTGTTGTCTATATAATAATTACTAATACTGTTATTCTAGAACCACCTATGTTCTCAAAGAGGATTGAGAGTGCTACAGCAGTGTTGGGAAATACAGTGAAGCTACAGGGAACCCTAAAAGGCTCAGCTCCCATAACTGTCAAATGGATGAAAGACTCTGAGCTGCTAAGAGATGACGATCCAAACCTCAAAATGAAATATGAGAACAACATCACAAGCATTTCCTTCTCCTCTGTTGAGATAAAACACAGTGGCAAGTACACTTGCGTCGCTGAAAATGAGGCAGGACAGCAGAAGTGTGAAGCAGTCTTAACGGTTCAAGGTCAGAACACGTTCCTATTGATGGGAAATATTTTCAAAGTTTAGATGTCAATGTTTATAAAGTCTAAAATTCATGTTGCATTTTAGAACCCGCTAGGATCTTAGAGAAAGCAGCGTCCATCAGTGTGACGACAGGGGATTCGGCCACATTGGAGTGCACCATCTCTGGAAGCCCAGAGCTCAAAGTGAAATGGTTTAAAGATGGTAAAGAGATGATCAGTGGCCGTAAATATAAGATGACAGTGAAGGAGAACACTGCCACCTTAAAGATCCTCACAGCAGAGAAAGGAGACACTGCAGAGTACAAGATGGAGGTGTCCAATAAAGTTGGAAAAGACCAGAGCACATGCTCAGTCACTGTGATAGGTTAGTTTACATCAGTAATAACACCTGATAGATAGAGTTGGCCCGTGATGACAGTTACATGACTGATGTACTTCCCCACACAGGTCGTCCAGTTCCACCATCCTTCACTAAAGCTCTTAAGAAAGTGGATGGGAGGATCGGTAGTAACATTACCTTGGAATGCAGAGTTTCTGGATCTCAGCCAATGGTTGTTTCTTGGTACAAAGACAACCGAGAAATCCACAGTGATGACAAATATAAGCTTGATTTCAGTGGGAGTACAGCTTCTGTACTGATAACAGGCCTGGATCAAAGTGATGGTGGAGTTTACACCTGTCAGGCCTCTAATGATGCTGGGGAAAAAGAAACCAGTGGCACTTTGTCCATCAAAGGTCAGAGGACATGAATGACTTTAGATTAAACAAGAACTTGGCAGACATTACAAATGATCATTAGTTATTTATAGGCTTTGAACATGAATGCTGTTTTTTTCCCTAATAACTCCAGAACCTCCAGTCTTCACTGTGAAACCTGAATCCCAGGACGCTTCACCAGGATCAAACATTGTGATGAAATCAACCTTTACAGGATCAGCTCCTCTGGCTGTTAAATGGTTCAGAGAGGAGAAAGAGGTTTTCACTGGGGGAAAATGTTTCATAAAGAAAGATTCCTCTTCAAGCTCCTTGGAGCTTCACTCTGTGAAACCTAGCGACTCTGCTAAGTACACTTGCCAAGTGTCCAATGATGCTGGGAGGGTGGACTGCACTGCATTACTCTTTGTAAAAGGTGCTGTTTCATACTTCCTTTTTGAAAAGTGATTAGGTGACTGATTTTTTTTTTTGCTAAACCTCTTTTTATTATAATTGTTACTATTAATTTACAGAAGCCCCAACATTTACAATGAAGCTGGAGCCTTCACAGCTGCTAAGAACTGGACAGCCCCTGAATTTGTCCTGCAAAGTGCAGGGTACCCCTGTCATTAGCATCAGGTGGTTTAAAAATGGCTCAGAAATCATTTCAGACCACAGACACACTATGTCCTTCGACAGCTCAATAGCAACTCTGGAGGTAGAGAACTGCTCTGTAGAGGACGGTGGTGATTATGTCTGTGAGGCGTCCAGCGAGGCCGGCAGAGACCAATGCAGCAGCTCAGTAACAGTGAAAGGTTGGTTCAGTCTTCTTCATACAGTTGGTACAAAGCCTGGTCCACAGTGTTCTTTAACATGTTTATTACTGCCTACGTTCACTAGAGAGTGCGAACGATTAGATTCCTGTCTATCACCACAAAGACCAGGGGTTATATTACGCAGAGAGACCATCTAGCTACACAATCAGGCAGAAAGCCAGTTATTTTTTACTCATGACTCCTACTAGTTCCTCGACCTAAAGATTTAAGTTGTCTGATGACTGTAAATTCCCAATCGGTTTAAATGGTTGTCTATCTCAGTGTCAACCATGTGATTCTCTTGCGACCTGTCCAAATCCAAACCCCACCTCTTGCCAGTTGTTAGCTGGGATTAGCACCAGCTCCCCACAATCCTGTAAAGGATAAGTGAGTATAGCTAATAGATGGATGGATAAACTCCAACACCAACTCTTACGAACATGTAAGCCTACACTGAAAAGGTTTTCTTGACGAACCAGAGTTTCACAGAAGCTCACAGATTAGCTGATTTGCATAAATCAAACCTGCATGCCGTGCAAAATAATTGGTTGTATGTCAAGACAGGGGTTTCATACTGAGAATAAAAAATATAAACGTTACATAAATTGTTCGTAGAATTATGTAAGAAACAGTGAAGCAAATGTTGCAAATGACCCGAAATGACACAGTGATATAGCCGAGATATATTTTATGTACTCCACGTCACAAGGATTTTTAACAAGCACTTCTCAGTCAACGAATGAAGATGAATTCTGTGGACCAGACTGATCTCATGAGACCAGAACTTTAAATATAACATTTATTATCTTTTTTCTATAGAGCCTCCAGTGTTTGTGAGGTCGTTTGAATCAGCTGAGCATGTGAAAGGATCCGATATTATCTTGGAAGGAACCGTGTCAGGTTCTGCTCCATTTGAAATAAGTTGTTTCCTCAATGATAAGCCAATCAGAAACGACTCAAAGCATCAAATCAGTGTGGAAAATGACACAGTCACTGTTCAGATTTCAAACTGTGCAACCGGAGACGCTGGGACGTATCAGTGCACTGTTGCAAATGATGTTGGAGAGACATCTTGTTCTTGCCAGATTTCATTGAAAGGTTAGTCCAAGGACAGTGTCAGATGCTGTTGTCCGAGGTTATCTCACTGCATGCTGCCTCTTTATGAACGATGTTTGTATGCAAATGTGGCAAAAACTGTGTGTGTAAATCCTCCTGCAGCCTGGAGTCTGATTTGTGGTCTTTTCTCACTAGAACCACCATCATTTGTTCAGAGACTAGAGGATATGTCCTGCATGGTGGGCTCTGAAATCTCTCTGAAGTGCATGTTGTCTGGATCACTTCCCATGACTTTCTCCTGGATCAAGGATGATCATGAGCTCACAGAAGACGAGCATGTTAAGATGTCCCATGAAACTAAAAGTGCCATTTTGAATTTGAAAAATGCTCAGTTATCACACGGCGGGAAATATGTGTGTCAGGCACAGAACAAAGCTGGGACTCAGAGATGTGCTGCCGTGCTCATTGTGACAGGTTTGTGGGACGTTTCTGGCTCTTACTTGTCTGTCGCTTTTATGTCAAGCTTGATGCTTTATCTGTCATAAAGATTTGATTTTGATCATTTTGTTATCAGAGCCAGCAAATATTTCAGAACATGCAAAGTCCATCAGTGTAACCCAGGGTGACCCAGCCAGGCTTGAATGCAGATTCTCAGGCACCAAACCTCTCAAGTCCAGATGGATGAAGGCAGGGAAGGAGTTGACCTCAGACCACAGATACAGAATACAGAGCACAGACTCCAGCTCTGTGCTCAATATTATCAGAACAGAGGAAGGGGATAGTGGTGAATATACCTGTGAGGTTTCTAACATTGCCGGCTTCAGTTCTTGCGAAGCATCAGTTACTGTCTTAGGTCAGTTTATAACAAAGTTTTGAGATTTGCTTGTGTATCACATTCAAACAATCAACTTAACACACTGTTTTGCACTTTGTATGCAATAGATCAGATTATTAAACCGTCTTTCACAAGAAAACTGAAGGAGACAGAAGGTATCAAAGGATCATTCGCTCAGCTGGACTGTCTTGTATCTGGCTCCCTGCCAATAATCATACAGTGGTACAAAGATGAGACAGAAATCCAGACCGATGTCAAACACAAATGTACATTTTGTGAAAATGTTGCATTCCTGGAAATCTCTCGTCTTGACAGTCACGACAGTGGGCGCTATACCTGTATGGCTAAAAACAGGGCGGGGTCAGTCTGGTGCTCTGAGACTTTGTTTGTTAAAGGTTAGAATTCATTTTGCATCTTCAGCACCCTGTAACAGTTTCATGTATAATCACATTGAGTATGTTGTGACTATGTTATAATAGAAGTGTTGGGTTTTGTCCTCCAACAGAACCACCACGCATTCTTGAAAAGCCTGAATCCATGAATGTTTTGCCTGGGTCAAAGGTTGTGTTTAATGTTCGTGTTTCTGGCACACCACCGCTGACCATCAAATGGTTTACAAATAAGAAAGAAATTTTATCCGGCTCTGACTGCTTGGTGACCAAAGACAACATCTCAAGTTCACTGGAGCTCTTCTTTGCCAAAACCTCTGACTCTGGAGACTTTATGTGTGAAATACAGAATGATGTCGGTTCCACTTCATGTCAGGCATCACTCTTTGTGAAAGGTTAATATTGGTCTCTCACTTTTATCAGTTTTCTTTACTTTGTAGTCACCATTCTGAAGTTACTGTATTCTGTATGTGTTTTTCAGAACCCCCCTCTTTCATTGAGAAACCTGAGGGCGTGTCAGTAGTAAGAGTAGGAGTAAGGAAGGTGTTTGAGTGCAAGGTTGCTGGTACTCCAGACATCTCTGTGCACTGGTTCAAAGATGGAGCTGAGATTCTCCAAAGTGACAAATACAAGATGTTGTTTGTCAACTCTGTAGCCTCCTTAGAAATTTGTCAAGTTAGTGAACATGACAGCGGGAAATATTTCTGCGAGACTTGCAATGAAGCTGGTACAGAGAGTTGCCCTGTTGAGCTAGAAGTGAAAGGTTGGTTTACCTTTTCATGTTTACATCTTGTCAACATTTAACTTAACCGTTAAGATAAAGTTAGATATTTTGTCACTAACAGAAATCAAAGATTGTTTTAGTTTGATTTGCTTTGTTATTTCAGAGCTTCCTGTGTTTATTGAGGAGTTGACGTCTCTTGAAGTTGTTAAAGGGTCCACAGCAGTGTTTGCTTGCACAGTGGCAGGAAGTTCTCCATTTAAGGTCACATGGTTCAAAGATAAAAAGCCAATCAAATCCAGCCAAAGGTATGTTATCATTGACGGTGAAAAAGTGGGCTTGAAAATCCAGGACTGTAGAGAGGAAGATGTTGGCACTTATCAATGCATGGTAGCCAATGAGGTTGGAAGTTGCACTGGCTTTGCAGCTTTATCTCTGAAAGGTTGGTTCTACTGATGATTGAACATCACACTGATATACATGAAGCATACAGCACTGTACATTATCTGGTACTACATAACATACTTTGTTTGTATTAGTGCCTCCAGTATTTGTAAAGAAGATAGAGAATGTCTCCACCATTCTGGGTGATGTCGCAGTCTTTCGCTGTGTGGTGAAAGGTTCTCTGCCTCTCTCTATACAATGGCAAAAAGATGAGAAGTGGATCCCAGAGGATCCAAAGACTGAGAGAGGATTTGAGAACAAAGAGGCCACTCTCAGGATTCCTGCCTGTGAGGCAACTCATGGTGGGAAATATACCTGCCAGGTGGTAAATGAAGCCGGGCAGGACAAATGCTTTGCCACTCTTGTAGTGCAAGGTACTTCTGCTTCATGCATGGTTATTATGCCTAACATTATAGCTAGCTCTAACAGCAATAAGAAGTGTACTCATGTTTTTCTCTTGATGTTGTAGAACCACCTATGATCCAAGAGAAGCCAGAGGTAGTCAAAGTAACGTGTGGGGATCTGGTTAGTCTTGAGTGCAGGGTAGCTGGGACTCCTCAGATCCATGTAAGATGGACCAAAGATGGTATAGAGCTCCACTCAAGCAGAAAACATCATCTGTGCTATGAGAACAACCTGAGCAGTCTTCACATACAGTCCTCTCAGCTGGAGGACAGCGGCGAGTACCTGTTTGAAGCTACAAACTCTGTTGGGTCTTGTAGCTGTAAAGTCATGCTGGTTGTTTTAGGTTTGTAAAATACTCTTCAACTCTCAATAGAACAAATATAAGCTATAGAATTGCTTTGTTCCTTCAACTCCAATTATGTTTTAATATCGTTTTGAACAGATGAGGTCAGTCCTCCAGCGTTCATTAGGAAATTAACAAACATTCAAGCAGTTATGGGCTCAGTGGTTACGATGGAGTGCAAAGTGGCTGGTTCTCTTCCATTATCAGTTGAATGGAGCAAAGGGAAACAAAAGATCACCAAATGCTCCAAATATAAACTTCTGCACATTGACAATACAATCTCACTGGAGTTAAAGCTGACAGAGAGCAGTGATACAGGAGAGTACTCCTGTAGAGTTACCAACAAAGCAGGCAACTGTGTGTGCAGTGGAATTCTCACAGCTAAAGGTTAGCATTCAGATGTGAATGTTATCACATTTTCAACTCAGGCTGTTGGTCATGTTTTGTAATAATCTTTCTGTATGGGTTTTAGTGCCACCAAGCTTTGTAGCTGAGCCTGAGTCTCAGGCTGTCACTCCAAAGTCTACTGTACTCTTCAGAAGTGTCTTTGAAGGGACACCTCCGTTTGCAATCAAATGGTTCAAGGATGACATGGAACTCATCTCAGGGCTGTCATGTACAATTAGACTGGAGAAATATTCTTCCTCTGTAGAACTCTACTCAGTTGGGACTCTGCAATGTGGGATTTATTCTTGCCACATTAGCAACGACGCAGGAGCAGTGAAAAGTGCAGCAGAGTTGTTGGTGAAAGGTTGGACTATTCTTTTTTTGGTCCACCATCGCCATTCAATTAACTCCATCTTTGTTCTCCATTTTTACAGCTTCTCTTTCTTCACCATCATTCTCTCTGGCCGACCATCTCACCATTTCTTTTATAGTATATATGTTGTCTTCAGAATCACTTGTCCACATCCTCCATACGTCACATTGATTAGGCTGACAATGGTAACTTGATCTTTTTTTGACTTTGCAGAACCTCCTCAGTTTGTTGTGAAACTGCCTCCCACTACCTTTGTGAAGCAGTGCGAGGGACACCGTTTTGAATGCAAGGCCACCAGCTCAAACTGCCTGAATATATGCTGGTACAAAAACGACCAAAAGATAACCGACGGAGGCAACTATAAAATAATGTGTGTTGACTCGACTGCGTACCTCCAGCTGCAGAGTGCAAGGTTTGAGGATAATGGAGCCTACACCTGTGAGGCTCATAACGATGCGGGCAGTGCAAGCTGCAGCACCATTCTCACGGTTCAAGGTCAGCTATTGAGTAGAAATGTTGGCTGTATGTTTTTTTGTGGATTTTGTTCCCTCTATAGTATGAAAATATGGAATTAAAATTCCCTAAGATGCAGATGTTGATGGAGTTTGATCTTCCATGAGCGTTTTTGAACCCTGTCTTAAACCTTCAGCATGGAATCCGACAGCACCGCCTTTTGTCTCAGTCATAAATCTGATTTCTGTCCTCCAGTGTGTCAGATCGCATGAGTCTGAGTGGTACCTCTTTTTAAGACATGTTTTTGCCTTTTTTTATGTAATGGCATTCAATCTATCCTCAAATTCCTTGCCCATGTTCATCTCCCTGGACTCAACGTGATATGACTTACCCTCCTGTCAAAGCATGAACATAAGCGAGTGTTTCATTCACTCGCTTAAGATGAGATGAGATGAGACACTTCGCATGGACTGAACTTCAGCATGACCCTCAATAAGGACTTACATCGAGTGGAACTGTCCTGCCAAACTGCAGGGAAACTGCAGTGAAGACTTGATTGTCCATGAATGTGGCCTCTTCTTAATTTATCTCAATGTATTTTCCAGAGTCCCCATCCTTTATTAAAACCCCAAGCCCAGTGGAGGGCATTAATGGGAAAGATGCCAGCCTGCACTGTGAGATGTATGGCACTCCACCTTTCCAGGTTAACTGGTACAAAGACAAAAGGCCTCTAAAGGAGAGTAGGAAGTATAAGATGGTCAGTGAGGGCAGCTCTGCAACACTTCACATTATGAAACTGGAGCAGGATGACGCTGGTCTTTATGAGTGCAGGGTGTCAAACAATGTAGGAAGTGAATCCTGCCGCACTACCATTACCCTGAAAGGTTAGTACAGAATCAGTGGCCAATTTGTCAAATCTTAGTCCTAGTGCGATCATGTCTCCTCACTATGATCTTTCCATCACTATTCAGAACAACCAGCGTTTGTCAAGAAACTGGTCGACCAGTCCGTGAGAGACGGTGAGCAGCTGACACTGACAGCTACAATAAAAGGCTCTGAACCTTTGACTGTGTCCTGGGTTCAGGACAAAGATCACATCCTCAGAGATGGTGACAACAGGAGGATCACCTTTGAGAACAATGTGGTTACTCTTGTAGTGCCCAAGGCTGACTCAACCACAGCTGGTAAATACACCTGCCAGCTGAGGAATGACTCTGGGGTTGTAGAGTCCGTCTCCCAAGTGACCGTTCTAGGTTTGTAGAATGCCAGATGTTATTTCATTACCACCAGTGACAATGTAAGGATTAATTTTGGTTAATATCTTCTTCCCTAATTTCTAGAACCTGCTGCTATTGTGGATAGTCCAGAGTCCTTGAATGTGAAGTCAGGAGAAAATGCAGCTCTTGAGGTCACAGTGTCTGGCTCACCAGAACTGAAAGTTAAGTGGTTTAAAGATAACAAAGACCTATCTGCTGGTGCCAAGTATCAGATGTCCTTCACAAAGAAGGTTGCCACCCTGAAGATTCGATCTGCTGACAAAGCAGATGCTGGAGAATACAAATTAGAGGTTACAAACCATGTCGGTCAAGCCTCTTGCAAAACTAAGCTATCTATCTCAGGTTGGTGCCCATTGCGTACATGCGAGTTTATGAACTTTCTTGGCCTCTTTCTTGACCCTGTTAATTATACTCAGCTCAGAAATGCTCTATAATGTGCTGTTTTTCTTACAATAGATAAATTGATTCCACCAAGTTTCATAAGGAAGCTGAGAGACACCCACCTTGTTGTGGGTAAGCCTGGTGAAATGGAGTGTAAAGTTACTGGCTCTTCTCCTTTAACAACTTCCTGGTTCCACAACGGCCAGGAGATCAAAATTGGGCCAAACTATGACATTAGCTGCACCAATAATAACTGCAAACTGAGAGTTCCAACTATCAGGATGTCGGATTCTGGCAAATACACATGTAAAGCTGTAAATGCTGCAGGAACCAGCGAGACAAATGCTTCGATGAATGTGACAGGTCAGTAGATGCAAACAAAGTCAAAAACAAAATATTTCAAGGATGTTTTCCTAAGCACGGGATCAGAAACTTAACCATTATCTTACAATCCATCTTTTTTATTTAAACCCAGAACCTCCATCTTTTGTGGAAACGCCTGAGGCGAAGGAAACATTGCCTGGCGAAAAAGTGTCTTTCTCAGCTAAAGTGAGAGGCAGTGCCCCCCTGAAAGTGAAATGGTTCAGGGGAGCCAAAGAAATGCAGCACGGAAGAGGCTGCGAGATCGCCCTGAAGGACGATGTCGCCACTTTAGTGCTTAACAGAGTTGAACAGTCCCACGCTGGCGAGTACACCTGCCAGATCATTAATGATGCAGGGAAGGAAAGCTGCCCAGTTCACCTGTTTGTAAAAGGTTTGTTCAGGGATAGTTGATCTTTTTTAACCATCTGTGCACTTCTACAAACGAATTTTATGTAACTGATCATGGACATACCTCTCTCAGAACCAGTCCACTTTGTGAAGAAGCTGAGGAACATTTCCTCTGAAAAGGGCAAGCCTCTAAGGCTTGAGGTCACATTTGCTGGAACTCCCAGGGTAAATGTGTCCTGGAAGAAGGATGGAAAACTCCTCCAGGCTTCATATCAGTACAATGTGATCACCACTGACGCCTCCTGTATCCTGGAGGTTCTTAACTCTGACAGGATGGAGGCAGCCGGAAGATACTCTTGCGAAGTAGACAACAGAGTTGGAAGTGACAGATGCGAAGCACAAGTGTCAATTCTAGGTAAAATTATTAAAGTGCATGCGATTCATGACCATTCATTTATTAAGTAATTCACTCATTCATTCTTTCACTTGTTCATCCAAAACTCAACATCTGTATTCATACTAAACCACCATCATCATCTTTCACTTTAGAACGACCATACTTTGTTGAAACGATGGAGCCAGTGGAGCTAACTGTTGGTGAGCCAGTTACCCTGAAATGCCGTATTGCGGGAACTCCTGACATCTCTGTAGCTTGGTTCAAAGCTGATGGAAAAGTGCACAAGTCCAACACTTGCTCAATGGACTTTACAAACGGTGTTGCCACTTTACAGCTGATCAAAACAACCAAGTTTGATCACGGAGAATATATCTGCAGGGCTGAGAACCGGATTGGTTCAGCATCCACCAGCTGTAATGTGACAGTGAAAGGTGATGTTCGTTTTCCGTCCTCCTTTATGTTGTCCTATGTTAATGAATCGTTCTTGTTCAATGAAAATGTATCAGTCAACAGGCAACAGTAGATCAGCATGTTATTTCTGTCTCTCTTTGAAAGCAGTGACTCATACTCTTTTAATTATTCAAAAATTACCCTAAAAATCCCTTCAGGTGCTAATGTAGTTAATACTAATGTAACTCTCACTTCATAGTCCATCAGTAACATTACATCCATGATAGCAAAATTAACTTTGACGTAGAGGCATAGAAATGCATGGCAACATAACAGTGGGCACATTTCTAACACCAGCATTGCTTCTCTCAGAACCTGTGCGTTTTATCAAGAAGCTGGAGGAAAATACTTTCATAGTTGGTCAGCCACTGAAATTAGTCTGTACATACGCCGGAAGCCAGAGGGTCTATGTCACCTGGAAGAAGGACGACAAGCTGATTTGGGCCTCTTATCAGTACAATGTTAGAACTACTGATTCAACCTGCATTCTGGAGGTCCTCAACAGCGACAAGCCTGAGGCAGCTGGAAAGTACACTTGCGAAATTTCCAATGGAGTTGGAACTGACATCTGCCACGCTTGTATCAGCCTAGGTAAAGTCACCAGCTCTTAAAACACCATCTGATTTCAATTCATCAACTAACTGTGTCAATAACAGGCCCTCTGCTTTTGCTCATTAGCCACAGTAGTGTGTGGTGGTAAATTATTATCTCACTTACTTGAGACTACCGCATGATCTCTATTACTTGCTTGCTAAATGCAACTAACCTGATCATTGCTTTTCTTAGAACCGGCTCGCTTTGTGCAAAAACTGGAAGACACGTATTTCAGACTCTGCGAACCTTTGACCCTCAAGTGCACCTACTCTGGTAGCCAAAGAGTGTGTGTGACCTGGAAGAAGGATGACAAACTAATCTGGGCATCATATAAGTACAACGTCAAGACCACCAATGACACCTGTATCCTGGAAGTTCTTAATAGTGACCGAGAGGAGGCTGTCGGAAGATACACCTGTGAAGTTTCTAATGCTGAAGGAACCGATACCTGCCATGCAAATGTTAAACTAGGTAAACCACCTGAGCAACATACCTCATCATTTCATTACAGGGATTCGAAATCACTCTAATCCTCTAAATTTCCATATGATATACGATATGATCATACAATTGGCTTGTTTTAAAGGCTTAACAGCACTGCTTACATTATCTAACACCACCATTGCTAACTCATTTCTTAGAACCTGTTCGCTTTGTGAGAAAACTGAGAAACACCTTCTATAAAATTGGCCACCCATTGACGCTGGAGTGCACATTCACCAGCAGCCAGAGGATTTATGTCAGCTGGATGAAGGATGGAAAACCCATCTGGGCGTCTTACAAATACAATGTCAAAACCACCAACTTCTCCACCACCCTGGAAGTTCTCAACAGCGACAGTCAGGAAGCCACTGGGAAATACTCATGCAAGATTTCCAATTCAGAGGGCACTGATATTTGCCATGCTGTGATAACGATAGGTAGAGCCACTAACAAACACACCTCATGAACAGCAATTTCAAAATGTCAAGAATCATAAACTGTAGCAAATCCCCTGCAGACTAATCCTTTTACATGCAAACATGCAACTAACATCACCATTGCCTCCTATAGAACCTGTACGCTTCCTAAAAAAGCTGGAAGACACCACTTTCAGACTCTGCCAGCCCCTGTCGCTGTACTGTGCTTACAGTGCCAGCCCCAGGGTCTATGTGAGCTGGAGAAAGGATGGCAAACCAATCTGGGCCTCCTACAAGTACAATGTAAAGACCACAGATAACTCCTGTGTTTTGGAGATCCTCAACAGTGACCGGCTAGATGCAGCAGGGAGATATTCCTGTGAAATTTCTAACTCTGAGAGCACTGCTGTCTGCCATGCACAGGTCAAACTAGGTAAAACATTAAATATGAAGGGTAATAGTGAGGGCTCATTGTTTTCGGTTTTTAATTTTTCAAACAAATTTATCAGTATTTGGTGTTTAAAATGATTAAAAACTGAAAATAATGAGTCTAATTTGTAGTTTTACTAGTCACAATTACAGTTTAGTTGACAGCTCTATTTCATGTAATCTGACAGGCGACTAACAACTAACATCATTGCCTCCTAGAACCTGTGCGCTTTGTGAAAAAGCTGGAAGATATGACCTTTAGGGTTGGCCAACCTCTGAGGCTTCAGGTCACATACACAGGCAGCCAGCATGTGTATGTGAGCTGGACTAAGGATGGCAAGCCAATCTGGGCTTCCTATAAGTACAACGTAGTGACTGCAGACAGCTCCTGTGTCTTGGAGGTTCTCAACAGTGACAGAGAAGAGGCTGCTGGGAGATATTCCTGTGAAATATCCAATGCTAGTAGCTCTGCTATCTGTCACGCTTATGTCAAACTAGGTAACTCCACCTAACATGCTCATTCACTGATTTCACTGAACAGGTCAGGTCACATGACTCGACTAACACCAGTGTTGCTTCTCTCAGAACCAGTGCGTTTCGTGAAAAAGCTACAAGACACATCATACTATCTGGGCAATCCATTGAGTCTGATGTGCACGTACACCGGCAGTCAGCAAGTACATGTGAGCTGGATGAAAGACAAGAAGCCGATCTGGGCTTCGTACAAATACAACATCAAGACGACCAAGTCCTCATGTGTTTTGGAAGTACTCAATAGTGACAGAGAAGAAGCTGCTGGGGTCTATTCTTGTCAAGTTTCTAACGCAGGAGGTTCTGCCATCTGTGATGCTTATGTCATTAGTAAAACCTCAAAGAAAGGTACAAGCATTCATCTCATTTATTAACACTGACCATTAAATCATTGCTAGTACATAGCTGTAGAAAGCTAAAGTTTCATCCTACTCCTGGATTAGTTTTTAGTGCCTCTTTTTTGGCCTTTCAGAAAAACTGAAAGGAGATACTGAGGTTTATGGTTCAGATTCTAAAGGACTGGGTTTATTCAAAATTAGATGGCACACAGTTCTTTTATACTACACTGGGTGTCCGCAGAGGAAGTGTCCGTGTGTTAATTTGAGAAAAGGTTGTACATTTCTATCCGAACCCAACCAAAGTCCCAGAGAGTAGTAACCGAACCCGAGCCCAATGCAGTTAGATTAAACCAAAGCACTGAGTTTGTGTTGCACAGTTGCTTTTACCAAGCTCATATCTTGCCTGTTTACCCTGATGACACTGTGGGCAACCTGCAAATGATTGTCAAAAGGACAAACCTGACCCAAACCCAAACAAGATTCTTTTTTTTTGGGTACAATTCATGGTTTTTGTCCTGTTCCCTGACAAATGTTTAAAACACTTATATAGTTGTCATGTTTTCAGAAAGACAATTGGAAGAAACTGTGTGATGGAGGCTAATGGAACTGCTCTGGGAGTTGGGTGGCACTTTGGCTGACTATATTCTAACATACTTCATATAATAATTCAGTCAATTATAATTAGGGATTCATGGTTGTATTGTAATTATAACATCTGCTCACTCAACATCGCTTTGCTTCTAACAACCATCACTGCTTCTCACAGAGCCCGCTTGCTTCATCAGGAAGCTGGAAAACACCACATTCAGAGTCGGTGAACCACTGACACTTAGAGTTGCATTCAGCGGTAGCCAAAGAGTGAATGTGAACTGGAAAAAAGACGGCAAACTGATCTGGGCCTCTTATCAGTACAATGTGCAGACCACAGACTGCAGCTGCGTTCTTGATGTCCTCAACAGTGACAGAGAAGAGGCTCGTGGAAGATACACTTGTGAAATTTCCAATGCTGAGGGCTCCGATATCTGCCATGCTTATGTCAAACTAGGTAACACTAACCAACAACACAGTGCTTCTAGTTCTCATCATTTACTTCATGCATGTGTTTGATTTTTCCTAAAGGTAACCACTAATGCTGCTTACATGGCCTTTCCACCACATGCAATGTTTCTAACCTTCATGTAGAGTTAAAGATTCCTTCATTCACATCGCTTCTCTTTCTGCCTATTAAATCATCCACGGACTCCTTTGGATACTGTGCGGTCACATAGTCTTTCATCCTCCGCGTGTAACGATCAGTAATTTCTATGACTGACTTCAACATTGCTTCTCTCAGAACCTGTACAATTTGTCAAGAAACTAGAGGACATCTGCCATGAGCTGGGTAAACCCTTGAGACTGGAGTGCACTTACACTGGCAGCCAGAGGGTCTACGTGACCTGGAAGAAAGACGGCAAACTAATCTGGGCTTCTTACCAGTACAATGTCAAAACCACCGACTCTTCGTGCATTCTGGACATCCTCAACAGCGACAGAGCTGCAGCCGCGGGGCAGTACACTTGCGAAATTTCCAATGCAGAAGGAACTGACACCTGTCATGCTCATGTAAAAATAGGTAACACACTAAAACATTCCCCTTCCATTTCAGCTCATTCCCCACATGTGGTTATAGTCACTAATGCTAACCTTAAGCGTAAATATCGTTTCCCTGGGTCCTGTGCTGGTTGGTTACAAGAAGGAAATGAAAAATCCTGGATTATGTTGTCAGTGTGTTCAGGGTGGGCTGGTCCTGTGTTTGCTATGTTTGGAGAAGAGAAGGATTTTGTGCTGCTCTGAGAGCACAGCTTCCATGCTGTTATGATTGGGTCGGATAGATATTGGCTTGCTTAAGAAAGGGATTCATTTGCAGGTAGAAGGATTTGTTAATAGGCTGGATACTCTGTATTGTTTTTTAGGTCATGTGGTGTGCCTCTTTGTTTTCCCTGATGCTATGGTTTAAGGCTAAGGCCCAGTGGCCTGGTGGATGATAGATTTGAATTTCGAACCATTTCACCTTATCACAACATGGTCTGATTTTCTTCACTTTCTCCCTCACTAACAGAGCGCAAAATCCCTCCAAACATCATCAAGAAGCCCTCCGAGTCCATGGTGGATTCAGTGGGTAAAACTGTGACAATGGAGGCTCGGGTGTCTGGATCCCAGCCCTTGAACATCATGTGGTACAAGGACAACAATGAAATCTCTGCTTCCAACAAATATGACATCAGCTTCAAGAACAACATTGCTGTGCTGTGTGTCAGAGACTCCACCACCTCTGACAGCGGGGTGTACACCTGTGAGGTCTCCAACGAAGCTGGAAGAGCTTCTTGTCCAGTTTCTCTCACTATTTCAGGTATTAATGTTGGTTTGTCTTCATTATATTTTGTTGTTTGTTCCTTTGAAAGTTAAATTACCTTCAGGTAAAAGTAATCACTCAAAAATCCAAACACCCAACCCAGCAACGTGTCCTCACAAGACAGGTGGTGCCAGAAGCTTTTCACCCTCACTTTTTAAAGCATTTTGTCCGGAAGGCAACAGTTTCATGTTGGTGAGGAAGTATAGACTAAACAAGTCAAGGTCCATTTGTTTTTGAGCAGAGGTTTTCGAGCTGGTTCAGAGCTAGATAACAGACCAAGAAATCTAACTGTCTTCAGACTCACTGGAGGCACAACGTAAACCAAGTATTTGTCGACCAAGATTGGTAGATTCAGATCCTGTTTCTTTTGAGTCTGTTTAGGGAAAGGCCTGTACTCCATCAAGTGTCCTGTACATCATGTTATTGTGTGAAAAGCATGTAGGCTTACCTTTGTCGGTCCTGCTTCTTTCCCCACCACATTTTCAGAAACTGGCCAGGCTCCAAAGTTTGACGTCCATCTGGAGCCGGCATCGGTCAACGAGGGGGAGAAGCTGAGCCTTAAATGCCACGTCAGCGGCTCTGCTCCTCTGACCATCCAGTGGATGAAGGACAGACGGGAGCTGAAGTCCAGTGGAAATACCAAAATCACCTTTGTTGGTGGGATGGCTTGCCTGGAGATCAGCTCAGTCTCAAAGACAGACGCAGGGGATTACCTCTGCAAGGCCAGCAACGCTATTGGCAGTGACTTCTGCAAGTCCAGGGTCACTGTGAGAGGTAACAAAATCAGTTTGTGTTATGAACAGTGACATTTCTTACATCATGTGTTTACTTGTTTATTCTCCATTCTCCAGTGTTTCCAGACTGGGCACTTCTACCCAGCTGGGATACTTTTCATTTGACTGGGGGGTAAAAATGGTTTTGGGTAGCTTGTGAAATATATAGATAGTTTTACCCAACAAAAGGCTTGGTTCTATGCCAATATGGCTGCCCTTTTCTCCTGCAATCGATTTTGAGGTTGTCACTGTACTAAGTTTAATAAGTTTGATTGCAATGGCTGATACAACGAACAAAACAAAATCACATTTAGGTTTATTAGAACAAGGCTTGAAAATACCTCTTTTTCCTTTTGAATTGACTTGGTCAAACCTCTTTTTCTATTCATTATGTAATAGACATGGTGGATGTCTTTTTTCATTATTGTCATCATGGATTCAGGGTCACCTAATTCTTCAGTCACAGGACATACTTATATACACATATGTTGCATTGACAAAAATGGACATGGGTGACTTTATTGGGCAGGTGTGAGGCTTGGATTGGGTTTCTTAGTTACATTCAAATGTGGCAACACTTCACTCTCCTCTATGATTTATTTTTCAGACAAAGGAACCAAGGCTGCACCTGCTGAGGCCGCCACCCCAGCTGCAGCTGCTCCGGTCAAAAGGCTTGACAACCTGTTCTTCATCGAGGAGCCCAAGAATGTTTCTGTCACAGAGAGTATGTAAACTGTTGGAATTTCTTTCTGGGCCTGAGGCCATTCGTCCTGAGGACAATGTGGAACTACATGTTTGCTTTATTTTTTGCAGAGTGCACCGCTACCTTCATTGCGAAGATCGGTGGCGACCCAATCCCCAGCGTAAAGTGGATGAAGGGCAAATGGAGGCAGATCACTCCCGGTGGTCGTATCTCTATTGAGCAGAAGGGCCAGAACGCCAAACTGGAGATCAGAGAGGTGACCAAGTCTGACTCTGGTAACTACAGATGTGTCGCCACCAACAAGCATGGAGAGATTGAGTGTAGCGCTGATATGGAGGTCACCAAGAAGGAAGAAGTGGAGGGTATCGGAGACATCAGGACCAGGCTGAAGAAGTAAGAGCTTTGGCACCAAGAGATGTTGATTGTGCTGTGCAATTGATTTTTTTAGTTTGAAGTCTTTGTGGACATCAGACATCACGTGTGGAGAGATCGACTGATCGTTGTCACAGAGTTTTGTCCTCTTGAATCTTTTTATGTTGGTTCTTTTGACAAGAACACACATCTCTGATTTTGTGTTTGATTTTTGTGCCAGGACTCCCTCCAAGCAGAAGAGCCCCAAGAAAGATGAAGAGGTCGATATTGTGTCGTTGCTGAGAGGTCATGACCCCAAAGACTATGAGAGGATACTGCGAGAACATGGAATCCACGACTACCGGGCCATCCTGCAGGCTGTTGAGTTCCTGAAGAGGGAGAAGGAGATGGAGACTGGAAAAGTGGTGAGAGAGAGAACACTTTAAGACTAAAATTCAGACTTAAAGTCAAGGTTCTGTTTAACAAAGAGCTTTTGACAGGCAGGACTGAGGCATATTTTGTCAGGAACTTGGAAACTATAACCATTTAAGGTTTTGGTTCTAGGTTCTGCCTTGTGCTTCTTCTGTGTGTTACAAATCTGAACATTTTAGATCTATGCCTTGTGGAGTGGAGCTGATATTGACCTCATTAACTGATGATCTCCACCCACAGAAGTGGATGATCAAAATGAATCACATTCAGTGTTACAGGATTTCAGTCCTGAAATGATTTGTTGATTCATTGTGAGAAAACTGTTGTTAAGGTTTCCTGTGGAAGAAAAGACAGAGTGAGAAACAGAGTGATGATACAGATCTATCCTCAACATTTCATCAGTTTTGCTGTAGTTGTTCACAGTTGTTTTTCCCGCTGCAGGAGGTGGAGCATGGTGGTCGGGTTGAAGAGGACGACATGGCCCGAGTCATCCAGCAGCTGGAGGGACGTGTCAGCACTGAGGTACAAAAAAAGTCAACCTTCACTTAAGTGCAGTGAAAGGATTCTTATCAGACTGTCACATTTACTGATGAAGTTAACGATGAAGCCACCAGAGTCGCAGGCACTGATGAAATAACTGAAACTGATTTTGAATCCTCAGCCAGTCTCAGTACTGGAGGACATCACCGACCAGACGACCACTGAGAACCAGAGCACTACCTTCGAGTGCCAGATCAGGATCAACTACCCAGAGATCACTCTGACCTGGTACAAGGGCACCCAGAAACTGGACAACAGCGACAAGTACGACATCAGCAGCGTGGGCGACCGCCACTCTCTGAAGATCAAGAACTGCCAGGTCAAAGATCAGGGCAACTACCGAGTGGTGTGTGGTCCTCACATCTCCAACGCCAAACTGACTGTCACAGGTAGGAGTCTGAACGTTTGAACTTTCTGTCTGTCTGTCTGTCTGTCTGTCTGTCTGTCTGTCTGTCTGTCTGTCTGTCTGTCTGTCTGTCTGTCTGTCTGTCTCTCTGGTTACAGAACAGGTGAGCAGTAAGACTCCAGACTAACAAAGCTCACACTGACCTCTTTGAACCTTCAGGGTTGTGATGCTGTCATTTTTGTATATTTCTGTTCTATGTGTTTCTCTCTGACAATATAAACACTTCAGACAGTCTTAATACATGAATAATAACATCCAATCAATAAAAATAATCAATGTTATAAAATTCTACCAATCAGATTAACTCTGATTATCTGGTTTTAGCTGACCAAATTCAGTTCACTAAATGCATCAGAAGCATCGAGGTCAATGAACGCCACTCTGCCACCTTCGAGTGTGAGTTGTCCTTCGACAATGCCACCGTCACTTGGTACAAAGACTCATGGGAGCTTAAAGAGAGCCCAAAATATAACTTCAGGACTGAGGGCCGGCGGCACTTTATGACCATCCGCAACGTAACGGCAGAGGATGAAGGTTTGTTAACAAACAGAAAACGTGAAACTAAAATCATTTCAGCTGCATTTTACTCTTTTTAATGGATCCAGGGACAGATAATGTTTTCTCCATGAATCTCAATATCATTGATTAGAAAAAAAAAGTACAGAACAATGGACAAAGAATTCAGTTAAATCATTATGAGACTGAGATGTTAAACTTTAGGGCTGCACAAAACATTTTATTATTCATGTAACTGAACATTTAGTTTGGGGCCTGTAGATAAGTTTTTAGGGTCTGTTGTAAAAATACATATAAGATACCAGTGGAATTTGCAAAAAAATATAGCAGAGACTGACAGAGCTGAGCTCTGAGAGGTCATAGCTTATTATCTGACTGTCACCTCCAGGTTCATTGAAGGTGCTCAGAATAAATAGAGACCTAGTTTAGACACACAGAGAGGACAACACTGAGCGAACAAGCTAACAAAGTTTCCCCAGTCTTCAGTAAAACTCCTCACTGAATGAAATGATGTAAAATCCTGAAAACAAAATGTCAGGGGGAAGTTACACTTTCAGGTGTGACTGGGGTTTTATCATGATCTTAATTCCAAAGTAGATTTTAAGTTGAATGTTAAATGGCAGTGTGTGATGTAATGTCTCCACCCCGTCAGGCGTTTACTCTGTGATCGCTCGTCTGGAGCCAATGGGAGAAGCTCGAAGCACAGCTGAGCTTTACCTCTCAGGCAAAGGTCTGTACATGTTATCAGACTGATGAAGTTAGCAGAGTTGATGTTAGTGCCTTTTACAGCAGCTATAATAACATGCTGTACCTTGTCCTTTCACAGAAATTGAGTTAGGAAGGGTTCCTCAGGGTGAGTATTTTTAAACAGCGAATGAAACACAGAAAATCAACGACAGTAAAACTGAACATTTCTCCACGACTGTAACTTAGTGTTCAGTTTGAAGCAGCGAGCAAAGAGATTTGAAGATTTGTAGTGTTTATTTACAAGTAGCAGTGAAATAGTGTCCTGAGATTCATGGTGACTGGGAGTGTACCTCACAATACAAAAGGACCTTGAAAATATATGAATAAAACTATATTATTATGATTTTATTTTGAAATGGAAGAAATGTTAAGTTTTGCCGTCAAACTACACAGTTTTTTAAAAATTTATCATTATTATTATTTTGGTTTATTTCGATGTTATTGAAGTTGTATTTATTGAAACCTTTAGATGTCCCAGACACGTCAATTCAAGTACCAGAGACAGAGTCTATGGTTGTTTACAGAGGTGAGTCTGGGATAGTTTTTAACAATCAAACTTTAACTCTTTAAATCCACATCGACTTGGCTTGTGTTATTTATAAATGTTTTTCTACCAAAAGATTCCACAGAAGTTTATCACTATGAAGAAAGAACAGAAGTGAGAGGTACAAACATTTCATGAATTATTAAATTCTGAAACGATGCTAACTCTCATCACTTCATTGTCACATTCTGCGTAACATTAAACAATGTCCCTCCATCTTAAAATATGACCATCATCATCATCATCGTATCATCATCATCATAATCATCTTCCATCTTTAACTCTCATCCTAAATAACTGTGTGATCATTTTGAACTCAGTGAATATTAATTCAACCATCATCCCTCCTAATAACTCAAATACCACCTCATCATATGAAGTGTGCTGTAATAATATCTCCACAATTTAACCTCAATAACAAGTCACATTCTGTCAATGAATTTCAAATTTAACTAAATGGGAACAAATGTACAGAAGAGGACACATGGAAAACATCAGGTTCATGTCTGAGATTAATCTCAAAATGTAGAAAGAAAGGTCAGAATACAAAGAGAAAATGAAGTCACAAATCTAAATTTTGAAATTAAAGTTCAAGGTAAAGATCCGAGTTCAGACCTTAATGTCATAACTTCTGGACTTTAAATGTAAAGCGAAATATATATATACTGGATGCATGGATATATTCCTAGATAAAAGTCAATTATATCAAATATAAAATCAATAATGTCTAAAAATAGACATTTAAATTTGAAATTTAAGTCTGAAACTTTAATCAGGTAATTCTCAAAATTTAAATGTATAAAGCTGAAATTCTCAGTTTGAGATCAAAGTCTGAATTCTGACTTTAATCTAAGTATAAAGTCAGAATGATGTCTTTTCTCCCAGAATTTAAATGATTGTTTCACATCATCCTCATCTGTACAAATGTAAACTCTGCAGTAATTAAATATTGGAAGGAGATTTCTCTGACAGCTGATTATCCTTTAATGGTCTGCTGTAGCTTTTGAAAGTCTGACAGTTGAAGAAGAGACGGTTTCTGTTCGGTACTCCTCTGTCACAGGTATCATCATTATTCTATTTTATAAAATAACTCATCAATATAAAGACTGACATCACACTGTCTGTCAAATCTTTTTATTGGTTTTGTCTTTTATATGTTATTTGTTTGTCATTTCTCATTGTCTTCATGTTTCTTCATTGGTTATTGTTTATTTGCAGTGAATCCATTTATCTTGTCCTTAATGACTCGGGATAATTAGAGACCTGGACGGTCCTTACATGTCAGAGTCAGGTTGTTTTTCTAAGTTCACTTTTCTCATTCACCAGAAGAGAAAAAACCAGTAGAAGAAATTGTTGAGAGGACTCATGTCGGGCTGATAGATGAAATCCCTAAAGGTATAAAAAGGCTTGTGGCTGTTCAGCAAAGCTTATGGCTGTAACTTAACAAAGCCGCTGATCTGCTAGCTGCCATGTTTGTCCGTCCACTTGGTACACACGTAAAAAGCTTCAAATGCCACCTGCTGCTTATAGAAGCTTTTCTTTTCCTGCAGCTGTAACTTCATGTTTCTACACTTTTGTCGTAGATGATCTTTTATTCTTTTCTGTCCCCTACTTCCATGTTTGTCCCTCTTGTTCATGTTTATGTTTCCTGTTCTTTACTCTTGTTTGCTTTGACTTACCTCTCCTACGCTCTTATTAATCCTCACTAGAGCTTTCTGTTCAGTAGACTACAGAGTAGAGCCTGGCATCACAGTTTTAATGTGAACTTTCTTGATCTTTAAGTCCCTGAGGTTCACAGGAGACCAGAGGAGAAACCCTCTGAGCCTGCAGCTCCACCTTCAGCTCCAGTCAAAGGTATCTACAAATACCTCTATTTGTTTTTACCACTTATTTAATTCCTTGTTATTTATGTTCCATGTGATTGTGTTCATTCACTTTGGACCTTTCTTGTTTAGTCCCATTGTTTGTTCCTTTCTTTGTTTACTTCTGTCTCTCTTAAGACCCAATAATAATAAAACATCTTGACATTTTCCGTGGTCAGAAAACTGAATTAATGATAATGTTTTAAAGTACCTGAAGTAAAGAAGCCACAGCCTGAGGCTCCTGCCACTGCTCCACCTCATAGGGAGGAACCTGCAGCCCCAAAAGGTAAAGTTTATGGCAGAGTAATATTTTGAAAAGTGATTGTATGTGTTTGTGTCTCACAGAGTCTTTATTGGCTCGCATTCTTAATTCTTAATATGAAACATACAAAACTATAATGAAAACCTTTTCAAATCACATCACGTATATTTTTCTTGGTATGGTGGATGTAAATTTTTTTAACTTGAAATTCTTACCATTTTTTAAAACACTTTATAATACAATATTCACATATTTCTTTACATTCTTAATTCTTGAAATGAAAACTTTTTTTACAATATTTATGAACAATATTTACATTCTTAATTAGATGTAGTACAACAAAACTTTTAGCGTAAGAAGAAGAATCTCATTTTATACTTTACTGGTAAAATCAGATCTTAATCTTACTACCTTTATAGATTTTAAAGTTTTTTAAATTTTTTATCATTAGATTGCAAATCCACAGATTTGAAAGGGTACAAATTTTACACATTGAATGACTGTAAAAAAAAAAAAAAAAAAAGTGTATGTCTTAAGATGAAACTGACCTTAAGATTTTCTCTTGAATGCTTTCTACAGCTTAATGTTGTCTAAAGTTCTTATCTGTTCTCAGCATTCTTACAATGCAAAAAGAGCATTATGCTCTTGCTGTCTGTCTGTTTTTTACGTTTGTGTTTTGTGTTATGTTTTCCTTCTTTTATCCCCTAAACTCTTAGAGCAGTGTTTGACTCTCTGTTGACTCTAATATTTCTCTGTTAACCTTGAAGAACCCTCAGTATACACCAAACCAGAACCTGAACCAGAGATAGTTCCCAGAGAGGTCACTCCTGAACCTTATCAACCCAAGCCAAAGATGGCAGAGCCAAAAATGGTTCCTCCTGAGCCTGAAGTGACACCTCATAAACCGGCAGCACCTGAGCCCAAAGTGACACCTCATAAACCGGCAGTACCTGAGCCCAAAGTGACACCTCAGAAACCGGCAGAACCTGAGCCCAAAGTGACACCTCAGAAACCGGCAGAACCTGAGCCCAAAGCGGCCAAAATTAAGCCTGAACCTGAAGCACCAAAGGTTGAAACTGTCAAGAAAGCACCAGAAGTTCCTAAACCGAGAGGTAAAGTAGTAAAGAGTGTTCAACTAGAAAGACATTGTGTTATACAATATGTCTTTCTTGTTGTTTTGACTCATCTTGCTATGATCTACATGTGTAACTGTTTATCACATTTGTGTAAATCTTGAATGTTCTAAGATGTTTGTTACTGCTAACCTCTTGATCTGGATCTTTCAAAATTAACATTGTCCGCACATCTTTTAGGATGTTTGAATACAGCTTTTTATATAACCCTTCTACACACTAACTCCAGAAATGTATGTCATAGCTTTAGAGCAATGATAGTGAAGTTCATGCTGTGTCTTCAAATTAACCTCAAAATAAGAGAATACAAATGGAAAACTTTTTTATGTTCTCCAAAGTACCAGCTGTAGCCAAACCAGAGGAAGCCATAGCTCAGCCTCCTGCTGCCAAGATTACTCCATCAAAGACTGAAGATATTTTGGTAAAAGGTGTGGGAACTCTTTAATGTCTTGTCATTGGTTTACTGTAATATGAATCAGTCTATGTTGTGTGTTTTATGTACTCTGATTATGTTTGTCTTTTTGGAATTTTTTTTTGTTTTTTGGCTCTAAGCACTCGTTAGAGTGGACTGTAATGTTGAAGCCTTAGCGGTTACTAGGTTACTGAACATGTATATATAATGTTCTTTAAAGTACCAGAACCATCAAAGCCAGAGGAACCTGTAGTTCAACCAACTGCAGCCAAGGTTACTCCTTCAGCACCGGAACGTCTTCCAACTAAAGGTATTAACAGTTGACCTTTATATTTTCAGTTGTTCTGCTTCATTTCCTGTCATGCTTTCTTTCACTCGTTAAGAGTGTGATCTTTGATTCCATGTTAGCCTTGGTCATTACCTAAAGGTTAAACAATACATAATGTTCTCTTAAGTGCAAGATGTACCCACACCAGCAGAACCTGTAGTTCAACCATCTGCACCAGAGGTTACTCCACCCAAGGCTGAGGCTGTTCCAACTAAAGGTACTGCAGCGATGCTCTTAATAGTTGCTTTGATGTACTGCTGTGTTTTATGTTTGTGTTGTTTCACATGTTATAAGTTTGTTTTATCAAGCACTGCTTTTAGAACTGCTTTTAAGTATCACATGGAGAGTAATCTTTATAATCTTAATCTTCAAGTATGCCAAGCACTCGTTAGAGTGTGACTTTCACTTTTGGGTTTTTCTTTCAAAATATACTGTAGTTAACAAGATCACCATCTTATAAATAAATGTTCTTCTAAGTTGTCTCAGAACCAAAGACACCTGAGCCTCCAAGAAAACCACATCTACTGACTGGTAAACCTGAGCCAGATGCACCAAGGTACATTCCTGAAACAAAACCAGAAGAACCAAAGAAGGTTCCTGAAGCCCAAAAGAAGATTCCAGCAGCACCAAAGAAGGTTCCAGAAGAACCAAAAAAGGTTGTGGAAGAAACAAAGAAGGTTCCAGAGGCACCAAAGAAGGTTCCAGAAACACCTAAGGTAGTTCCAGAAGAACCCAAAAAGGTTGTGGAAGAGATAAAGAGGGTTCCTGAAGCTCCAAAGAAAGTTCCAGAAACACCCAAAATAGTTCCAGAGGCACCAAAGAAGGTTCCAGAAGAACCAAAAAAGGTTGTGGAAGAAACAAAGAAGGTTCCAGAGGCACCAAAGAAGGTTCCAGAAGAACCCAAAAAGGTTGTGGAAGAGATAAAGAGGGTTCCTGAAGCTCCAAAGAAAGTTCCAGAAACATCCAAAATAGTTCCAGAGGCACCAAAGAAGGTTCCAGAAGAACCAAAAAAGGTTGTGGAAGAAACAAAGAAGGTTCCAGAAGAACCAAGAAAGGCTCCAGAGGCACACAAAATGGTTCCAGAAGAACCAACAGAACCAAAGAAACTGGCAAAGGTTCCAAAATTAGTAACAAAGGAACCAGTACCTCACCACAAAGAACCAACATCACCACCACAAGATTTGGAAACACCAAAACAAATTCTTCAGGCTACAAAGCCTCAGCAACAAGGTAGATATGTCTGTAAACATGACAAGCTGTAAACATCTTATTAACTAATCATTAACCATCTTTATCTTTTAACTCACTTTTTATATCTTTTAATCTGAGATACTGAGATAACCCATCTAATTCTTTTGTCCTCATGTCTGTACTGTCATGTTTGTTGACTGTTTTTTTGTTTTTCACATTATATCAATTATCAAAACAGTTAAACAGAGGGAGATACCACAGGAAACATCAGTACTAGCTAAACCAAAGCTGGAGGCGGGTACAACCAAGAAAGGTATGCTTCAACTTACAAATGTTTCTCAGGCACTTTTAGAAAGTCAGCACAATTGTAATTCAGTTTCTTGTAGCTTAACTAGGTGTGTTTAATTTGTCCCTCAAACCAGATAAGGTTATTCCTTCAGAAAAAGTAGAAGTCCACCCCAAGTTGAAAGACACTCCACAGCAAAGAGGTAGTGATTCATAAGACTTGAAATTTAGCTATTAAATGAGGATCACAGTAGAAAATATACCACAGTGAAATCTGTGTTCTTATGTCTTGATGTGTTTTGTTTTGTGTTGTTTTTCTCTTGGCCACTGCTCCATGGTGCAATTCTTCAATCTTGGGTGATATCTTAAAAATTATCCCAGTTCCTTTGAAGACTGATCTTAAAGAAACAATAGTGGTTGAAGACAGAAAGGAGTCAGTTGTGATAGAAGAAAGCTCTTTGAAAATGGACATAAGACAACAAATGGTTCTTGAAAAGGAAGAGCAAGTGGTTTCTACATGGTACAGTGAAGATAAGCAGGTTGAAGATGCTAAGCCAGTGGAGGACATTGAGCCAGCATACATAGAATATGAGGATAGAAAACCAGAAGATACCGAACTTTTCTGTGGAGAAGACTTTGCTCTTGAGGAGGAAGCTGTGGACCAGAGAGAAGAAATATCTTTGAGTTCTGTCCCTCCACCTCTAAAGAAAGTTGCCCCTTTTCCATCAAAAAGAGACATCACACCTCCATCTCAAATGATTCATCCTTCAAAGAAAGAAGTTTCTCCTCCTGCCACTGGAATCACATCCAAAGAAGAGGCTTACAAGAAAACTCTTTCAGAAAGCAAACAAACAATTTATACAGAACAGAGAGAAGTTACTGAATCATTTGTATTTGTACATCGTGAAGAACTTGAAGAAGCAGCTGTCTTTGCATTGGAGGATCTCGATAAACCTAAAATCAGTGTTACACCTAAAATAGCCACTGTTTCGAAGAAGTCTAGACCTAAGGATGTCACTCTTTTGAAGCCAGCAGAGGAAGTGGAAGAAGTTCCATCTGACAGATCCATGTCTCCACCTCATAGAGAAACTGTTTCACCTCCATCGGAACAAGACTTACCTGGAATTCTGACCACGATTCCTCCTAAGAAAGAAGCAATGCCACCCAAAAAGATGAAGTCTCCAAGGGAAGAAATCATGAAAACCTCCGAAGCTGCAGTAAAAATAAATCTTGAAGACAATGTACCTCTTCAGAAACCAACTGCTGTGCCAGAAGTACTATCCTCTGAAGAACTTGTCCAAGCAACAAGATCTCTTCCAGTTCCAGCTCAGATTCTTTCACCTGGGAAAGCAGTCTGTCTTGAGGAAGAAATTTCACCATTAGGGGAAACCGAATCAACAAAGACCTCTCCTGCACTTCCCAAAGCAGTTGTTGAGGACTTTCCCCCTGAAGAAGTGACCCTATCCAAGAAACCTATCCATAAAGACAGGGTTGCTCCAACTAAAAAATCTCAAGTTCCACCACAGAAAAAACTCTTCCCCCCTGAGCAAGAAACTCCACCACCCAAGAAACCTACTTCTTATACACCAAAAGGAATCACCCCTCACACTGATTCCTCTGAAGAAGCAAGAACCACTGCAACTAAACTTGCACCAACACGAGATGATGACAAGAAAGCAAAGAAGGGAACACAGGAGATTGATCAACAAACTCTTCAGAAAGGTATTCTTTCATACTTGAGGCTAATGATCGCCATAAGATCAACCCCTCTTAAGAGATTTAACATCTCACATTTACTGTACTCACACTTCTTCCAGTGTCATCTTCAGTAACAGCAAAAGATGGTACATTTTCCACTAATCGTCACAATCTTACATTGTGTCTGTTGATTGTCTTTGAAACATGTTTTTTATGTCGCTACTCTACAAGGTATGCCATGCACTAAGGAACCTCTCTTGGTCTACTAACATCTTTCGTTGTCGAGTTTTTGTTTTTCTTTCATCAGGTGACATTCTTTCACATCTTTATTTCTGTAATGTCTTCTGTTTGTTTGTACTGTTTGGAGTAACTCATGTCCAAATCATCTTTTGTCATTAATAAATCTTGATTGACCATGTTGTTGTCTTGGTCGTGATCTTGGCATCTTGTATTCCCAAAGTGTCTCCTCCAGAGGAGAAGAAACCATCTGTACCTACACCAAAGCCTTCGCCTCCTCCTCCTCCTTCTGCTCCTGCACAGAAAGTTGCTCCTCCTGCAGGTAGTCTGTTCAGTTTGTACGTCCCTTGTCTTTGCTGACTCATCAAGAGTCAGTCATATTGTTTTACTTTTTGCCCATTTGTTTTTTGGACTCTCTTTATTGTCTCACTTGAATTTAGATCTTCATGTTTTAACAGTGTTCCTCAGCATGTTTAGACCAAACATATTGTCTTCTTGGTCATGACCTTGGCATCTTGTATTCCCAAAGTATCTCCCCCAGAGGAGAAGAAGCCATCTGCACCAGTACCAAAGCCTGTACCTGCTCGTCCTGCTCCTGCAGAGAAAGTGGCTCCCCCTGCAGGTAGTTTCTTCACTTGGTTTTGAATGTTGTTGTAAGCTGGATGTCTATTGTTTACTTTTTGTTTTGTTGTTTTGTTTTCTTTACTGGGTGATCAAAAGGTATCCTCCTGGTTGCCATTTCACTTGCTCTCTATTGTGTCCCCAGTCTTGCATTGTTTCAGTGCAACTATATTCCTTAATTGACCATGTTATTGTCTTGGTCATGATCTTGGCATCTTGTATTTTTAAGTGTCTCCTCCAGTGGAGAAGAAGCCATCTACACCAGCACCAAAGCCCTCAGCTCCTGCTCCTACTGCAGCCAAAGTTGCTCCTCCTGCAGGTAGTTTTTTTCACTTTGTTGGGTGGGACATAAAAACACAGCTCTGTGTTTGTGTCAGTATGTTTTTTGAAAGTAGTGTCCAGTTCTGTTTTTGTTTCTTTATGCCTGATATCTCACAATTGTCTGTTTTTTCCATGCAACCTTTTTTCATTCTAATATCTTTTATCTGTCCTGTGTCTGTTTTAATTTTTTGTCACTTTCATATCTTCTGTCTTCTTGGTCATGACTTTTGGTAATTTGTGCTCCTAAGTGTCTCCTCCAGAGGAAAAGAAACCATCTCCTCCAACACCAAAGCCTCCAGCAGAAAAAGTTGTTCCTCCTGCAGGTAGTTTCTTCTGTTTGTCATTCATGTGGTATAACTCCTTGTTTGTCCCACTCAAATAAAGCTGTTGGGTCTTAACAACAGTCTGACTTCTTTAATCTTGTTTTGTTTGAGTGTATGTTGGTTGTTTGCCAGATCTTTGCCCATGATTTAATCAAGTTGGCATTCTTGTAGCTCCAGTTGCAGCAGTGGAGAAGAAACCCTCTCCACCAGCCGTAAAAGCTGAACCCTCTCCTGTATCGGAGGAAATCTCTCCACCTGAAGGTAACAGCTCTTCTGTAACTTACAGTCATGTTGTTCTCTTATGTGTGTCTTCCACTTTGAAGCATTTCTTATGTGACAGCTTCAATCTTCATACAAAGCAACATGAGCTTTGATTTCAGAAATGCCTTTGCTTTCTAATTCTGTCTAAATCTGATGGTCTGATGTTTGTATTTCCTTCATATTAACAGTATCTGTTGAATGAGGCAAAATAACCTTATATGTAAACGCTTTTTTTTAAACATCTCTTGGTGCATCTGCAATTATTTTTCTGTAACTTTGTTCACTTGCAATGACAAAGAAAATCTGTCTCTTGATAAAACCACTGATTTCAGAGCTCACATCCAGTGCAAATTATTCTGGAAACAGAAAATAAATGAATGCCTCACTTTCTCAACTCAAGTTATCTGTCTTTCTTAGAAACTGAATTTACATGCTTTGTCTTTGATTTAGCCTGTATTCTAACAGTTTGTATTGTGTATGCTTACATTGATCTTATTGAAATTCTTGCAGACAAGGGACCAGTTTCAGCACCTGGACCAACTAAAGGTATACCAAATATTTGCTTCTTTATTTTATAGGCAATAATCTTAATGCATATTGCTATGTTAGTTATTGTCTCATACAACTACAAACTTCATTTACATGTTCAAGAGGTGTGTGAGTCCTGTGTTGTTAAAGATGAAATGTAGAGTTTGCTGTATGTCTGTACGTGAATGTTATAAAACGTATATTTACTGTGTCAACCACAGTGCTACCTCTTAAGCAAAAGGGTAAGGTTCCTGTTCAGGAGGCAAAAACACCCGAATCACCGAAGCTGAAGAGTAAATTTACCAGAATACCTAAAGAGAAGGAACCAGAACCAGAAGTCATTAAGCTGAAGAGAGTTCCAGTGAAAGCTCCAGAACCTGAGAAACAGGTTGTAACTCATAAAGCTCAAGTGACAAAGCATCATGATCCAGAACTAACAGTTCATGGACTTCACGACAGAGAAGATCGAGAGATAATAACACTTGGAAGAACTGAACGAGTCTTCACTGCAGAGGAGGAGACGGTTCAGTTAGGCCTATTTGAGGAAGCTGAGAAGGTTGCAGTCATACAGAAAACAGAGAAAGAAGGTTGGACAAGAACCCCAAAACCGCAGAAAGAGGAGGAACCTGAGGCACCAAGTGTAGATAAGAAGAAAATAACTAAATTGCCCAAGTCAGATGAGCAGAAAGAATTAGTTAAACTAAAACCATTTGATAAACTAGGGAAACCAGAAGAAGAACCGCAAAAGATCCAACTAAAGAAGGTGCCAACTAAGCCTAAAGAACCTGAGAAGGAAGTCATAACTCATAAAGTTGATCTAACAAGACATTATGATACAGAACTATCTGTTCAGATGCTTCGGGATAGAGAGGATCGAGAGGTGATAACACTTGGCAGAACTGAACGAGTCTTCACAGCAGCTGAAGAGGCATCTGAAATGGAATCTATGGAGGAACCGGAACATCTAGAGGCAGAAGATGAGAAATCAAGATGGATAAGAACCCCTAAAGCGCCAAAAGATGAAGAACCTGAGCCAGATTTAACAAAGAAGAAAATAAAGAAATTGCCAAAGAAAGAGGAGGAGCCAGAAGTAGTAACATTGAAACCTTTTGAAAAACCTCAGAAACCTGAGGCAGCTGAGCCTCCAAAAGCTAAGAAAGAGGGGGAAGCAAAAACAGATACTGAGCGTACTCCATTCAAGAGACATGAGATCCCTCAGAGAGATCAACCCAGTGCTGCTATTAAACACAGAAAAGATGAAGATGTTCCCTCAACAAGTCCAGAGGTAATTCCTGATGTCAGCAGAGACCAGACAGTGATCCCACAGAAGAAAAAAATTGATCAGGTACCAAAGGATGAGGAACCTACAGCTGCCGACAAACTTTGTGGAAAACCTAAAACTATTTCCACACCAGATAAAGAGAAAGAGCAGGTTGTGTTAAAACCTTTCACCAAAGATGCCAAGCCTGAAGAAAAATCTGAAAAAACATCTGAAGAGGAGAAAAAGAAGCCTGTGGACACAAAAATAACCAGTCGAACTCCAAGAGATGAAAGTCCTAAAGATCTGAAAGAACAACAGCTTCGGGGAGTTGAAAAGACTGCAACACCCAAAAAAGAGGAGGAGAAAGCTCAGGAGAAAGAACCAGCTGTTCCACCCAAGAAGCCCAGTCCACCAGGAAAGAAAGACATGATCCAGCAGGAAGAAGGAGAGAAAGAGCTTCCACCAAAACAAACAGAAGCCTTGAAAAAAGGTGTTGAACTCAAAAAGACTCCATCGCCTAGAGTTGGTAAAGACAAGGTAGAAGAAGAGAAGGCCCTCAAACCTATTAAGCAGCTCAAGAAGGTTGAGCTCAAAAAGACGCCATCACCAAAAGCTGATAAACCAAAGCCTAAGGAAATGGAACGAGTCCCCATTGAAAAGAAGCCAAGTGCTGAAAAAGTCAAGAGGATTCCCAAAACGGTTTCACCCAAAGATTCTATTGAAGCTGTAACACTCAAAAAGGTCCCTAAGAAGCCGTCACCACAGGTGGTTTCAGAACCAGAGAAGCCTGGTAAAGGGAGGGTCCCTCTGGTGAAGGAGGTTTCTCCTGGAGCCGTGCAGATGAAGAAGGTGCCCACCCAGCCAGAGGAGGAGATTTTCGAAGAGGAGGGAGAAGAAATGGAGGGTGAGGAAGATGAGGAGGCCTGGGGCTGGGAGCTTGTTCCTCCAGAAGACTGGGAAGATGAAGGGGTTGATGGGGCACTGGAGACTCCAGGCATGCCCGGTGGTAAACGAGGTGAGAGGAAGTCCGACAAACTCTCCTAGATGATGACTCTGGAGTTCCCTCATCTCATCTAAGATGACTCATCTAATCCTCATCACCTCCATATTTAATCACCTGATCCATTCATTCATCTAGAGCTCATGTATTCATCTCTGTCCGTCTGTCCATCCACTGTCTGTCCACTTTAATGTTCACATGGTCCATCATATTGTGTTGTCATCAAATGTGTCTTTATCAGATGTCTTCCACATCAGTCATTCAGTGTTTGTCTTCAGTGTTCATGTCATTCACTACTCTCATCTTGTCTCATCACTGATCCATTTGTCAAACACTTCGCTCCACCTTCATCTTCTTCATTGTGTACCATGTGATGTCCCTTCAGTGTTTTCATGTGACGTCATGATCTTTATTTAGCATGTTAGCTGTTAGCAATGGTTAACTCTTTCTCTTGGTTTCTGCTGCTATATTGATGTCAACATTGAGGTCTTACAGAGAAATTTGAGACTCATCTTATTGTTTCTTGTCCAGATGGAAAACCATCAGAGGAGGCACCAAAAGGCAGAGGCCGAGGATTTGGGGGTGAGACTACACTGACATTAGAGCTCAAGTGTACTAACGGTTTTGGTCTTTGTGCTGGGTAATGTTTGAAGCAGTTTCACTTGCTCCATTCACAATTGTTGTTAAGTGTCTTGTACTTTCCAACAAAATCTTCAATCTGAGCCCAGAAGGTTTGTGATGGTCAGCGACAGGCCAGGTTACATCTTTTAATCCAAAATTTTCCAATTTCACACAATTCACATTGTTGGTATCTGTACCAAAGCTCCGGTGTGAAAAAATTTGAACGATACCAGCCAACAATGAAATTTATACTGACAACAGCCAGTATGAGAACACATCATATCATTTAATCTCTGAGATGTGTTACCATGAACACAAAGGTATTTGAATGTTTTTTAGCATCAGTTAGTTTACGTTCTGTCTGTGTGTTGTATGTGTGGTTTGTTGTTTATGTTGTCTTTTTGCTTTGAGTTTTGGTTCTTCAAAGACTCCTGTTGGAAGCTCATAAAGAGTGACTCTGCATGATCCTTAGTCTTTACAGAATCTTATATTCTGTGCTCCCTAACACTAAAAACTGGAGATTCAAAACAGATTTTTATTGAATGTGAGGTTACAGCAACTGAGAGACGTCTAACACACGGTAGGAACAAGATCTTAAAAACTTCCCATTGTCCAGTGTCTGACAACGTTCCTCACTCATCATCATATCTGAAACTGACTTAATTTTTGTATTTGATGTTGCAGCAAGACAAACCCCATCACCTGGCGATGGTGGCAGGGGCCGGGGCCTGAGGCCTGGTGGAAAGGGCCCATCGCCTCCAGAGGATCCCTTTGGAGGATTCAAGCTCAAAGCCGTCCCTCTGAAGTTCATCAAGAAGCTTCAGGACATCGTGCTGAAGGAAGCCGAGTCTATTGGCTCGGCTGCTGTGTTTGATTGTCAGGTCTCACCTTCCACCGCCATCACTTCATGGATGAAAGATGGCAGCAACCTGCGTGAGGGCCCCAAGCACAAGTTTACTTCTGATGGCAAGGATCGCAAGTTGAACATTATTGATGTCCAGCTGTCTGACACTGGTGAATACACCTGTGTGGCCAAGAACGCTGGCAAGGAAGTAACATGCACAGCCAAGCTCATTGTTGAAGGTAAACTAATGAGGTTTTTCATCCTACATAAATATTTTCACAACAATAAAAGCTTGATTTATTTTGTTAATTGAAAAAACAAGCTATTTGTGGGCATCTAAAAGTACACAAACTCAGGTATGGTATTGGCACCAATATGGGAACATTTTAAATGATACCAACACTTTATGTAAGTACAAATACTGTTTTTAAATGACTCCATTTCTCTGTGCAGAACTGCCTGTGAAATGGCTGAAGGAGCTGGAACCAGAGACGTCGTGTATGAAGGGTCAGCCTATGTACCTGACCTGTGAGCTGAACAAGGAGAGAGATGTGATCTGGAAGCGTAACGGCGCAGTCCTGAAGAAACAGGCTGGAAAAGTTGCCATTAATGTCATTGGTATGCAGCACGCTGTGACCATTCAGAACTCCACTGATGAAGATTCGGGTGACTACACGTGTGAGGTAGACGGACAAGAGGAAGTCAAGACTACAACCAACGTCAAAGTGATTGGTAAGCAACAATTCAAGGTAGTACACCGGCTTCATGGGTCAAAGGTCAGACAGTCTAGAATCAGACCTCACTTTTATTCAGTGGCGTAGACCTGGCGGGTGGCTGGGTTGCGTGGACATTTGCTAATGGACTGAATCAGCTGTTAGTTAGTTTCGATTTGGGAAAGGTTTCCATGAACCAGTCACTCTGACATATGTGACATAACTGACATCATTTTCTGTCCAAACCAGGGCTGCAGTTAAAACATCCCATTACCTTGAGCTTAGATTTAAAACACTGATCAATGTGTTGTCCGTCTGATTCTGACCTGGCTTGAAAATATCACAACCTGTACCTACATCCACCAACACTCTCTGTTGGTTCTCAGACTGGGAATAATCTGATGCTTTCAGCGTGTGAAACACTGCAGCTCAGAGGTCTGTAACCAGGCTCAGACCTCAGAGTCAACACTGTTTTAAACAAACTGAACCCTCTGTCCTCAGAAATCATCAAAGACTGGCTGGTGAAGCCCCTGAGAGACCAGCATGTGAAACCAAAGGCTAAGGCCACATTCAAATGTGAGCTCTTCAAGGACACTCCCAACTGGAAGTGGTTCAAAGGAGACAACGAGCTCACTCCTTCAGACAAGGTGGAGATCAACAAAGATGGAAAGGACATGACACTGACCATTAAGAACTGCCAGCCCGAAGACGTAGCAGAGTACACCATCGAGGTGGAGGATCGCAGATACTCAGCGAAACTGACACTTGGAGGTCGGTGTAACACATGTATGAATCCACGTTAGAGAATCATGAGGCTCATGTCCAAACAGCTGAAATATGTCTCTAATTTCAGAGCGTGAGGCCGAGATCCTGAAGCCTCTCGCCAGCGTGGAAGTGGTTGAGAAGGAAGAAGCCAACTTTGACACTGAAATATCTGAGGATGATGTGGCTGGTGAATGGAAGCTGAGAGGCCAGGTGTTGACCAGATCTCCGGTAAGAATCTCAGAATAAACTGGTCTGACCTGCAGAGACAGCAGCTACGAAATGTGGATTTACCTTCTGGTCAGAGTCTTAGTCCTGTTTATTTATTCTTTCTGATTAAAATCAGAATTATGCTCATTTTGATTATATTTATGTTCAGATTGATTTAGCACTGTTTCTTTGTGTGAAGAAGTTTAGTTTGTTTAAAACGTGGTTTTGGTGAAAGCCGTTCAGACTTCTCAGAGAGTTTAGTTTCGGTGTTGGTTCTAAAACTCTCAGCACAAAACATTTCAAGCTCAGGTTTGTCTGGACTTTGTTTTTCAGACCTGCGACATTAAAGCTGAGGGAAAGAAACGTTTCCTCACGTTGAAAAACGTGCAGCTGGATCAGGCTGGTGAAGTGTCGTACCAGGCCCTGAACGCCAACACCAGCGCCATGCTCACCGTTAAAGGTACAAACCCGCCACAGATAAACCTGGTTTTGTTTTCTGTTGTTTGTTGCGAGCTGCTGCGTTTGTCAGTCTTGGAAAACGGAGACAGATGTGGTAAGAAAAGTGACGGCTGTGTCTTTGTCTGTGTGAATAACTGCCGCATTATTCGCACCTCCCAGAGATCGAAATGGGCTTTGTTGACCTGTTGAAGGACATTTCTGTGCCTGAAAAGAAACAGGCTAAGTTTGAATGCACCATCACCAAGGATGTGCCAAAGGTCATGTGGTTCAGGGGGGCGGAGATCGTCACCCCGAGCCCTAAATATGAAATTATTGACGATGGAAAGAAACACATGCTGATCATAAACAGCTGTGAGTTTGACGATGAGGCTCAGTACACCATCGAAGTGTTGGGCCAGAAATCGGCCGCTCAGCTGGTGGTGGAAGGTAAGTGGCAGCTTCATGTTGCTCATGTTCTCTCTGTGTCGTCATTTGATGTTTGTGGCTTTAAAGTGGCACCAACCGGCCTGTCTGTGTGCACTGACCTCATGTATTCCAGGCATGAGGCTGAAATTTGTCCAGCAGCTTCAGGACCAAACAGTCAAAGAAGGTAAAACGGCTCGGTTTGAGCTGGAGCTGACTCACGAGAACGTGCCGGTGGTTTGGTACCGAAACGAAGTCAAACTCCACGTGAGCCGCACAGTGCTCACGCACGTGGAAGGAAAGAGACACACTCTAGAAATGAGGACGTTGTCTCTAGATGATACCTGCCAGATTAAGGCAGAGGCCAAAGGAATTTACTCGGTGGCCAAACTGACTGTGATAGGTAACAACACACTTTCCTTTCCTTTGTCTTTGATCTTAGCTCTGCACAGTGTGTCGGTCAGCTGATGCAGGGCAGTAATATCATTAACAAGTTCATATGTAAAATATATGAATGTCTTTGATGGGATTTTTGTTTTTAAGAACAGTTGAATTAGTTAGTTTATTAAGTTTATTTCAGTTTATTTTCTTTATGAATGAAAACTGTTGTTCTGAAAATCAGAAATAAATACAGACGATTTCCAAAAACACAACTTCCACAATTCACACATTAACATTTTCATTATGATGAATTTGACTGGTCTCCTGTTTCTACGCCTTTTTCATTTTAGTGTATAAAATGATAAAAAGAATGAGAATAAGACCAAGCTGCAATAAACCAGAATTATATTATAATACAAGAATAATAAAAGTATTAAAATGACAGTGATCAGTTTTCAGTGTCCTGTCTGTTCAGTTTTCTGCCTCTGTGCTGAACATCAGACTCTAAACCCTGCGTCTGTATTTACCTGAAACTGACTGACTCCTGGTCCTGGATCTGTTCCAGAGGGCGACCCCATCTTCGTGGTGAAGCTGCAGGACTACACCGCCACAGAGAAGGACGAGGTGACCCTGGACTGTGAACTGAGCAAAGATGTCCCCGTCGTCTGGTACCACGAAGAGACGGAGATCATCGCCTCCAAGATGGTGGTCATGAGGTGCGAGGGCACACGCAGGTCTTTGGTCCTGAAGAAGGTGGAGCAGAGCGATAAAGGGAAATACGTATGTGACTGTGGAACAGACAAGACCTCAGCCAACATCAATATTGAAGGTAAACATGGTGAAACCATCAGGTTTATTCTACAGAAACTATCTATTGAAATCTGCAGAACAGACAGACCTGGACTCAAGAGCGAGAGAAGAGGACAAACATCAGTTGTGAGGTTGATAAGTCATAATTTAAGAAAATGTCTCATTTTAGGAAAGAGAGAAAAAAAATGTAAACATAAAAAACAAGTGTTCAACAAATGTGGCTTTTTTCTTTTTAGTATTTTCATGTCTGTTTTCTTCTGCGGAGGTCTTTCTTATTTCCTTTTTATGTCTTGTATGATAAAAACAGGTGTGAGAAAGTCAGAATTATATGTATATATATATATATATATATATATTTATATATTTATATATTTATATATATATACATATAGGAGAATAAGGTCATTTATTGGATTGAGTTCTGATTCAGAAAAAACTGACATTTTCAAACCCACCAGCTCGTGACATCAAGGTGGTTCGGCCGATTTACGGCGTGGAGCTGTTTGATGGAGAGACGGCTCGTTTCGAGGTCGAGATCTCGGAGGACGACGTCCGCGGCCAGTGGAAGCTGAACGGAGAAACTCTCAGTCCTTCCTCTGTGAGCTTCAGTCTCACCATATGATTTATTGTCCTCGTGTTGATTTGTGATGTGAATCAGTGTAATAACAACAATAATAATGATTTGACAGGATGTTGACATCATTGAGGAGGGAGCGAAGCACACACTGATCCTGTACAACTGCAAAGTGTCCATGACCGGTGAGGTGGCATTCGCCGCCGCTAACGCCAAATGTTCTGCTAACCTGAAGGTCAAAGGTAAAACTACTTAAAGTTACTTGATGATTTAAAAACAATCGTCACATTGTACACAAGCAGAACAAACTGTCTCTGTAGAATGAGCCGAGCCTCAGCGTCGATGACATGAAGAAGAGTCTGTGTTTGATAGAAATGATCAAATCAAGTGAAACCCTTTCTATCGCTCAGAGCTTCCTCTGAACTTCCTCACTCCGCTGAGCGACGTTCAGGTGTACGAGAAGGACGAAGCAAGGTTCGAGCTGGAGGTGTCCAGAGCTCCGAAGACGTTCCGCTGGCTGAAGGGTTCGCAGGAGCTGCAGAGCGACGACAAGTACGAGATGATCCAGGAGGGAAACATGTACGTTCTGCTGATCCGCTCGGCCGCCTACGATGACGAGGCCAAGTACATGTTTGAGGCAGAGGACAAGAGGACGACTGGCAAACTGATCATTCAGGGTGAGGCCATGTTTTCACACGACGCTCCTTTAAACCTGAGAACCTCTGTTAAAACACATTCAACTGATTTGTTTTTTTTTAAATCTGTGATTTATAATCACAGTCAGAATAAAAAAAATGGGTGTTTAGATTGATTTAGATTTAGGAATATTTTCTATTTTCCATCAGTGATTTTTTGGAATTTACTTAAATTCTCTGATTTCATATGAATCATTTTAAAGTACACAGGAATGTGGGAATTTGAAGCAGACTGTGAAGTTTATATCTGGTGTCACATGTTCTTTAAAACTGTTGAAGCTGCTGAGGTTCAGGCCCAGACACGAACAGACACAGAATTAACAGTTGGATTTTTTCTTTTTGTTTTATTGAATCTTTAAATCCAGACAAATTCATTTTTATTCTATTTGAATTATGTGCTCAGTTTCATAAGTCTAAGTGTTTGTGTGGGTTAGGTATTCGTTTGGAGTTTGTCAAACCGATTAAGGACGTGACGGTGAAGGAGCGGGAAACAGCCGAATTCAGTGTTGAACTCTCCCACGACAAGATCCCGGTGGTCTGGTACAAAAACGACGTCCGTCTGCACCCGAGCAAGGTGGTGCACATGTCGGATCACGGAAAGATCCACACGCTGGCCTTCAAGGAGGTCACCATCGACGACACCTCCATGATCAGAGTGGAGGCCATGGACAAGACTGTGACCGCCATGCTCAATGTCATCGGTCAGTGTCACAGGGTCCAACCTCAAGGCTGAAATGAAAGGATTAACCTGATTTATTTAAAGTAGATTTGTGCGATGACACCGCCCTGTGTCTCTGCAGAGGGCGACCTGTATTTCACCACAAAGCTGCACAACTACACGGCCGTGGAGAAAGACGAGGTGAAGCTGGTCTGTGAGCTGAGCAAGGCCGTCGCCGACGTCAAGTGGTTCAAGGACGGGAAGGAGATCACTCCCTCCAAGAACATCGCCATCAGCACCGACGGCAAGAAGCGCATCCTGATGGTCAGGAAGGCGGAGAAGGCCAATATCGGCGCATACACCTGCGACTGTGGCTCAGATAAAACCACAGCCAACCTCAACATTGAAGGTAAAACCTCTGAAGGTCATGAGGAGGATGTTGGTATGAAGGAGTCATGTGATATTAAGATTTTCTTTATGCTATCTCACTTGACTTGAAGTGTTTCTGGCAGGAAGCCTTCGCTGGTTAAAACACATTGTTACATGTAAAATAACATGTAACACGTGGAAACATGAATGCTCTTAGTCCGACTGAGCCGGCGGTGCGGAGCACGTCGCCCTCTTGTGGCCAAAACGATTATTACAAAAGCAAACAAGCTAATTTTTTTTTTCCCAGAGAGGAAAGTGAGTAAAAATATGTTTTTGGGGGCGGCTGGCAGGATGATGGATGATCCTGCTCACTCACACTGATTTAAACATATTTGTGAAGAAGTTTTGAGGGTAAAACACATTTAGTTTGTTTTGACAAAGTTTTAGATTTTTGGGAGAAAGAACCAAAGTGTTGTGTTGATATTTTTGTTCAGTGTATTTTGGCCAGAAACTATTAAGCTTTTAAAACCCTTCCAGTTGTTTCCATCAGAAAGACGATCTTCCATTTTTATTAGTTGTTCATTCTGTCAAGTACAGCTCAGTGGTTCTGGTCTGACCCATGGATCAGGATCACAACAGTAACTCTGTCTGTCATCAAACCGTGACTAACACTGCCCCCCCCCCCCCACAGAGCGCGACATCAAGGTGGTCCGTCCCCTGTACAGTGTGGAGGTCACAGAGACGGAGACAGCCAAGTTTGAGACAGAGATTTCAGAGGAGGACGTCCATGGAAACTGGAAACTGAAGGGAGAAGCCCTGCACCAGTCTGCTGTGAGTCTTCCTCTGTGACCTGAGCTTTCAGTGAAGTCCAAGAGTTCACCGACACTTGGTTGAAACGTTCTGTTTTCTTTCAGGACGTTGAGATTAAGGAGGAAGGAACCAAACACATGCTGATCCTCTATAATGTCCGGATGGACATGGCAGGAGGCGTCGACTTCTCAGCCGCCAACGCCAAGTCCAACGCTCAGCTCAGAGTGAAAGGTGAGTTTTTACTCACAGGTTGAAGATGCTCGTGTCTTCAGCCTCAGACTCACTGACATTGTTTTTCACTTTATTGTCTAAGTTGTGTTGTTATCAGATTTCTGATCAATCTGTTTGTTAATGAGATAATGTCAAGTGTTTTAAATGAAGTGGGATGTTAAAGTAAGAAAAAGTTTTTGTTCTGTGGAACATCTCCACATCCTGAGACCGAAAAAGCTCAAATGCATTTGTTGAAATAACAGTTTGATATATTAAGATTTAAATATGTTTAATATTGGAAATTTAAAAAAGCAGGAAAAAGGACTTTTTTTTAAAATTGCAGATAAATAAATAAACAATTCAAGTAGACTGGTGACAATATTTCCAATGGTTTAAAGTTTTAACTGAAGAGTCAAAAACGCTCTTACGTTTGAATAATTCAAATCTTCATGTTAAAGTATTTTTTTAATGATCTAAGATGTTCAGTTTTCTTCCACGTCAGAACAGATGTCGTAGCTTTGGATGACCTGTGGACATTAAGTTGTTTCTACAGTTTCTAACTCTCATCTGGAAACTTCACATTTAAACCAGAGGAAGCAACAGAATAGGAAATGAGCTCTTTTCTCTGTCACATACCACAGTGTCATGTGTCTCCAGTATTCAGCCAATCAGCTCCTGTGGTTATTTTGGACACCTCTGACTTTATCTGAAGTTGAGAGGCTGCTCTCTGATTGGAGGAGCAGGAACACCACTCCACAAAGCTCCTGACATGAAACAAACCTCAGATCAGCTCCGGACACCCGGCGGTCCGACGGGTGCCCGCTGGTCCATTTAACCATGTCGCCTTCTTCTTCTTCAGCTCGGTCCATCGGCCTGATGCGTCCTCTGAAGGACGTGACGGTGACGGCTGGAGAGACAGCGACTTTCGAGTGCGAGCTGTCGTACGAAGGCATCGCGGTGGAGTGGTTCCTGGGAGGACAGAAGATGGAGGCCAGTGACCGGGTGAGTCAAACATCATGGTTTAATATGTGAATGTTTCTATGACGACTTATAGAAAAAGTTTCATGAACACGTCTGGGACTGAGACAAAGGCGCCTCACTGACAGAATCCTCTTTAAGAAGAAAACTGAATTTCAGAAAACAAAAATGAGCAGTAAAGACGGAGAGTTTTTGTGTGTGTTTGTATTTTTATCTAATGTAATTAGTAATAATGGAACTCGCTTCCACTCACACGTTAAAACAAGACGACAACAAAAATAAAAGTTTGCTGTCAGACCAAAGAAACAGAGACATACTGTAAAAAAATCCAGTCCAGAAATTTAATTTGAGATTAAAGAATAATCGCCTTGTTAAGAATTTTTTCATAATTATGGGTTTTTAGCTCTGTCTCAAGACTTCGGCTCTAAAGTTCATTTGTTTTTTTTCTCATTTAAAGAAAACAATGTATTTCTTGCAGTGCATGGATTGTCATTTCCTGCACGGAGTAATATGGAACCATGTTTGCTTTAACACAAACATTCACAGTCACGTTTCCATCAGTGGAGATTCAGATTTGTATCGTCTGTTTTCAGATTAAAGCTCATTTTCTCTTTTGCAGTGCAGTGATTTGTCTTTGTCAGCTGTGTTTTAAAATGACGGCGATCCTTTTCTGGAAACGTGGATCTCACAGTAGCTGAAGATTTTTCTGTTTTTAAGAAAAACATGAAGATTTAATGAGACTGAGTTAGTTAGTTAGTCAGGCTGTTTTTACAATGTAGAGACTCTGCAGTTAAAAATAACCAAAGATAAAGAGCAGCTGCTGTTATCTGTAACACACAGACTCACACTGTCACCACAGCCTTATATGTAGACAGAGCCACAGGTAACAGACTGACAATATTCACACAAACTCTTCTGTGTATTTTCCATGACACATTTCTGTTTCATTTATGTTTAATGTTGGAGAGAAAAACTGAAGATTTGAAACCTTTAAGTAAAAACATTAATCAACTCTGAAATAACTGAACAAGGTAAATCATCAGAAATCTAATTTCCTAAAACAACTGACTCAAACAGCAGGATGAAAATATCTCTAATCAAACTCTGATGAGTCTCAGTAAACCACAGAACAAGAGAACTATGTTTTCACCAGAGTCTGGAAAATGTCAATATTGGAAACTGGAGAAAAACTCTTCCCAACAGCAGATTCTCTTCAGATTTATCATGTCAATGATAGATTAATAGTAGATCAATAGATTAAACAGCAGGTGAAAAGTGTTTTTTTTGTAAAATAAACTGAAAAACTGGTCCAGAGCATCAGTCATCTCCAGAACATTCACATCACTGGTGTCCATGATGTAGGGAGATGGTCCAACAACAGGCCCCGCCCCCTCATACAGAAACTAGGACTGAAACAGTGCAGATATATCTACATGTAGATCTGCATGCACATCTGCATGTATAGCTACATGCAGATGTGCATGTATCTGCATAGAGATACATGTACATCTGCATGTGTATCTTATAAACCTTCAGAGCGTCTCTGTAGTGGATTTATTCTCCACAACAAAACTCAGCAACAAACAAAAACTTGATAGAAGGGAGGTTTTTTTACAGTGTAGTGTCTGACGTGATTTGCTAGTTCACTAATTAAATGAAATCAGATCATTAAACTGGTGATTTGGGTTTTTTTCTGTCCCTGCAGGTAAAGACTCGTGTGGCGGGTCGTGTTCACGCTCTGACCGTCAGAGATGTGAAACTGTCGGAGGCTGGCGAGGTCAAACTGACCGCTAAAGACTTCCAGACCCAGGCTCAGCTCATTGTCAGAGGTGAGACACTCGAACACATCGGGGACAGTAAACACATCACAGGCTCTGAGGCCCTGAGCAGGAGGTGTATTCTTGGTTCTTACCCAATATATAACCTTTGTTTTCTCGTGCGCTCTCAGAGCCGCCGGTAGAGTTCACGAAGCCGCTGGAGGACCAGACGGTGGAGGAAGAGGCCACCGCCACGCTGGAGTGTGAAGTTTCCAGAGAGAACGCAGAGGTACAATGGTTCAGAGAAGGACAGGAGATCAGAAAGACCAAGAAGTATGACTTGATTGTCGACGGACGCAAGAGAGCGCTGGTCATCCACGGCTGCTCTCCGGATGACGCCAAGATGTACACATGTGACGCCAAAGAGTTCAAGACGTCCTGTTTCCTGGAGGTTACACGTAAGAACTAAACCTTTCTGTTATTGAACCTTTGAATTCAGAGTTACAGGGGCAGTCACGTCGTTTTATAGAATCTGTAAAACAAAATCAGTTCAGGGAGTTGTGAATAACAATTAATATCACAGTAAGATATTTCTTTTAATAAATCTCCCTTAGATATTAGATTAAACAATCATTTACTTTTACTACATATTGTAATGAATTAATAACATATTTTAACATGTTTTTTTATCATAATGCACAGACATTTTTATTTGTATTGTTAATTAACTTGTATCATTAGTACAGAATTAGAATATAATCAATTTTTTATATATTCATTTGAAATATTTTTGAATTATTATTTTTTAATATTATATTTTTACTTACCAAGTCATGATTTTTAGTTTCTCACTGAAGTTTTTTGTTTTATAATTGTGTGTTTCTGGCCTTAATCAGCCTCCACACAGTCTAATACTTTCTGTCATGTTTTGGTCCCTTTAAAGTCTTTGTTGGACTTTTCCTTCCAAGAGAACAAATAAATGACAATTTAGGATTTATTAAAATAACAACTCAAGCTTGAACTCAAGTATCTTACAATTATGATTCTCAAAGTTCAGATTATTAGTTTAGACGAACATAAATCAGATGAAATGCTTGTTGGATTGAATTGTTGAACTTCTATTACAACAGTGTTGTTTTTGTCCGCAGCTCCTCATGTGGAGATTACAAAGCCTTTGCAGGATGTGGAGGTCAGAGAGAAGGAATCTGCCAAGTTTGAATGTGAAGTGTCCCGCGAGTCCGCCAAGGTGAGACCAGATCCCCCACTGTTCTGTCACTTGGAGATCTGGTTTTACAGCTGGATGTGAAAGAATCGACTGAACAGTCTCCAAGATAAATCTCATTTCATCTCACTTCTGTCCCACCAGGTGCGTTGGTTCAAGGACGGAAGTGAGATCAGGAGAGGAAAGAAGTACGAGATCACGGCTAAGGGAGTCCAGAGGATCCTCATCGTCCACAAGTCGGTGTTTGACGATGAGGCAGAGTACGAATGTGACGCCAGAACTTCCAAGACATCCGGCATGCTCACGGTCATCGGTGAGCAGCATCCTCATTATTTGATTATTTCTCTTGAAAATAGTTTTTCCATTTCACAATAATTTACTGAGAAAACTGGAGGAAAGAGAAGGGAACAGAGTGGCACCTGTTGCATTAAGAGCTAAGAGGTAAAATTATAAAATTATAAAATTATATTAATGGAATAACTGTAAATAAACAGCAAGAAAAGAGTCCTGACACAAATACTTTGGGTGTAAGCAGGCAGCAGAGAATGTCTGACAGTCAAAACTTGGGACACCCAGCCCCCCCCACTCCTCTTTGCCCTCATTAACCCCTGCGGCTTTAACCTTCACAGAGGAGGCAGCCAGGTTCACCAAGAACCTGTCCAACGTGGAGGGAACGGAGACGGACAGCGTGAAGATGATCTGCGAGGTGTCGAAAGCAAACGCTGATGTCATCTGGTACAAAGGAGATGAGGAGCTGCCGGAGGGCGGCCGCTACGACCAGATCATGGACGGACGCAAGAGGATCCTGATCATCCAGGACCTGAGAATGGAGGACGCCGGAGAGTACAACTGCAGGCTGAGTCCCACTGTCAAGACGTCTGCCACGCTCAAACTCAACGGTAAGAAAACAACAACATCTGAAATCATCATGTTCTGATCACAGGAAGTTAAAGGACCCTGTCACTCACCGTTGTACTAACACTTTACGCTCTTTTGGGAAGACATAAGAAAAACAGTTTGATTCGACAGGAAGTGGAGGAAATCACAGTGTGACGGATTTATTGGCTGAAATCTTTACTTACACAGCAAAATAACCACTTTCTCTTCCCCTGTGCTTTTCCTCTTCTCCTTCTTCTTCCTCTTGTTCTTCTTCATCTTCTCCAGAACTGGCGGCTGAGTTCATCACCCGTCCTCAGAACCAGGAGGTGGTGGAGGGCGAGAAAGCTGAGTTCACCTGCTCCGTCTCCAAGGAAACCTATGAGGTGAAATGGTTCAGAGGTGACAAGGAAGTCGAAGCCGGGGACAAGTACACAATCATCAGTGAAGGAAAGAGAAGGGCTCTTATTGTGAAAAACTGTGAGCTGAAGGATGAAGGAGGCTACGTTGCTCACATCAGCAGCGTTAAAGCCTCAGCTGATCTGTGTGTGATTGGTAAGACTCTTAATTTCTTTGTTTACATCCTGTCTTGGTTCAATCAAAGGTTTGATTTTAATAAGTTTGTATTTTACTCCAGAAAAACTGAGGATCATCACGCCGATCAGAGATACGGAGGTGAAGGAGGGAAGCGAGATCGTGTTCAATTGCGAGACGAACACAGAGGGAGCAAAGGCCAAGTGGCTGAAGAACGAGGAGACCATATTCGAGAGCAGCAAGTACATGATGGCTCAGAGGGACAACGTCTTCTCCCTGAGGATCAGAGACGCCCAGAAGGGAGACGAAGCCAGCTACACCATCAACCTGACCAATCACAGAGGAGAGCATGCCAAGAGCGCTGCCAGCGCTAAAGTCGCAGGTAAATAATGTGATTTTTCCTCACTTTTTATTCCATTTCAGGTCATGAACAACATTCAGTTGGTCGTTCTCATTTCTACACATAGACTTGATCTTAAAGATATTTCCTCTGATTTTTTTATGAAGTCCAAATGACCATTTCCTAAAAGGTTCAGGTCTTTTTTCGAGTCTTTATCCAAAAAAATTAGTAAAACTATAAATAATCGATTCAACAGTCTGCTCTGATGTATGTAAGGTCTAGCTTATTGCCCACAGCAGTAACTTTGTGTTAACGCCTACATTATTTTGTGGGGTCACAAGTTAAGTTAGAAAAAGCATTGCTGAGGACTGGAAGATCAGTGTGGAGTCAGTCTTTGAGTTTCTCCTAACATTAGCAGCCCTGTTCTCATCATTATTGCATTTATATTCCAGAGCAGCTGCTATGTGTTAAACTGCTTTCAGATCCAAGTTGTGCTGCCTCCCTTGTTTAGTATTAAACATTCACCCTGTGATTCCACAGAGGAGAAGCTGAAGTTCCTGGAGCCCATCGAGGACATTGAGACTCAGGAGAAGAAGACCATCAGTTTCATCTGCAAGGTGAACAGGCCCGAGGTGACAGTGAGGTGGATGAAGGCCGGCCAGGAGGTGACGCTCAATAAGCGCATCGTCTACAGAGCTGATGGACTCAAACACACCCTGACCATCAAGGACTGCGTCATGGATGACGAGGGCGAGTACACCGCTGTGGTTGGTGATGACAAGTGCGCGGCTGAGCTGATCATCAGCGAGGCGCCAACTGACTTCGCCGCACAGCTCAAAGACCAGACCATCACCGAGTTCGAGGACGCCGAGTTCACCTGCAAGCTGAGCAAGGAGAAGGCTGTCGTCAAGTGGTACAGGAATGGACGCGAGATCAGAGAAGGACCCAGGTACGACAATCATCCAAGTCTTACATGTTTTGTTAAAAACAGTAAATAACACATTAGAATTAGAAGAGATCCACATTATGATGAGAACCTGCTCTGATTTTCTGTTTAGTTTGATCATCTTTATTATACCTTTGACTTGTGTTTTTTCAGATATCACATGGAAAAAGAAGGCAAGATATGCAGACTGATCATCAAGGTGTGCAGACCTGATGATGAAAGTGAATACGCCTGTGGTGTAGATGAGAGGAGGACAAGAGCAAGGCTCTTTGTTGAAGGTAAACTCTTCATGTCTCTTCGTCTTTTTTCAAAAACCACAGAGGTGTATTGAGTTTTCACATGATGATGATGTTGTCCGTTCTGCAGAGACCCCCGTGGAGATCGTCAGACCTCCTCAGGACGCGTTTGAACCTCCAGGCTCGGACATCGTGTTTGAGGTGGAGCTCAACAAGGACAGAGTGGAGGTGAAGTGGATGAGGAACAACATGATCATCGTCCAGGGAGACAAATACCAGATGATTAGCGAGGGTAAAGTCCACAGACTGCAGGTCTGTGAGATCAGACCCCGAGACCAGGGAGAGTACAGGATTGTGGCTAAAGACAAGGACGCCCGCGCCAAGCTGGAACTGGCAGGTGAGTCAGCATGGAGGAACCAGTCCCACAAATCCACCCTGTGATTGATTTATGAAATGGGCCGAACAAATGAAAACATGAATTGTTTTATCTCCTTTGCAGCTGTTCCCAAGATCAAAACCACCGACCAGAATCTAATGACAGATGCTGGTAAACCCTTCGTCATGACCGTGCCCTATGATGCTTACCCTCGTGCCGACGCCGGGTGGTTCTTCGAGGACACCAGTCTGCCCGTCCAGAACATCGACACCTCTGCTGACAAGACAGAGTACCGCCTTAAGAGCCCCAGCAAGGAGGACCAGGGCCGGTACAAAGTGGTCATCAAGAACAAGCATGGCGAAGGAGAAGCGTTCATCAACCTGGACGTGATTGGTGAGTCTGGAGGTTAAATCATTGATGGGTGTTTGGATAACTACATTCTGTATCCTGGGTATGTCTGTGGATGTCAGAAAAGTTTTTATACGTCATGTTGGTGGTTTTCAGATGTCCCTGGACCTGTCAAGAACCTGAGAGTGGTCGACACAGCTGATGGTGAGGTCAGTTTGGCCTGGGAGGAGCCAGAGAGTGATGGTGGAAGCAAGATTATTGCCTACGTTGTGGAAAGACGTGACGTGAAGCGTAAGACCTGGACTCTGGCAACAGATCGTGCTGATGTCCCAGAGTACTGCGTCAGCGGCCTCAACAAGGACTCCATGTACCTGTTCAGAGTCTGTGCCCGAAACAGGGTTGGCAGCGGACCCACTGTTGCCACAGAGGACGCAGTCCAGGCCAAGAACAAGTTTGGTAAGCAACGTCCAAAGATTTCCACTTGTATTAACACACCTTCTCCACACTTCAATCCAAATCAAATCCTAAATGTGTTTCTTTTCAACCATCAGATGTTCCTGATGCTCCAGAAAATGTTGCAGTAGCCAATGTCAACAAGTTTGGTGCCACTGTCACCTGGGAGCCTCCCAAATTCGACGGCGGCTCGGAGATCACCGCCTATGTGATCGAACTCCGCGACAGGACCTCTGTGAAGTGGGAGGCGGCTCTGGTCTGTGGCGCCAATGACCGCTCAGCCGCGCTTAATGACGTGGTGGAGAACAAGGAATACATCTTCAGAGTCAGAGCTGAGAACAAGGCTGGCATCGGCAGGCCCAGCGCCGCCACAAACCCTGTCAAGATCATGGATCCCATCGGTGAGTGAAAACCAGCAGTTCAAGAGTTAAAATTCTGACACCTGTAAAAAAGATCAAATGATGTAATTTCACTGGACCTTTTGTGCTGTGGCTGCAGAGAGGCCAAGCCCGCCACTGAACCTGAACTTTAGTGACCAAATCAAGTCGGCAGTCACACTGACCTGGGAGACGCCCACCAGCAATGGTGGCAGCATGATCACCGGCTACATCATTGAGAAATGTGACGAAGGCACTGACAAGTGGCTCCGCTGCAACGCCAGACTGTGCCCAGACCTCTCCTACCGGGTACAGAGTTCACCAATCATTTTTATTCTCTGTTGTTCTGCTCTGTTTAGTTTTATTTATTTATTTACATATGTATTTCCATCGTCCTTCCACTGATGGATTTTATTTTTTGTGTTTTATGAAGCTCTGTTTCCCACTTTTCACCTTTGTATCTGACAGCTCTGAGTCTTCGCTGGTTCATGTGAGCTGTCTGTTGACTGATGATGTTACTGTTGTGTTGTTCTCATCAGGTGTCTGGTTTGAAACCTGGTCAGAAGTACCTCTACAGAGTTTGTGCAGAGAACGCTGCTGGCGTGTCTGATCCAGCTGAGCAACTCGGACCGCTGGTCGCCGACGACCCTCATGGTACGAGACAAACAGTTGAATCAACTACTGATGTATTAGGAGGAAGTGGATACTTCATTTCAAATGGCGTCCCCTTCATTCCTTAGCACAGATGAAAATGTCCATCTAAAAGCTCATCCAAAATCCCAGATTTTAGAGATAAACCAAGATTCTTTCTGTCTTTCTTCCTTTTCCAGCATTAAATAGCGTCTCTGAAGCACCAAAACTGTCCACTAGATGGCAGTATAACTTGTTAACCAGCCTCTGGTTCTCTCCAAATAACACTACAATCTAAAACATTTTTCTTTCTCTGCAGTCGGCCCGACCTTTGACCTGAGTGCCTTTAGGAACGGTCTGGAGGTGATCGTCCCTCATCCTCTCACCATTAGAGTCCCGATCACTGGATACCCGACCCCCGTTGCCAAGTGGACCTTTGGAGAGAAGGAGCTGACCACTGCGGACGAGCGTGTCTCCATGGTGACGAAGCCCACGTACACAGAGCTGACGGTCACACCGAGCGTCCGTCCTGACAAAGGCACCTACACCCTTCAGCTGGAGAACGACGTCTCTTCTGTCTCTGGAGAGATTGAGGTCAACGTCATCGGTAACAACAATTTCTCTGCCCTTAAAAGTATAAACTGAATAATTATATGTAAATATAGAAAGAAGATTTACTTATTCAAAGATGTTATGGAAGTTTGGCGACCAGATGCATGCTGGATAAAGCTTCCATTGAATGCTGCCCCGAGCAGTTCTGAAAATAAATCTTTTCCATCCACAAATGACTTCCTTATGCACTTCATTGTGTTTTTTGTAGGTGTACAAAGATTTTTAATTTCTTCTTTGGTGTCTTTTTTTCCCAGCATGCCCCAGTGCTCCCAAGGACTTTAAGGTGGCTGAGGTGACCCGACACCATGTCCACATGATGTGGGAGGCTCCGGAGCATGATGGAGGAAGTCCAGTCACCCACTACCAGATCGAGAAGAGAGAAGTGTCTCGCAAGACCTGGGCCAAGGTACATCAGAGTGTTTTCCTCTGTAGTTCTGTCTGAGAATCTACTCCATCCAACCTTAACAGATTCAGCAGCACGGTGCTACAGCTGTAGGACCTCAAGCCTCTAACAGCATCATGCTTGTATATAAAGTCAATAGTTTGTTGAAAATCTCAGAGTGTTGGTCATAGTTACTAAGATGTGACGAATCTATGGAAGCTACAAAGCAATAAATACAACATATCAGTTGGTTGGTGGTTGAAACAACTCTAAAGCACCCAAATAAAGCATGGCAGAAATTGTCTTTGCACCTGTATGGCCTTACATCACTAACAAACAAAAGTTGAAGGCCTTGACAGGGCCAAGCAGCAATCAACTTAGAGGTTAAAGATCGTGATTGCAACGTCTCCTAACCACTGTGATGATGTAATGTCCAGGTTGCTACTGGCATCCTGGACCTGGAGCACACTGTGACAGATGTCATTGAAGGAAAGGAATATCTGTTCAGTGTCACCGCCTGCAACAAGTGTGGACCTGGAGAGCCGGCGTACATCGACGAGCCTGTTAATGTCTCCTCTCCTGCCAGTGAGTATTTTCACAGTGAAACCAGCTTCAACATGAGCATTTGTCTCCTTTGCTTTTAAGAACATTTTTCACCTCATAAAAATTTGTGTACAAATATCCAGAATCTCACGTACCATTATGTTTATTCTCGCAGCTGTACCTGATCCTCCCGAGAACCTGAAGTGGCGCGATAAGAGTGCCAAGACCATCTTCCTGTCCTGGGAACCTCCAAAGTATGACGGAGGTGCCCCGATCAAAGGCTACGTGGTGGACAAGTGTCAGCGTGGTACTGACAAGTGGGAACCCTGCAGCGACCCCATCCCTGAACTGAAGTAAGTCCTGACAGTTTGAAAATGGTAAATTGTTAGGATTTCTACAGTTTTCTTGGGCCTATTCGTTATTTGTGTCCTTTTGTATATTGTGGGACAGTTGTTATAAGATATGTTCTATGCTCTCAGGTTCCAGGTCACCGGCCTGATTGAGGGTCAGTGGTACGCCTACAGAGTCAGAGCTGTCAACAAGCTGGGAGCCAGCCGACCCTGCAGGGCCACTGATGAGATCCAGGCTGTGGATGCTAAAGGTAGGCCGGTCTGTGCTCATCCAGACATGATCCTAGTGGTCTGGAGTGAATGTTTGCATTCAGCTTCTTCAAACCTACTGTACTGATATTGTAAGAGATGTCCTACATCGTAAGTATGTACTAAGGAATGAAAGATGATCAGGATCAGGTGTCAGAGTAACTGAATTGGGACTTGTAGAAATGAGAAAGGAGATGTGTAGTACTGATAGGACTGGAAGTAAATATATTGCAGTCAGGAGGTTAATAGGATCTTGAGTGGGACTAATGAGATTGTGAGCAGGAATAACTGAATCTGGAGTCTGACCTTTTTTTTCATAAATCCAACAGAGCCTCCAGAGATCCAGCTGGATGTGAAGTTGCTGGCCGGTCTGACTGCCAGGGCCGGTACCAAGATCGAGCTTCCAGCCGATGTCAAAGGAAAGCCCGATCCCCGGGTGAAGTGGACCAAGGCCGACCTGGTCCTGCGGGCTGACAACCGCATCACTATCGACACAGAGCCAGGACACTCCAAGCTTTCCATCGCTGACACCACCAGAGGGGACACTGCCACCTACATCATTGAGGCTGTTAATACTTGTGGACGCGCCACTGCCACTATCGATGTCAACATCCTTGGTACAGAGGCTAATTTATTATCCCACCTATGATACCTGAGCTATAGCCACAACTGAAACTGAGACATTACCAACCTGGGTGTGATTTTTCAGAAATATTCATGTTGTGTCCCCTCCTCTTCAGATAAACCTGGTCCTCCAGCTGCCTTCGATATCTCTGAGATCACCAACGAGTCATGCGTCATGGCCTGGAACCCTCCCAGGGACGACGGCGGCTCACCCATCACTAACTATATTGTGGAGTGCCGTCAGTTGGACAAAGAGGAGTGGGTGAAGCTGTCTGCCACGGTGAAACACACCACCTTCAAAGCCTGCAAGCTCACAGCCATGAAGGAGTACGTCTTCAGGATCAGCGCTGAGAACCAGTACGGCATCGGCGCACCTGCAGAGCATGTGCCGATCATTGCAAAGTATTCCTTTGGTAAGTTGTTTTAAATGGTTATCTAATTATCTATCAAAAATTGCCCCTTGAACATTGATGAAATATGAATAGCCAATGACAAATCACATTATTTTCCATCTGTTTCAGATCCTCCTGGACCTCCAACCAGAGTTACTCCCTCTGACATCGCCAAGGATGCCGTGACTCTGACCTGGTTCGAGCCAGACGAGGACGGCGGCAGTCCCATCACTGGATACTGGGTTGAGAAGTTTGATCCAGAGAGCGACAAGTGGATCAGATGCAACAAACTGCCCATTAAGGACACAACCTTCAGGTAAGTTATCATCATCACTATCATCAGCCGACGAGGTGAAGGATCTTTATTTGTGTGGTTTTTCATCTGACCGCGTGTCTGTGTGGCTGCAGGGTGAAGGGACTCCCCACCAAGAAGAAGTACCGCTTCCGTGTTCTGGCTGAGAATCTGGCTGGTCCTGGAAAACCAAGCGTAGAGACCGATCCAGTCCTCATCAAAGATCCCATTGGTATGTCACCTGCCATTCAGTACTGTTACTCAGCGTACACTGTAATCACTGTATTGACGGCTGTTTCTTTAAGCTTTGTCGTATCAAGATTGTAATTTAATTAATAAACTGTATATCATAGAAGTAATACGATTGGGAGTGAGAGTAATAGGATTGGCGACAAGAGTAATTGGATGATTATGATAATATCACACACTCCTCTTCAGATCCTCCATGGGCTCCTGGTAAACCTGTCATTAGGGACATTGGCAAGACCACAGCCCTGGTGGCATGGACCCGGCCAGAGCACGACGGTGGAGCTAAGATTGAAGGCTACATCATTGAGTTCCAAAAGACTGGAAGCGAGGAATGGATCCGGATTGCTGAGGACATTCCTCTGACCGAGCACCAGCTGCAGGGTCTGATGGAGAAGCAGGAGTACTCATTCAGGGTCAAGGCCGTCAACAAAGCCGGAGAGAGCGAACCCAGTGAGCCCAGCGACCCTGTGGTCTGCAAGGAGAGACTTTGTAAGTTCAACTCAGGGCTGGGTGGCAGAACACTGTTTTTCTAAAAGGATTATAGTCTGTGAAAAACTCCAAAAAAATTAGCTATGAGGGTTTTTTATTATAATTGTCCTTGAGTTTAAGGTTTAAAGGATCTGATTCAGGATCTCCCACAATCAGTAAAAGATAGAGCCAATACTCCTTGTTTTCCATTCCACAGACCCTCCCTCCCCTCCTCAGTGGCTGGACGTAACCAACATCACCAAGACCAACGCTGACCTGAAGTGGCAGGCTCCCAGCAGTGATGGAGGCTCACCCATCACCAACTATGTGGTGGAGAAGAGGGACGTGAGGCGAAAGGCCTGGCAGGCAGTTGACACCACCGTCAAGGACCTCAAGTACACCGTGAGTCCTCTCAACGAAGGGTCACTGTACGTGTTCCGTGTTGCCGCTGAGAACGCCGTTGGGACGAGTGAATTCTGTGAATTGGAGGATGCTGTGCTCGCCAAGGACACTTTCAGTAAGTTCTCGACAGTTCAAGATTTAGTCAGCTTTGTGTTTGTTAAAACTTGAGCTACCAGTGTAGCTTGAATAGTTTCAGTGTATTTATAGACAGTTTAGAGCAGATTTTTTTTTGTCTACAGTGACATACCTCATCAATTACTCATTGACAGGTTGACACTTAACACATTGGTGACCCCTACTCCAGGGGATGATAACAGGACGCAAGATTGTCAAAGGCACTTTATTTCCATTTTAAGACTCTGAGTACGGCTGCAAACAAATGTAACTGTCAAGTATTCGTATTCATGTTTGTCATTTTCTCTGCAGCAACTCCTGGACCTCCTTATGCCCTGACAGTGGTGGAGGTCACCAAGAGACATGTGGAGCTGAAATGGGAAGCTCCCAAGAGCAATGGTGGAAGACCGATAACCAAGTAAGATGAAAAACAGCTACTACTGTCTGTGATTCCAAATATAACTGAAAAAATATTCAACAAGACAATCACCCTTTGCTTTCCAGGTACGTGATTGAGAAGAAGGAGAAGCTGGGAACCCGTTGGCTGAAGTGCTGCAAGACTCCAGACAAACAGACTCAGTTTAAGGTGACAGATGTGGATGAAGGGTCAGAGGTTCAGTTCCAGGTCAGAGCTGAGAACGAGGCTGGAGTCGGTGATCCAAGTGAACCAACTGAGATCCTCACCATCGAGGATGCAACCAGTAAGAGACCAAATATTTATTGGAAATGCAGGAGATCCTTGGGTGACTACTGGGGATGTCCTTGACGAAAGAAATTCTTTTTATGAATTGATTTGTCAAATTGTTCCTCCAATAGTATCAGTGTATGGCAGATAAATACAGGAAATGACTTCATATCTCTAAGACACAGTCAAAAAGAATATATTTCAGATGTACTCACAGATGTCCTTCTCTCTCTCCAGGTGCTCCATCTCCTCCTCTTGAAGTGGCCGTCCCTGACGCCAGCCGAGAGCACATCAACGTCACCTGGAAGCCTCCAGCCAAGGACGGTGGCTGCCCGATTACCGGCTACCATGTTGAGGTGGCAGAGGCCCGCCCAGAGCTGAAGTGGCTCAGGGTCAACAACAGACCCATCAAGGAACTCAAGTTCAGGATTGATGACGGAATCAAACCAGAGAAGAAGTACGTCATCAGAGTTCGTGCCATCAACTCTGTTGGTGTCAGCGATCCCTCCGAGATCTCTGACAAGGTCTTCACCAAGGATCCCGACTGTAAGTATCCACACCTCTCTGTTTATTAGATAAGTCTAGATAGGTTCAATCAAAACACTGATAATTAACCCTAAATAATAATCCTGTCCTCTGGTCCCAAGGTGCTCCAACTATGGATTTGGAGGCACAAGACGTGGTTGTGGTTGAGGGCGAGAAGCTGCACCTGAACATCCCATATAGGGCGATCCCGACGCCCAAGATGGTGTGGCAGAAGGACACAGTGGAGTGTAAGGCCGATGACCGGCTCTCCATGACAGTGGAGATGAACAGCGCACACCTGGAGCTGCTCAAGTGCACACGTCCTGATGCCGGTGCCTATGCCATCACCCTGGAGAACAGTCTGGGAACTGCCACTGGAACTGTCAATGTCAAAGTCATCGGTAGGATATCCTCCATGTAAAAGTGCTTGGGAAATATAACACCATGCATTGTTCATGTTATAAACTTGTGTATGATGTACTTTTGTAAACCAGTACAAATGTTAGATTCGTCCAGTTCAGTTTCCCACAAGCACTTTTCAATCCCATTTTTGCATTTGGTTTCTGATGAGTTCTTGGTCCAGGGGACTTTGTGTATTTGTAAAAATCTCCTTGTAACCCTGTTAAGCACTATTTCCAGTTATATTTCACTAGAACAGACTAGCAGCAACCCTCCTCTAACACGTTTTTGGTTCCTTCCTGAACCCTGCAGGACTCCCCGGTCAGTGTAAAGACATCACCTCCAGCGACGTCACCAAGAACTCTTGCAAGATCAGCTGGGAAGCCCCAGAGGATGACGGTGGCACCCCCATTGTCAGCTACACTCTGGAGCGTCGTGAGGCATCCAAGAAGACCTACATGCCTGTCATGTCTGGAGAGAACGTCCTGACTTACACTGTCAAAGAACTGTTCATCAATTGTGAGTACTACTTCAGAGTGAAGGCTGTCAACAAGGTTGGAGCTGGAGAATATCTGGAGCTACGCAACCCTGTCATCACAGAGGAAATCAAACGTAAGTCCTGTTTCCAGCTCTATAACATTAGAGGGTTGATCTGTATTGTCATTGTAAGCATGTTAGCATTGACATATTAACATTTAGCTCAACGTACAGCTTTGTACCTATTACCTAGTGAATGAAATGAGATGACACCTGGTACATACCTCTAGGATTATAGTAAACCTGGTGGTCTTGGCTATGGAAGCACCTCAGACATTTACAGTCTGTGGCTAATATTGATTCCACAGAGAAACCAGACCCACCTATCCAGGTGGAGGCTCACGACCCGACGTCCAAGTCCATCACAGTCACATGGAAGGCTCCGGACTATGATGGCGGCTGTCCCATCCAGGGCTATATCGTGGAGAAGATTGAAAAGGACGGCGACCGCTATGAGAGGGTTACCCCAAGCCTGGTTCCTGGTTTCTCCTACGTGGTAACAGGCCTGAAGGAGGACATGGAGTACCAGTTCAGGGTCCGCGCTGAGAATGCCGCTGGAGTCAGTGAGCCATCACGTAGCACACCACTTACCAAAGCTGCAGACCCCGTCGGTACGGATAACTACAAAATGCTTTAATATCGTTTATTTGTGTATTTAAACCACAAAAAAGAAGGACCTTGATTTCAAAACTCTTATTTCATTTGCAGAAAAACCAAAGGTCACACTTCATGCCCGTGTGCAGTCTGGTGTCTGCATTAAGAAGGGTGAGGAGATCCGCATCGATGCCTTCATCTCTGGGTCTCCGTACCCCAAAGTCACCTGGCTGAAGAACGATGAGGACGTCACCAAAGAGCCGACCAAAAAGATTGTTCCTTTGGTCAAGAAGAAGAAGTCCAAGGCCAAGGTTTGTGTCCTCACAGAGGCATCTGACAGTCCTAATCATTTTCTACATAATGTAAAGATATTTTCTAATTTTTACAATGGTCCCTTTAGGTTCCAGAACCAGAGGAGGAGTTTGTGACTCCACTGCGTGAGCGTCTGGGTCTGGATCAGACCCAGAAGGGCCGATCTGCACTGATGATACGTGACGCAGTCAGACCCGACCATGGAAACTTCACCATCATGGTGGAGAACACTCACGGTGTTGCCACCGCCTCCTGCAATGTCAACGTCCTTGGTAAGACAAAAGTTTATTTATTTATTTATTACGAGTTTCTAACCTGATACTTAAACCTCCAGCTCACATGACCTCCTCAAGGTCCTCAGTTAGTTTTAATTAGAGGAAACCGGTCATCAGTTATACATAAGGAATTTCAAACTCGTTTTCTGAAAATCATAAATGGAGAAAAAATGCTTTGAATCAAATTAACTGTTTTTATAAATCAAAGAATAATATTTTTACTCGAAGCAATTGCCCTGAAAGATTTTATAAACCTCATTTACATGTTGACCCGATTCCCCTGTCCTGCAGACAAACCCGGCGCTCCAATCAACTTCACCTTCCATGAGATCAGGAACACCTCAGTCATCTGTAACTGGGAACCTCCTGAGGATGATGGCGGCAGCGAGATCCTGAACTACATCCTGGAGAAGAAGGACAACAGAAACGATGAGATCGGCTGGATCACCATCACCTCCACCCTGAAGGGTACCAGCTGCCCCGTCACCAAACTCATCGAGGGGAAGGAGTACATCTTCAGAATCACCGCTGAGAACAAGTTTGGCTGCGGGCCACCATGTATCTCCGAGCCCCTGGTTGCCAAGAACCAGTTCAGTAAGTAACAGAACAAATAATAAAGGAATCCATGAGGGAAAATTTCTTTCTGGCTAAAAGTGACTGCAAAACCGAATATATACATAAAACCCCTGTAATAAATACTGAATATTAAGTAGAAATAATAAATAATAATATCAAATATAAAAATATAGTAAATAAAACATTTTGTCATGATTGAGTAGAATCCATTATAATGGATTTTAAAATGAAAGTAAAAATAAAATTATTTGTATATTTTCAGAAAGTTAATTCACTTTCGGGCGGCACGGTGGTGCAGTGGTTAGCGCTGTCGCCTCACAGCAAGAAGGTTCCGGGTTCGAGTCCCGGCTCGGACGCGGGATCTTTCTGTGTGGAGTTTGCATGTTCTCCCCGTGCCTGTGTGGGTTCTCTCCGGGTTCTCCGGCTTCCTCCCACAGTCCAAAGACATGCAAATGGGGACTAGGCTGATTGGATACTCTAAATTGACCATAGGTGTGACTGTGAGAGTGAATGGTTGTTTGTCTCTGTGTGTTTGCCCTGCGATGGACTGGCGACCTGTCCAGGGTGTACCCCGCCTCTCGCCCGAAAGGATGCTGGGATAGGCTCCAGCCCCCCCGCAACCCTACTAGAGGATAAGCGGAAGAAAATGAAAGAATGAATAATTCACTTTCTAAAAGTCACAAGAAAAAAACTACACACAAACTATTGTTTTTCCACTTTGGCACCACCTAATGGTCTTATCAACAATGACACTGTAGTAGACAATGAACTCCTTCCCCCACTTTCATTAATGTACAAAGGCTGTTGAGTCACTCACCTTTTTCCTACCCCTTTAGATCCTCCTGATGCTCCCAACACTCCCAGAGTCCACGAGGTGACGGCGAGCACCGTCCACATCTCCTGGCACGAGCCGAAGGACAATGGCAGCCCAATCCTGGGCTACTGGATCGAGAGGAAGGAGGTGAACAGCAAACACTGGACCCGAGTGAACCGGGCCCTCCTCAATTCTCTGGATGTGAAGGTCACCGGCTTGATGGAGGGACTCACCTACATCTTCAGAGTGTGTGCCGAGAACCTGGCCGGGCCCGGGCCCTTCAGTGAGCCTACCGACCGCATTATCACCATGGACGCCATCCGTAAGTTTCTTTCTGCTGACTCCATTCTATTTCTTCTCCCTCTCTGTGCTGTCAACCTAAAGGCAAACATGAAAAACAAACAATTCACTGTCTGTTAATGTACTGTAAATATACCATAAAGCCCAATTCAATCAGAATGAGATTATTCAAAACGCTGGAATGCAGACATCACATTAAATTAGTAATTTAGATCATAGATGGACACTGACTGACTTTGCAAAGCATGAATTAAAGGACCAAACCAGTATTTATCTTTTACCCATTTAATACAAAATGTATCTATTGGCCAAGACACCAACTGGTTGGAAAAACAGGATCAGGTACTTTTTACCATGTGAGAATATAGAACATTGTTGTGTTCACTTAAGTCTGTTAATTACCACTGAAATATTAAACACATCTCTGCTCTCCCTCAGTGCCTCCTGGCCCCCCCACTCCATGGATCGTGGATACTGGGAAGGACTCTGTCATTGTGGCCTGGAAGCCACCACTGTACAACGGTGGAGGAGACATCTTGGGATACCACGTTGAGAAGGTACAGGAAACTAACAAGATAACCTCTCTGGATTCTTGAGCTTGGAATTGAAAATTACATTTCCAATAACTGACACATCTGCAGCTATAGGTCCCTTTTTCTTCAAAACAAATCTTTACTGTTATGTGATGTTAAACTCTTGTGCTCTGCTCACAGGTTTTGGCTGGAGAGAAGGACTGGACTCGGAGCACAGAGTTCAGGTGCAAAGAGCTGACATACACTGTGACAGGCCTGGCCGAGGGAGCAGATTATTATATCCGTGTCATCGCCGTCAACGATGCCGGACCCGGAGCTCCTGGAGTTACCGAACCCGTCACTGTTAAAGAGCCTCAAGGTAAGTTATCCAACTGAGGAAGTATGGACAAGGTAATTTGCCTCAACACATTTTATGTGGAATCGTAATGTTAACGTTTTTCAACACTTCCTGCAGCTACTTCACATTTCATAATAAATGTTTCCTAGTCAATTGTTAGATTAAAGTACTTAATTTAATACATTTCAAGGCAAAACTAACAGTCCTCGCTGTCTTTGCCATTCAGAACCTCCTGCTGTGGACTTTGATGACTCTGTGAAGAACGGTGTCATGATAAAGGCAGGCGAGTCTTTGAGACTTCCCGCTGTGGTGACTGGCCGACCCCAGCCGGAGGTCAAGTGGGCCAAAGATGAGGCCGACATCGACAAAGAGAGGATGATCGTTGAGACAGTGGGCAAAAACAGCACACTGTTCATCAAGAAGGCCGTAAGGGCAGATCACGGAAAGTACAAGATCTCTGGCACCAACAGCAGTGGGACCAAGACCGCTGAGACCAGAGTGGACGTTATGGGTCAGTGTTACATGAATACACCCCAGCATTCATTTGTACCTGCAAACATACCTGAAATCCCATTCATACAACCTCTTAAGTCCTGGTGTTTGTTTTAGAAACTTTGTTGTTGTTTTTCAGATCACATTTATTGTATTTTCGTTCTTTTGTAAAAAAGAATCAAACAGGGTTGTTGTTATCAGTTAGTGTTACCTTCAGTTAAAAGTGCAGATTTTGGTAGTTGTAATGCACCACGTAAACAATGATTAAATGAACAAGGTCATTCTTCATTATATTAGAGGAACTTAAAAACAGTGAGACAAAATGTCCTTGACATCTTTACTGGTCTGTGTTTCTGTAGACGTACCGGGACCAGTGGTTGACCTGAAGACAGTCGTGGTGACAAAGAAGAACATCACTCTCACCTGGTCTGACCCCTTGGACAACGGCGGCAGCGACATTATTGGCTACGAGGTGCTGAGGAAGGATGCCAAGATGAAACTCTTCCGCCAGCCCATTGAGACGGCGTCCTGTAAGTGTGACGTCCAGGGTCTGCTGGCTGGTGAGGAATATGACTTTAGGGTCATTGCAAGGAACAAGTATGGTGATGGAGCTCCAGCTGACCTGGGTCCCATCTTGGCAGAGGATCCCAAAGGTAAACCCACAGAAACATGACCTGTTGCTGATATTAGCTGACATTTTATGGGAGAGAAGATCTAGTGGTCTCCTGAAAGAATTGGCCAGTGTTGACCGAACTCCCTGATAATGTTTCAGGTACTCCATCTGCCCCAGAGAAGTTGCACTACACTGATAGAAGTAAGACAACTATCACTCTGGCCTGGCAGCCACCTCGCACTGATGGCGGCAGCCCCATCAGAGGGTACTACGTGGAGAAGATGAGGTCTGATAGCACTGAGTTTGACGTGGCCAACCGCAAGATCTTCACTGAATGCTGTGGAACGATTGAGAACCTGTCAGAGAACCAGGAGTACCAGTTCCGTGTCAAAGCTGTGAACGAGGTTGGGGACGGAGATCCATCCAAGCCAATCACAGCCAAGATCCAGGATGATGAAAGTACGAAACTATTAAAATCTTAATGTTAAAATGACACATGTAGGATCAGTTTGGGTGAGACAACAGCAAAATGACTTAGGTTTGCACAAAAACAAAATACTAAGGAAAGCTTGTTGTCCACAGTTGCTCCTGTTATCACGATCCTGAAGTTCTTCAAGAGCAATGCCATCATCGTGAGGAAAGGGTCAGCCATCGACATCCCAGCGGAGGTGAAAGGACTTCCTCTGCCAACGATCCAATGGATGAAGGACGACGTGGTCATTGAGAAGCCTGATGAGGAGAAGATGACCATGGAGACTGAGGAGGTGAAAACTGATTCATTAGATAATTGACTTTGGACTTTTGTTTAGTCTGTGTCCAACAGTTTGGTCCTGATAAATAAGTATAGTTGCACTGAATCATTCACTACATTCCTACGATCCCCATCAATTCACCCAGTACACCTTGCTTTGTTTGTAGCCACCTTCCTGCTTCCTGCACAAAGAATCACTTGTCTTTTACTAAACTCACTCTTGCATTTCGTCATGTGGGTTCATGAGTTATCAATTGTAACTATTGAGTTGTTGCCCATTTACCCTGATATGCTCAGGCACATATAACCATTCAGTATTTCATTCAGTGTATACCTGTAAGGATGAACCTTTTAGATTCTACTCACCTGATAACCTTTCCTCTTGCACCACCCAAGGGACAAACTTTCAGTTCTGTTTATTTGACAAGCAGATGACAAACTAAACTTTTTTTCATCTTCAGGTTAACCGGACAACTCTGAAGACAAAGATCGCCATCCCAGAAACCATCAGGCAGGACAAGGGCAACTACAAGCTGGTGGCTGAAAACTGCTATGGCAAAGCTCAGCATGTCATCACAGTTGAGATCCTTGGTAAGAATCAAAATTTTACATGAGAAATCACTTTTTGTGAGATTAAAATTTAATGGGAATTGTTTGAAAGTCCTTTTCATTGACCCACACCTACAATTTCAGACCGTCCTCTTCCTCCGAGGAACATCGTGGTCTCGGACATTAAGGCAGACTCATGCTACCTGACCTGGGACGCCCCAGAGGACAACGGAGGCAGCGAGATCACCAACTACATCGTGGAGCGCAGAGACGCCAGCAAGAAGAAGTCCGACTTTGATGCTCTCACTATTAATCTCATCGACAGGAGATATGGGGTGAGTCAAGGCTGTAGGGACTGAGAGCTAAACTGGGATGTAGTGCTTTGATTTAGTTTCCAATAATTATATTCATATAATGTAGCAGTTCCTAAAGAAATTTGTTTTTAAACTCAAACCCAACTGTCTCAGAATATTATCTCAAGTTTTTTCTCCAATTAACTCTTAAGAACTAACAGACCCATAAAATAGAACGTTACAAAAAATTTGTCAGTGAAATTAGAAACATTTCATCATCATTCTGCAAAATCATCATGTATTTGAATCTGTGTTTAACAAAAAGTTGTTCTGCTGCTTCAGGTCTACAAACTGGACTTGAACGGTTCCTACCAGTTCAGGATCAAAGCTGAGAACAAGTACGGCGTCAGCGACGGCTGTGATTCAGAGAAAGTCCAGCTGAGGGATCCATTTGGCCTCCCTGGACCACCACGTAACCCCAAAATCATTGGCGCCACAGCGACCACCATGACTCTGACCTGGGAACCTCCTCTGGAAAATGGTGGTTCCACCATCCAGGGATACTGGCTGGAGAAGAGGGAGCGCGGCGCCGTGTACTGGGGTCGTGTCAACCGAGCTCCAGTCACCAAACCAGCAGTGAAGGGCCTGCAGTACACTGTGCTCAGACTCATTGAAGGAACAGAGTACCAGTTCAGGATTGCAGCCTGCAACGCTGCAGGGGTTGGACCACCCAGCGAGGCCACTGAATGCCGTTTCACTGTGGATCCATGCAGTGAGTGTTAACCCAGAATCTTCTAGCATTTTGAGAATAACCTGTTGTAATTAAGCATCTTCAGATTCATTAAAAACATTGGTTCCTGTTGTGTTCTACATCAATATGAGATGTATATTTTTATTCTGAGTGAAATTTTGACATTTTTATGCAATTTATGATAAGCACAATGTCAACCCCTCTGTGCTCCTTTCGTAGACCCTCCCAGCTCACCTGGATCCCCCGAGGTTAAAGACAAGACCAAGAGCAGCATCACTCTCAGCTGGAGTCCCCCCGACAGAGATGGTGGCAGCCCCATCAAGGGTTACATTATTGAGGTCCACGAGGAGGGCTCTCCTGACTGGAGGAGGGTGAACCCCGCTGACAAGCTCCACCCATCCACCGAAATCACCGTCCCTGACCTGAAGGAGGGCAAAAAATGCAAGTTCAGGATCTACGCTGTGAACGCCGCTGGCAACTCAGAGCCCGCCAGGACGTCGGACATCCTGGTTCAGGACATCCTGAGTAAGAGTCATACATATTAATAATCCTTCAGCCACAAGAGCTGCTCTTAGACCTGCTCACAACACAATTACTGTTGATGGTGATACTTAAGTTAATCAAACCGCTGTCCACTGGTATTGATGTTGGCTGATAAAAATCACATCTTTTTGGTTGTTCAGATGGTTTCAATCTAATGTTTGTTAAAGGTCCAGCACAAGATCCGTATCTGTACATATTTAATATTTATTTTCAAACTGAGCTTTGCCATGTCACTTTCTACGTTGATGATGTCATTTTGTTTGCTAAAAGCTCTTCCATAACTAAGTCTTTTCATATGACCTCCAGACCTCTTTTATTAGTGTGAAGCCTGTTCTAAGGTCAAGACCATGGAGCTTTAATATTCCTACTCTGATCTGTACTGTTCATGGAAATTGAACAGAGTCAGTGCAACAGTATAAGATTGTCTTACAAATCCAGGTTGAACTTTACAAACACATGAAATATCAAACTGGATTCTGGTCATGCTGCAACTTCTTGATTCTGTGTGTGCAGTATTGTTCTCAGCACATTAATGAAGCCTAACATGAAAATATCAGAGCATGCTGGTTTTAAAAACTTGTGTATTTGTGTGTGTGTTATCCAGTCGAGCCAGCTGTTACTCTGGACATAAGTGCTCACGACCTGCTGAACTGCAGAGCGGGAACACCCATCAGGATTCCCGCCACCATCACCGGACGACCCGTTCCGAAAGTAACCTGGACCTTTGACGGAACTGCCGAGACCGAGAAGAAGAACGAGCTTCACACACTGCCTGTCGACTCAGAGGTCAGATGATGATAATGTAACAGACTGAAAATCACAGATTAGTCTTTGTTTCACTTAATTCAACCTTAATCAGACAAAAAATATGATCAACAATTGGTCCATTTTGTGTTGCCTGAACTCAGTCATCATCAAAAATGTTAAGGACCCTGGTGAAAAGTGTGAATGCCAACTAAAAAAATAAGTTAAAGTTGTGACTCATGACACTTCATTCTAACATCAGACTGCTGTTTTCTCTCAGATCCACTCCACAGACACAACCTCGGTGGTTGTGATTCCAGAGAGCAAACTGAACCACAGCGGCCGGTACGTCATCAACGCCGAGAGCCCCGCGGGACACAAGGTGGTCAAAGTCAGAGTCAACGTGCTTGGTACGTAAAGATTCAAAGATTCAAAGATCTTATTAGTCACATGTGTGGGCACTCATGAGACTGTGCTAAAAAGACAATGGTGTAATGACGAAGAATAATTAGAATAAGAGATAGAAATAAAATGAAATGAAATGAAATGAAAATAGTCCTATAAGAATTAGAACCAGATAACAATTCAAATATAAGAGTCTTCTAATGCTTAAATTCTTGTTTTGTGGATGTGCAGACCTGCCTGGACCTCCTAGAGACGTGAAGGTGAGTGATGTGACCAGGGGAACCTGCAGACTCACCTGGAAAGCCCCAGAGTCTGACGGTGGTGACAGGGTGAAGAGCTACTTCATCGAGAAGAAGACGGTGGAGGGCAAAGCCTGGACCAAGGTACAACCCCACACCTACAGGATAACACACTCTGAGCTGTATGGTTATTATAAAATAATGTACTATTGCTGCTCACGTGTGAACTCTGACCCTGATCTCGTTCTTTTAGGTGAACACAGCCTGTGCTTCTCAGTCTCTGGTGGTTCCAGACCTGATCGGCGGTCAGGAGTACCTGTTCCGTATCCGCGCTGAGAACCGCTTCGGGTTTGGCCCCTTTGTTGAGACCACAGAGAGCGCCAGAGCCAGAGATCCCATCCGTATGTTTCTTTTCTTTATCTTACGATAATAAATTAGTTTAGATCTAATTTTTATGTTTTGTTATTATTAAAAATAATGTCCTTTCTTCTTATCAGTACGTGATCTCACATGTATCCATCTTTGTCTGCAGATCCTCCCGATCCTCCCACAAGGCTGAAGATCCAGAACGTGAGGAAGGGCACCGTGACTCTGACGTGGAAGGCTCCAAAGAACGATGGTGGTTCACCTGTCACCCACTACAGTGTTGATCTGCTCTGCTGGGCTGCCAGCGGCGAGAAGGAGTCCTGGAGGAGGTAACACTTAAGTCCAGAGGCCTGCATCGGTCTACTTGGTAACTGAGACTCAGTCTGGGAACTGAGTCAGGCCAGATCCAAGTTATATTCTACTGCATCTTGCATCAGGTCTCATCTTCTTCAGGTTCATTTTAGATTGGGATCCAGTCTCTCCGCCATGTTTCCCATCTCTACTCTACTACTGACTGTTGAGGAGAAAGTGCAAAAAAAGAATGGAAATCATCCTGATATCATTTTAATTTAGTGAACACAAAATATGGACCAGTATCTAAACCTGAAGTCCAAACAGAATAAATTATGCATGAGACCGTTGTATATTCATCAATGCAAAGCACTAGTGAACTGAACAGTCTTTCTGTTCCTGTGTGTGTTGTTGGTGGGTTTGGTGTTACTAGCAGTTAAATCCTCTTTGCTGTCTTGCAGGTGCAACAGGAGAGATGTGGACACCACCACTTTCAAAGTGGAGGATCTGACGGAGGGAGACGAGTATGAGTTCAGAGTAGTGGCGTGGAATGAGGCTGGACACAGCCGACCTTCATCCACCGCCGGACCCATCCTCATCCAGGACCAGACCTGTAAGACCAGCACTCAGTTTCATGAAAGACACTAAAGGGTTGCATTATGGGAAATGTAGGATCCAGTGTTTTTGAACTAAAAGTCAATCATCTCAAGGTTTTAGCTGAGTTTTGAATTTGATTTCTGCACGTTTCTAATTAATGGTCTTGATTATTGATTAATCATAATATTTGCTTTTCTTCTGTTAATTTTAAACAGGATTTGTTATGATACACAGAAAGAGACTTCACGGCTTCCTATTCTCTTGTTTGTCTTGCAGGTGCTCCATCCATTGAGCTGAAGGAGTTCATGGAGGTCGAGCAGGGCAGCGACATCAGCATCGTGGCCAAGATCCGTGGCTGTCCATTCCCCACGCTCACCTGGTACAAAGCCCCGCCCCACAAGTCTGACAACAAAGTGGAGGTTCAGTATGACGAGCACATCAACAAGATCGTATCGGACGACAGCTGCACGCTGCTCATCCAGCAGGGCAAACGTCCCGACACCGGCCTGTACACGCTGGTGGCCTCCAACAGCATTGGCAAGGCCTCCAAGGAGATGAGGCTCAATGTGCTGGGTACGAACAAGACCAGAGCTAACTGCTAACGACGTTTTACTGACTGAACTGAATTATGATTAGATTTGTCTGAAAGCAGAGACTATTATAAAGTGAATATCAGAGAACTTTGTGATGACACTGAATGCAACTGTTAAATTAGCGAGATAACAATGACAAAACAGAATAATGAGAATGAAATAAACATATCACTTGAAAACATGGATAGCATTGTTAACACATATTAAAAAGACGCTTAAAGACGAACATAAATCATTGTAATTACAGTCGAGACTCACCTCAGGGATTTCTGTCCATCAATAAATGTGTTGCTCCTCTGTGTGGTTCAGGCCGGCCCGGTCCTCCGTCTGCTCCCATTAAGTTTGAGGAGATTGGAGCCGAGAAGATCACGCTCTCCTGGCTGCCACCGAAGGACGACGGTGGCTCCAAAGTCACAAACTATGTCATCTGGAGGCGGGTGGCCAACAGGAAGACCTGGGTGCCTGTCACAAATGAGCCCAAAGAGCGGATCTGGACAGTGGAGAACCTGATGGAGGGACACGAGTACGTGTTCCGCATAATGGCCCAGAACAAGTACGGAGTTGGAGAGCCGCTGGACAGCGAACCCGAGGTCGCCCGAAACCGCTACAGTGAGTGGAGCTGTTTATCACAGATTCTTATTTACTGACTACAAGAACATCCAACGACCTAAATCTGTACACTGATAGTGAACTTAAGCTGCTGGTAGTCTGAGGATCCCACACACAAATGTAATATAAGTACATATATAGAATTTCTTTATATTACACATGTACATATTAAAAAACATACATGTAAAAATTATATATGAAACTAAGTTGGAACAATTTCCTATATTGACATATATGTCCAGTCCATACAAATATGTATGCTTATGTATGTATGATTATATTGTAGACATATTTGTATGTATGTATGTAACTGTATATCCATCCCAAAGCCTGTCCGTATATGTATATGTATTATAAACAGTTGGGTGCAAAAGTCTGAGACACTTTCCATGAATGATAATACATTTCAATATATGTGCATATACATATTTTACTATGAGTATTTCATATATATTACAAACTTCATCACTCTTGATATAGGGACATATATATCATATTACATTTCTGTGTGTGGTCTCTGGCCGAAACTGAAGCAGAACTGTTGCAGTTGTTTGGTATGCTACAGCAAATAGGAAATATTTTACTCCTCTAACCTTTGACTCTTTGTGTCCATCCTCCTGCAGCCGTCCCCGGTCAGTGCGAGAAGCCGACAGTCACCAGTGTCACCATGGACTCCATGACAGTTAACTGGGAGGAGCCCGAGGACGACGGTGGCACGCCGATCACCGGCTACTGGCTGGAGCGTAAGGAGACGACGGGCAAACGCTGGACCCGTGTCACCCGCGACCCCATCCGTCCCATGGGCATGGGCGAGTCGTTCGTGGTGAGCGGACTCATTGAGGGCTCCCAGTACCTGTTCAGAGTCTCCGCCATCAACGCAGCAGGACCTGGACTTCCCAGCCCCCCCACAGACCCCATCTTTGCAAGAGACCCCATCTGTAAGAGTTGCATTCTGAAATCATACAAGTTTGTGTTTTTAATTCACACAGCAAGATGTTAACTACTTGTCATCCTCTCCTGTAGCTCCGCCCTCTCCTCCAACCCCCAAGGTTTCTGATTGGACAAGGTCCACAGTGGACCTGGAGTGGATCCCTCCTCTGAAGGATGGAGGCTCCAAGATCATGGGCTACTGGGTGGAATACAAGGAGGAGGGAACAGAAGCCTGGGTCAAGGTGAGAGGAAACACCTCACCTGACATGGTTTCATTACCTACAAAATAAAAGTCTGATAATATAAGTTTAATCAACTGACCTGTCTATGATAAGTTTTCATCAGTTCTTGAGGTTGAATCTTCACTTTAACTTTAAGAAAGTGTACTTTCTGTGCTGAAGAGCAACCTTGGAAAATGAATGTTTGTGATTTTCAGGCTAAGGAGACTGAAATCCGTGGCACCCGGTTCGTGATCACTGGTCTGAAGACCGGCGGTCAGTACAGGTTCAGGGTAATTGCCTTCAATGCTGCCGGTAACAGCGAGCCAGGCGAAGTCCCAGAGGTGCTCGAGGTCAATGACAGAACCAGTGAGTTGGTCTGAAAGTCTCTCTAGGCCTTATAGACCTCTTGTGGTCATTATCCACCAGTCAAGTCTTTTTAGAACAAACAGACTGTAATGTTGAGTTTCTTCCTCTCAGTTGCTCCTGAGGTCGACCTGGATGCCTCAGTGAAGGAGAGGATGGTGGTCCATGCCGGTGGTGTGATCCGCATCATTGCCTATGTGTCAGGCCAGCCGTCCCCAGAGGTTACCTGGAGCAGAGATGGAGCTGCACTGCCTCCTGAGGCTCAGGTGGAGACGACAGCCATCAGCTCATCTCTGGTTATCAAACCCTGTGCCAGGAAACACCTTGGCGTCTACACACTGACTGCCAAAAACGCTGGAGGGGAGAAGAAGAAGAACATCACAGTGGAAGTTCTGGGTGAGATACTGTTGTCATAAAAATAAATCTCTTGAGGGATTTGAAAACAATTTAAAAAAATGTTATTTCTTTTTACCAAACTTGGTTGTGTCCTCCCTCAGACGTCCCTGGACCTGTTGGTATCCCCGTCACCGCGGAGAACCTGAGCACTGATTCCTGCAAGCTCAACTGGTTCTTCCCAGAGAATGACGGTGGCTCTCCCATCAGTAACTACATCGTTGAGAAGCGAGAGGCCGAGCGTAAGGCCTGGACTTCAGTCTCCTTCACCGCCAGCAGACAGAACGCTATAGTTCATGGCCTCACCACCGGAAAGTCCTACTTCTTCAGAGTGGCTGCTGAGAACGCAATCGGCCTTGGACCCTTCTTGGAAACCGCCTGCGAACTTTTGGTCAAAGAGCCCATCAGTGAGTTTAGTTAAACAAACATGGTGACTCTGAAGGTGTGAAGATTGATTATCACTTATAACTGATAAAAGTCAGAATTTTAGGGGAAAAACGAAAATTCTAAAATGTCAAAACTTCACAAAAAAGTTTAGAATTTTTACAAAATTGTCAAATTTATTAAAGTCAGTTTTTTAACAAAATTCTGAATTTTGAATGCAAAAAAGGTAAGAACTTGAATTTTCATTGAACAAAGTTAAAGTTTTGATAGATAAAGTCAGGATTTTGGAATCAAAGAATTCTTGCTTTTTGTTATCCTTTGTCTTCCTTTTTTCTTTTTATGTTCTTCTACCTGTCATCTTTTTCTGTACTGTCATCTGTCATCTGAAATTAACATTATCCATCAGTTGAAGTTTGCAGTCAACATAATTAAATTTGAACAGAGAATTACAAAACTAAATAAATAAAAAACTTGTTTCTTTCAGGTGTGCCAGACCGACCTGAGGAGCTGGAGGTCACCAAGGTCACCAAGGATTTGATCAGCGTCACCTGGAAGGCACCCAAGTATGACGGCGGCTCAGAGATCACCATGTATATCCTGGAGGCACGTATGATTGGCAAAGACAAGTTCACCAGACTGACAAAGGAGAAGCTGATGGACAGGAAGTACACCTATGACGGTCTGAGGGAGGGCGACACCTATGAGTTCAGGGTCATCGCCGTCAATGAGGTCGGACCCAGTAAACCATCATTTTGCACCAAACCAATCACCTGCAAGGACGAACTGGGTGAGGACATGACCAGCTGTCTTGTCTTTCAGATCATTTGTTTGAAAAACTTACTCACCTACAGAGACTTGAAATACTGGTGTTCTGTTTCATTGGAAACGTTTGGAGTATGGAGGTGGCCTCAGAAATACACAACTGAAAGTGTTTTTATTTGAAAGAAACAACCCAGTATCATCAGCAAAAAGTGAGACGTAGGTAGATAAAGATGCAGAAACCAAATCACTGATTTAGATGAGGAATAGGAGAAGACATAGAATAGAATATGTTCAGAAATAATTTCCAGTGAGGAATATAAGTAGAAAGGCATTGGTAAGTCAAGCTATTTGATCCATGATTTGTTAATTTGTATTAAGTTGTAATATGCATTCCACAACTCCAGAAGTACACCAATCCCTTACTCATGATTGTTCAAAGCAGTATAAAATAGGAAAAAGTAGAAACAGCAGGAAAATACTCAGTGTATCATTTAATCTGAATCTGTGTTCCATTCTTATAGAGCCACCAACCATTGAACTGGACTTCCGGGATAAAATCATCATCCGTGTGAGTGAGAGCTGCCTGCTGCAGGGCCGCTACACCGGCAAACCTTCTCCGTCCATCGTGTGGTACAGAGACGACAACGAGCTGAAGGCTGACAAACACATTATGTTCAAGAATACGCTGACCACCATGTCACTGGGTCTGATGAAGGCAGAGCGCAAGCACAGCGGCAGATACATGGTGGTGGTGGAGAACAGCACTGGATCCAGGAAGGGACTCTGCAACGTCACTGTTGTCGGTATGTAGACAGAAAATTGTGGCTACAAGCTGGTATCATCAGAAAAAGACGTTTTGCAAATGCAGCAACTCAAAGATTGATTTAGATCAGAAATAGAAGCGTTCTAAGAAAAGTAACTGTGCCATCCATTTACATTGTTCACAGCTGAAGCAGCCTGAAAACCCCAAGTGAAAGCTTCTAACTGCAAGCTCTTCTGAATTAGGCAGGCATTGATTTGATCACAACATAACAGATTCCTTATTTTGAGACTTTTTTGTTATTTCTTTCTTCCCTGCAGACCGTCCAACTCCTCCTGTTGGCCCAGTCGTATTTGAGGAGGTGCACAGGGAGTACATGGTCATCTCCTGGAAGCCTCCTCTGGACAGTGGCGGCGTGGACGTCTCCAACTATATCATTGAGAAGAGAGACACCAACAGAGACATCTGGACCACAGTGACATCTGCCACAACCAAGACCACATGCAAGGTGGGTCCAGATAGTTTGTTGGCCTGAATTTAGTCAGCTGTGATGGTATCAGATGTTCAGTGGAAGTGGTTTGTAGAAGTCCAGAGATGTTTATAAGTTGTTTTTTCTTCCCAGATCCCCAAGCTGACAGAGGGCAGGGAGTACATCCTGAGGATCTCCGCTGAGAACATGTATGGCATCAGCGACCCACTGGAATCTGAGGAGATGAGAGCCAAAGATCTGTTCAGTATGTTCTACTCACACCCTGTTCAGAAACATTTACTTTTTTAGCTCTCCTAAATGAATTTCAAATAAATTTCTGAATTTAATAAATAATTTTGGGTATATTGGAAAATGATCCCTTTATAACCAATGTTTGCCCCTGTGGCTCTCCTACAGGAGTCCCTGAGGCCCCTGATATGCCGACGGTCAGGGAAGTGTATGCCACCAACGCTCTGGTGCTATGGAACCGCCCTCGCGATGGTGGGAAGCCCATTACCAACTACATCCTGGAGAAGAAGGAGCCCACAGCCAAGAGGTGGTCCAGAGCCACAAGAGACCCACTGTACCCGGCCACTCAATACCGAGTCCAGGACCTTGTGGAGGGCTGCGAGTACGAGTTCAGGGTGATGGCTGAGAATGAGCTGGGTACTGGAGACCCCAGCGTCCCCTCCAAACCCATTCTTGCAAAAGATCCTATTGGTCAGTATGACACAAAGTAGTCATTATCATTATTATTATCATTACTACCCTTATTTATATTATTACATTCTATAGCTTGTTTCCTAATGACATGTGCTACTGAAGTAGTAATGTTTATTGACTTGGAAAAACATGGTTTTCCTTGTACATAAAAAAGATTAAATTCAGTATTCAAGTATTTGCATTTAATTTAATTTAATTCAAATTTTTGATGATTACTTTTGTATTACTATTTGTATTGTCAACCATTAAATGATGGCTATATAGCTTTTAACTATATTAGCATAGATGTTTACTATTTATGTTCAGGTGTGTTTATATTTGTTTATATTTGCAGTACAAGATACATTTCAGATATTTATATATTCAAACATTTAAAAATCCTACATCAACAAAAATTATACAACTAAACTAATACTAATACTCTATAAAATAAAGTATAATATTAAATGAAAAAAATGTCCAACCTCAAAAAAATCTGATGACATTTCAGTCAAATATCACACGTGTATCTTTTATTCAATGGTTAAGACAGTTTACCAAATAAAATTTCTAATCACCCGAATAATTGATTGACATCTTTGATACTTTTCCTTCGCAGTGTGCCCCAGCCCTCCAGTCACCCCTGAGGCCTACGATAAGACCAAGGACACTGTCAGCCTGAAGTGGCAGATGCCCCGCCATGATGGCAAGGGCCGGATCTTTGGTTACATTGTTGAGTACCAGAAGCCTGGCGCCGTGGAGTGGGTTCAGGCCAACGAGACTCCAGAGCAGTGCCCTGATCTCCACTATGTGGTGACGGGCCTGACCGATGGACAGGAGTATACATTCAGGATCTTCACTGTCAACGCTGCCGGCAGATCTGACCCTGCCTATGTCAAACAGTCCATCAAAGTCCACGACAGACTTGGTAAAGGGTCCATTTGTAACTCTTCTGTTTTTTTGTTATGCATTTCATCCAAACTCCATGACATCAGGTTTTGAAGCACAAATAGATTTTTAAGTTTAGCTTATCATAATGAGTTTTAAAAAACATTTCCAAACACTATAATTTTTTGCTAATATTATATACAATAATAAAGTTTTGATTTGCTCTTAGAGAGGCATTTTTGCGCCAAACTGCAAACTTAAAACTGATGAATATGTATTTTGATGAATTTTTACATATAATTGGATTGTAGTACTGTTAGTACTACATTAATTAGTTAGCGACTTGGTTGTTAATGTAAAATGTGTTTATGGTCATTGTTCTCATAGGCAAAGTCACTGCAGAGTTTCCACAATACCAAAAAAAATAGCTGGTTTGTCGATTGCTTTCACCTGGAAACTGGACATCACTAAATGTAGTGAATTTGCTTCCATTTGTGTCCACAGAGGAACCAGAGTTGCTGCTGGACGCTAACATGGCACGTGACCACCTGGCAATGGTGGGAGCTGACATCACCCTGAGTGCCACGATTAAGGGTGTTCCAACACCCACAGTTAGCTGGAAAAAGAATGATGGAGACGTTCCATCTCACATCACTGTTGCCGTCACTGCCACTGGCAGCAAAGTCTTCATTCCCAAGTGCGTTCGCGCGGACTCCGGCAACTTCACAATCACTGCGGAGAATGCTGCTGGAAAGAAATCTGCAACTGTTGCTGTGCTTGTGCTGAGTAAGTGAAATGTCCACCAACTCAAAAATAGGATATCTTCAGTTTTTAACAAAAAAAAAACTGAAAACTGTGAAAACTGTTGTACTCTATATGTACATTAATATACAGCCAACCTTTTAGAAAAATCTGAATTTAGAATATATATGAATTTTACCCACTCACTTTTGTCTCCACCAGATAAGCCTTCTCCTCCCAGAGACCTGGTGGTCTCCGAGGTGACCAGCGAGTCTGCCTACCTGACATGGAAAGCTCCCGAGGACAATGGGGGTGCTGTCATCTCCCACTATGTTGTACATAAGAAGGACGTGGCTGCAGAGCAGTGGGTTCCTGTCGCTCCTGCAAATAAGAAGCTTAGTTTGATGGCCATGTACCTGATGGAAGGAATCCAGTACCTGTTCAGGGTGGCTGCTGAGAACCAGTTTGGCAGAAGTGACTTTGTGATGACCAAGACACCCATCAAGGCAATTGATCCTCTCTGTGAGTAAAACTCATACGTGTCTAATTCTTCTTTGAAAAATACAGATTTTTCATGATTCTGTGTAAGTTGTGGAGCCTCTAAATTCTGAATGCTCCATGCGAATTGGCTATCCACAGTGTCATTCATAAGAGCATTTTCCAAATACTTGTCACAACAAAAGAAAGAAATTATGGGAGGAGTTAGAATAAGTGCCAGTGATCAACAGTTATTCATTGGGTTTGCTAAGGTTTGTCCATTGCCCTATGCCATCAATGTTCAGCGTTTTAGAAACTTAATTAAAGTTAAAATTTAAATCCGCCAAGAATCGTTAATTAATTACCCTTTCTTGGATGCCCCTCAGATCCTCCTGGCCCACCAAAGAACCTGCACCACACTGATGCAGACAAGACAGAGGTGTGGTTGGCATGGCAGTGGCCTGACCGCACTGGTGGAAGTGAAATCACTGGCTTCATTGTGGAGCACCAGGAAGAGGGCCAGACTGACTGGGTCACCTTCAAGACCGTGAGCAATAACCACGCCCATGTCACCGGTCTGGAGGAGGGCAAGACTTACCGCTTCAGGGTGAAGGCTCAGAACGCCATTGGTGTGAGCCGTCCGGACACTAGCGTCCCCATCACCTGCCAGGAGAAGACATGTAAGACACATGATTCTTATGGAGTTGTTTCTTATTGCAAATACTGCCCCTATTTTAATTTAAAACATAATAATACTGTTGCTGTTTTGTTATCTTTCAGTGCCACCAACTATTGAAGTTGATGTGAAGCTTATAGAGGGTCTTGTTGTCAAAGCTGGCAGCAATATTGTCCTTCCTGCAAAGATGACAGGCATTCCCATTCCCACTGCTAAGTGGATGACAGATGGCAACGAGATTGCATCAGAAGGCCACTATCACATTGAGTCTGCTGGATCCTCAACTATTCTCAGTATCCCTGAGTGCAAGAGAGGAGACACTGGAGAGTACATCCTCACTGTGTCTAATCCTGCAGGTAGCAAGACTGTTGCCCTGCATGTCACCGTTCTGGATCTTCCAGGTCCACCCATCGGACCCATCAATATCTTGGAGGTCACTCCAGATTACATGATGATCCAATGGAGGGCACCCAAAGATGATGGTGGCACGCCCATCACCAACTATGTGGTGGAAAAGAAGGATGTGAAGAAGCCATGGGAGCCCTGGTCTGTTGTTAGATCCAGTGGCACCAGCACCAAGGCCAAGGTGTCCAGGCTGGAGAAGGGCCGTGAGTATATTGTCCGTGTCCGAGCAGAGAACAAGATTGGAATTGGCGCTGGACTTGAGAGTCCTCCCACTGTTGCCAAGCACATGTTCAACCCTCCTGGTCCACCAGGCCTGCCAGAGTGCTCTGATATCACAGAAAATGCTGTGACAGTACAATGGAGCCTGCCTGAATACGATGGAGGAAGCCCCATCAGCGGCTATGTGATTGAACGCAGAGAAATGACAGGGAAGTGGATCCGTGTCAACAAAACTCCTGTGCTGGACCTCAGATACAGAGTCTCAGGCCTATTTGAAGGCAACACCTATGAGTTCAGAGTATTTGCTGAGAACATTGCTGGTATCAGTGAGCCTTCTCCCACCTCCGACCCCATCAAGGCCACTCGCGCTATCACTAAACCTGGACCCCCTGGTAATCCTAAACTGAAGGACTGGAGCAAATCCTATGCTGACATCTGCTGGACAAAGCCTACAAGAGATGGTGGCAGTCCCATTCTTGGCTATGTGGTTGAGGCTCAGAAGACAGGAACTGCCCAATGGGACAGAATCAACAAGGACCTCATCAAGATGTGTGCCTACAGAGTGCCAGGCCTCATTGAAGGAATGGAGTACAAAATTCGCATTAGGGCCACCAACAAGGTTGGAGACAGTGAACCCAGAGAACTGCCACAGACCATCTTGGCAAAGGACATCCTGGTGCCTCCTGAAGTTGTTGTTGACGTGGCATGCCGCGACTCTCTAACAGTCAGGGCAGGTCAGATCATCAGTTTGATCACTAGGGTGAAAGGCAGACCAGATCCAGAGATAACATGGACCAAGGATGCCAGAGCTTTGTCCAGGGATAAACGCACTGAAATTAACAACAACTACCCTCTCTGTGAATTGGTAATCAATGAGGCAGTCAGGTCAGACTATGGTAAATATGCAATTGTTGCCAAGAACAGTAGTGGACAGGCACAGGCCACAATTATTGTCAATGTCCTGGACACACCAGGAGCTTGTCAGAACATAAAAGTGGCCTATGTGACTAAGAACTCCTGCATGGTGTCCTGGGAAAACCCTGAGGACAATGGAGGCACTGAGATTACTCAGTACATTATTGAGTGCCGTCAGCCCAGCCAGAGAGGTTGGACAGTCGTCTCCAATGACTGCACCAAGCGCCTGATTAAGGCTCCTCTTACTGAGGGTTGTGAGTACTTCTTCCGTGTCAGTGCAGAAAATAAGATTGGTGCTGGTCCACCTACTGAGACCAAGACACCTGTGCTGGCAGTTGATCCCATTGAGAAGCCTGGTGAACCCATTGACTTCCATATATCTGAGATTGGCAAGACCTTCTGCTTCCTCAAGTGGAGGAAGCCAGACTATGATGGTGGTAGCCGTAACCTGGGTTATCATGTTGAGAAGAAACCAAAGGAAGCTGAGGAGTGGGAGAGGCTCCATAAGGGTGCCATTAAGGAGACTTACTTCATGGCTGACAGGTGCATCGAAAACCAAATCTACCAGTTCAGAGTTCAGACTAAGAATGAGGGAGGCGAGAGCAACTGGGTGACCACAGCTGAGGTCCTGGTTAAGGAACTGCTTGTGGAGCCTGAACTCAAGATTAAACTGGATGGAACCCTTGTGGTCAAGGCAGGAGACTCCATTCCTATTGAGGCAACAGTGAAGGGCAAACCCCAGCCTGATGTCAAATGGACCAAGGATGAGAGCACAGAGGAGATTAGGAAGGGCCCCAGGCTTCAGATTGAAACTGGTGCTGACTTCTCAAAACTGCTGCTTACCGGCGCCAGGCGCACTGACAGTGGCAAATATGTTATCACTGCCATCAATAGTGCAGGAAGCGGTTCTGCTCATGCCAAGGTTAATGTACTGGATAGACCTGGTCCCATCAGGGATCTCAAGGTGTCTGGTATCACCACCGACAGGTGCAATCTAGCCTGGGAAATCCCAGAGGATGATGGCGGCTGCGATATCTACAACTACATTATTGAGAAATGCGAAACCAAGAGAGGAGTCTGGTCAGTCCACTCCAATGCTGTCATCACCAACAAAGCTAAAGTTACTCGCCTTATTGAGGGTAATGAGTATATTTTCAGAGTTCGTGCTGAGAATAAGATGGGTCCTGGTCCTGCAGTGCAGAGTGGATCCATTGTTGCAGGCACACAGTTCAGTGTACCTGATGCTCCTGAAGCACCAGAAGTCACCAAGATTGCCAAGGAGGAGATGACCGTGCAGTGGTCAGAGCCTGAGAAAAATGGAGGCAAGCCAATCACAGGTTATCTTTTGGAGAAGAGAGAGGAGCATGCCGTTAGATGGTCTCCTGTCAACAAAGATCCACTCCCTGGAACGCGTTTCACAGTTACAGGACTCTTGCCCCTCCATGACTACCAGTACAGAGTCAAGGCTGTCAATGAAATCGGCATTGGTAACCCAAGCAAGCCATCACGTGCCATCACTGCCAAGGATGCAGTTGGTATGTAACAAATAATAATGTTTACATTGTGTGTAATATTTGTTAATAAATGTAGTTCATATTATATTGCTATAGACAAAATCCATAGATTCATGTTCACACACCCTTATGTCTTCTTACAGAGCCTCCTGCACCTCCTACCAACTTGAAGGTCATGGACAGCACCAAATCAAGTGTCACCCTGGGCTGGACCAAGCCTGTATCTGATGGTGGAGCTCCGCTCATTGGCTATGTTGTAGAGATGAGAGCACAGGGCTCTGCCAAGAAAGGAGATGATGGTTGGAAGAGGTGCAACGTAGCAGCTCAACTGGTCGTGTGTGAGTTCACAGTCACAAGTCTCGATGAGAAGCTTGCGTATGAATTCAGAGTGTCGGCTCAAAACCAGGTGGGCATGAGCCTGCCCTGTGACCTGGAGGGTGCTGTGATCCCCAAGGAGATTCTAGGTGAGGACTTCATCAGGTTTTAATTTCTTTTATGGCAACTAGATGGCATCATAGGTTTACCTGGAGTGTGTGTGATGATGTTGTCACGTGTAACAACTATCAGGTACCATTGAAAGGATCTGTACTTGTGACATCAAGCTGACACCTGCACTGTTTCTTCCAACAGAGGCACCAGAGATTGACTTGGATGCTAGCCTGAAGCAGGGACTGACAGTGAGAGCTGGCTGTCCCATCAGGCTTTGTGCCACCATCAGAGGCAGACCACCTCCCAAGGTAACTTGGAGGAGGATGGGAATCGACAATGTGGTCAGGAAGGGAAAGGTCGACATCATTGACACCATGACCTTCCTGGTTATCCCCGACAGCACACGTGACGACTCAGGCAAATATTGCCTGACTGTCCAGAGCCGTGCTGGAGAGAAGGCTGTGTTTGTCAATGTTCAGGTTCTTGGTAAGTCCCGGTTCTCTTTGAGTAATGGATATGTATAACAAGTATACAAGAACAATTTTGTTGCAGTCAACAATCACAGAAAAGGGCTTACTTCCATTAAAATGCCATTTTCAGTTCAATCAAAAGAAATAACAAATGAAAATATAAAAACAATACCAAATCCAAATGTCATACTCTGTTTTTCCTGACAGACACTCCTGGACCGGTAATGAATCTGGAAGCTACCGACATCAAACAGACATCTGCTATGCTGTCCTGGAGTCCTCCAGATAACAATGGTGGCAAAGAAGTCACTCATTACATTATTGAGAAGCGCGAGATTGACCGCAAGACATGGGCAACCGTCAAGGCCGAAGTGGAGAAGGATAAGGTTCCCTTCAAAGTCAGCGGTCTGATGCCAGGGACTGAATACTACTTCAGGGTCACAGCTGTCAATGAGTATGGTTCTGGAGTACCCAGAGTGACACCCACTTCCTATATGGCCTCTGATCCTGTCAGTACGTATCATGTCTTAATCACACAATGTGACACCAGAGCTAGTACACAGCTTACAGTTGCTCACTTTGCTCAGTTGTCTGTTTTTTTTTTCATCAGAAAAACTTGAACACCTGTCTGATTTCCTTTTGCAGGCAAGCCAGATCCCTGTGAAAAGATTGAGGTTCTGGAGATCACTAAGAACAGTGCAACGGTCGGCTGGGTGAAGCCTTTAAGGGATGGTGGTGCCAAGATCGACGGTTATGTGATTGAATACATAGAGGTCAAACCTCCTCCAGAGCCTCCAGCACCTGTGGAGGTTTGTCATGTGATTAAAAAAGACCCTAACCACATGGCCATTTTAAAAATATTTATGCTCTTACATAATTTTGGAGTTCAAGCTCTAATCTACAACGCTCAATTTTCCACAGGTTCCAGAAGGAGAGGAGGCTCCACTGCCACCACCTCCACCTCCAGTGGTAGTGGAGGAAGAGGAGGAGCCTGAAAAGGAAGTGTGGAATGCCTACACCACAGTGAAAGGTTTGACAATCAGCATCAGCGGCCTGAAGGAGGGCAAGAGGTACAAGTTCAGAGTGGCTGCCAAGAACATCATGGGCATGAGCTCATTCACTGAGACGAGGGAGCCAATCGAGATCAAGGAACAAATGTGTAAGCTGTTATGTCAGATTAATAACATATCAATAAGAAGTAGTTTTAGCTTTTATCCAAAGATAGGCTACTTTTGAAATAACAAATACTGATGATTACAGTAAATTGCAGATCCAGGGTTAGCACTAAATATAATCACCATTTTTTATGTTAAGACTGTTCTCAGCTTACCAAGATAGTCTCTGAAATTATTATGTCTGTACCTGCAGTGGAACCAAAGATTGTTATGCCAGAGACAGTGAGCGCCAGAGCCGGAGCCAAGCTCAGAGTGGAGGCACTGGTTTCTGGAAAACCTGCCCCAACCTGCAAGTGGATGCGTGGTGAGAATGCAGTAGTCCCATCCAGTCGTCTGGCTGTGCACCAGTCCGGCAACCTGTGTGTCCTGATCATCAAAGATGTGTCAAGGACTGACAGCGGAGAGTACAGCCTGGTGGCTGAGAATAGCTCTGCGAAGGTGGTTCAAGCCCTGAAGATCATCATCAGAGGTCATTGTCACCTTCAATAAGATAATATGAAAAAATTGAATTTACATTTTGTGATTCAGCAACGGAGAAAATAACTTAGCTGACTTTTCTGTGTTTCAGACATCCCTGGTCCTCCTGAAGGCCCTGTGGAGATCAGCGACATCGACTCTGATGCCTGCTCCCTGTCCTGGAACAAACCACTGGAGGATGGAGGCAGCAATATCACCAATTATGTAGTGGAGAAATGTGATGTGACTAGAGGTGACTGGGTGACGGCCGTTTCTTCCTGCTCAAAGACCAATTGCAGGCTTGGAAAGCTTATTCCTGGGAAGGAGTATGTATTCCGCATCCGTGCTGAGAACCGCTTTGGTGTATCAGATCCCATTCAGTCTGACAGGATGGTTGCCAAGTTCCCCTTTGGTAAGTTTAACTGAAATATGTCCCTAGCGCAGGCCTTGATAAGCTTTAGATGCAAGTTTCTATCTGAAGTTGGCAGGTTTTCTTTCATTATAGACAATGTTCATTTTGTCTGTTTTGTTGTCACCAGATGTTCCTAGCGAGCCCCTCAACTGCCGCATCAACAAAACCAACAAGGACTGTATGTTTGTGGCCTGGGATAAGCCCGAAACTGATGGCGGCAGTCCCATCACAGGTTACTATATTGAGCGTAAGGAGAGGAACAGCCTGCTCTGGGTGAAGGCCAATGACACAGTTGTCCGCACCACTGAGTACCCATGCGCTGGCCTCATCGAGGGCCTGGAATACACCTTTAGAGTGTCCGCCATCAACCGTGCTGGCCAGGGCAAACCAAGCAAGAAGACTGACTTTGTTACTGCCAGAACACCTGTTGGTATGTTTACTGACAGCATCAATGGAATAATCTTATTTTGTTCATTTAAACTGTTTACCTTATTTCTACTTATTTGTCTCTTTGTGTTACAGACACTCCAGGTAAACCTGAGATCCTGGATGTAACCAAGAACACTGTCACTTTGGTTTGGACCCGTCCCAAGAATGACGGTGGAAGCAAGCTCATTGGCTACTACGTTGAGGCCATGCGAGTGCCAGGAGATCATTGGATACGCTGCAACACCAGCAGCCAGAATGTTCCAAGGGAGGAGTATACAGTTACTGGCCTGGAGAGAGACCTGCAGTACCAGTTCAGAGTCATCGCCAAAACTGCTGTCAACATAAGCAAACCCTCTGAGCCCACAGACCCTATCTTGGTCTGTGCTGAGAATGGTGAGGTTTTGATCTAACACTCTTGTGACTGGGCTGACAAAGTCACTGAAATAACAGTTTTACTGTGTTTTCAGTTTGATTACTAGAAGCTTTTGAAAGAGTAGAGTATCTCACAGATCTGAGCATGACACTTATTTATCTCATCTTCATTAAACATAGTTCCTCCAAGAGTGGAGCTCAATGCCAAGATGCAGAAGGGTATAAAGGTGAAGGCTGGAGCCACAGTACTGCTGGAAGCTGAGGTATTTGGTAAGCCCATGCCCAGAGTGACCTGGAAGAGAGGCGACGATAGCCTGAAGTCAGGTGAAGGCCAGGTCATCACCCATCAGAGGCATCACTTCCAGCTGGAAATGACAGGAGTCACCAAGGAGCACACAGGAACCTACACCATCCTGGCAGAGAATGCCAGTGGCTCCAAGACTGCTGAGATCCAGGTCAACATTCTGGGTGAGTACTACTACCAATGTTTTCTTTAGGGATGTCTTCTAAAACTCTACCAATACACAAGTTGTAGGTTTTATACAGTTTATAGGCTGTATTCACATTATATTTCTACATGATGTACCCACAGCTTCACCAATCAACATGCTGTGCTAAATTTGCTGGTATTCCATTAATTAATTTTTGTGTCTTTAGATGTGCCTGGCCCTCCTGCAAGTGCCAAATTCCTTGAGGTGTCAGCCACCAGTATCAAGCTGTCCTGGGAGCCTCCTCTGAAGGACGGTGGTGCCCCCATCACCAGTTATATTGTGGACAAGCGTGAGACCAGCAGAGCTAACTGGGCCCTGGTCTGCGCCAAGCTCAAGGGCGACATCCTTGAGTACAATGTGGAGAGGCTGATCGAGGGTCGCGAGTACCAGTTCCGAATCCGTGCTGAAAACATGTGGGGAGTTGGAGACCACCTCATCACTAACCCTGTCATCGCCAAAAACCCGTTCAGTGAGTCATCACCAGCATATTGTCTGGGTTCATTCATTACACAACACCAGTGACAATAAGTTAGTCCTGCAGTTTAAATTTGATGTAAAATGGTGACATAAATAAGACAAGTAGGAGATACACCAAACCTATTCACTCGTACAACACATATTCTGTTAACACCTACAGCTTCTTGAGTCCAAATTATCTCGTTCAAGTGACTGAGAAAGGGAAATGTATTTAGTTTTGATATCCAGACTAACAACTTAACTCTGCTGTCACATATAGCTGTCCCTGGCCCTTGTGAGGCCCCGGTGATCACCAATGTGACCAAAGACCATATGACTGTGAGCTGGAAGGAGCCTGCTGATGATGGAAAGTCCACAATCCTTGGTTACATGCTGGAAAAGAAAGAGGCCAAGGACTTGAACTGGACTAAGCTGAACCGGAAACCTCTGACAGAAAGGACACTTGATGTTACAGGCCTCACAGAGGGAACTGAGTACGAGTTCAGAGTCATTGCAGTCAATGTTGCAGGGCTTGGCAAACCAAGCGAACCCTCTGCTGGCACCTACGCACAAAATCCCATCAGTGAGTCCTATGACTTCGGAAAATGTATTTTTCAGTGATATATTACATATACTATTACTCACAAACTCAAAGATATCCAATATGTAACTTAAACTGGATCAATGTGCTCTTCTCTAGCTCCTCCTGGCCCAGTTGTGAATCCCAGTGTGACAGACACCACCAACAGCACCATCAGTCTCACCTGGACTGCCCCCGCCAACAATGGTGGAAGCCCCATTATTGGATACTTGGTGGAGTGCAAGAGGACTGACACCGCAGACTGGATCCGCTGCAACGTCCCCAGGAACCTGCAGGAGACCAATTATGTCATCCAGAACCTCATTCACAAGGCTGAGTACCAGTGTCGCATCACTGCTGTCAACAAGGTTGGCTTCAGCGAGCCAGTTGAAGTACCTGGAAAACATATTGCCAAGGACATCATTGGTATGTATAATTTTAATGATAAACTACATTTATTTTAAGTGAGTGTAAATAGAATATGGTATCATTGACATAACAGGGTATACAAAATATAAACTTGTAAAAGTGCTCCTTATTCATAACTGGATTATAACAAAGCCTTGACGAAAATGAACAGAATCATTTAAACTTGCTAACATCATGTTAACCTGGATCATTGAGGCCATGTTTGAATAAAAGGGCCCTGGGACATTTCAATTTCACTTGACAACCTAGACTGCTACTTCCTGTACACTTATTATAGCCCTCATCAAAATATTGCTTTTTATCATGGTTTTTGATTATTAAGTTTCACAAAATTAGCAGTATAGTTCTCTATTTATATGTTCAACATTAGGTCTTTAAAGCCATAATACAACAGTAAGATTGTTTGCTCACACTGTCGCTAATAAAACTGTTCCCTTTGTGTTCATGTAGTTCCTCCCGAGGCAGAGCTGAGCGCAGAGCTAAAGGAGGGCCTGGAGCTGCGTGCTGGCAGCACCATGAGGCTTCATGCCACCATCAAGGGCCGTCCCAATCCCAAGATCACCTGGGCAAAGATGAACACCAATATCAAGGACCGCCAAGGCATCATCATCAAATCAACCAACACTGACACCACTGTGATGGTGGAAAATGTCAACAGATATGATGCTGGCAAATACATTCTGAACCTGGAGAGCCTGGCTGGCATGAAGATGTACACCATCGTTGTCAAGGTTCTTGGTGAGTGAAGGAATTATTTGTTTATGTTGCTAGCACAGTGATCTCAGTATATCGTATCAATAATTGTGACTGACTGAGATCACCCCTGGGCTTGTCAGAAACAGGAATACGTTTATAAATAATAGAATAATCTTTTTTGGGTTTAGGTTCATATTTTAAGATACACTGTTACACTAAGTGTTGTTGTATCTCTCCAGACACTCCTGGACCACCAGTCAACCTGGTCGTGAAGGAGTCATCCAAAGACAGTGCCTCCATCTACTGGGATACTCCTCTGATTGATGGTGGCTATGAAGTCACCCACTACATTGTGGAGAAGCGTGATACTGAGAGGAAGGCCTGGTCCATCGTCTCCAACAACTGTGCCAAGACAGCATTCAAGATCCCAGACCTGGATGCTGGAAGGTCCTACTGCTTCAGAGTGTCGGCAGTTAACGAGCTTGGTGCTGGAGAGTGCTGCGAGACAGCCGATTCAGTCAGAGCATCAGGTGGGTTTGGTAAAAACTGATTTGGTGGTTGGCCTTGTTTTGTTTGTTGTTCTTGCAAATTTATACTCACTGCATTCATAAATACTTTTTTCAGAGGAGCCTGGGCCAGTCATGGACTTCAAGACCCTGTTGGTTACCAAGGACTCTTGCACTCTAAGCTGGAAGAAACCACTCACCGACGGTGGCAGCCGCATCATCTGCTACGTGCTGGAGGTTCTCAATGGTGAGGACAAGTACAAGGAGCTAATGAGGTCCAAGAACATGCAATACAGCGCCAAGGACCTGGTGGAGGGCAAAGAGTACAACTACAGAGTCAAGGCTGTGAATGACACAGGAGAGAGCGCTGCAAAGGAACTGACAGTGGTTGCCAAGGACCAGATCAGTAAGTGTTCATATTTATAAAACTTTTAGACAAAGATGTGTCAAGTGCTCAAAGTTCAAAAATGTTTAAATTATTTTTCCTTCCCTTTGCAGTTCACCCAACCTGTGACTTGAGGGAGCTGCCTGACATGTGCTACATTGCCAAGGAGGGCAGCACCGTCCGTCTGAAGATCCCAATCATTGGCAAACCTACGCCCAAGGTCTCCTGGAAGAAGGGAGACGATGAAGACCTGACAGATACTGGCCGAGTGTGCGCAGAGTCCTCTGCAGTGAACACCACCCTCCTGATCAGAGACTGCCAGAGGAGTGATGCTTCTAAGTACACCATCACCTTGAGGAACAGCGCTGGAAGCAAGGAGTCCACCATCTTCATCAGGTATGAATCAAATCGTACGAGGGCATGTCATTTCAGAAAATGTAATACAACATAAAGAATATTTTGCTGAAAATGGATCACAACATTCTAGTTTCAAAGGTAAAAAAACAATTTAATCTCTGCTGTCTCCTTTTAGGGTTGTAGGTAAACCTGGCATCCCCATTGGACCTGTTAAGTTCAAAGATGTCACTGCCGATGGTGCTACGCTGAGGTGGGGTGCTCCCAAGGATGATGGGGGCTCAGAGATCACCAACTACATCTTGGAAAAGAGGGACTCCATCACCAACATGTGGGTGACTGTGTCCTCGAATGTGGAGACAAACACCATGAGGGTAACCGGTCTCCATGAGGGCACAGAATACATCTTCAGAGTCTGCGCGGAGAACAAGTACGGCGTTGGAGAAGGACTCAAATCTGAACCCATCGTCGCTAAACATCCATTCAGTAAGTGACCATAACTTATACTGTATATTTAACTTATACAAGACTAAGGATGTTTAAGAGTTCAACTTGAAATTGCGCTTCACTTGACTGCTTTATAACTGTTTTTCTACAGATGTTCCCGACGCTCCTCCTCCTCCTCAGATCATGAGCATGCGTCATGACTCGGCATACCTGGCCTGGTCTGATCCCAGGAAGACTGGAGGATCTCCCATCACAGGTACAGTCAGGTTGAACACTTGAACTACCTACTGTCAGCCAGCTGTTACTTCTTGTTTTACTTCATATGCATTTTATCTTTACTTTTTATGGCACTGTAATTTATACAATACCAGTCAAAAGTTTAAGCTATGATCTGTATGTTACTACTTTCAGGCTACCATGTTGAGTTCAAGGAGAGGAACAGTATGTTGTGGAAGAGGGCAAGCCCAGCTGCCTTGAGGATGAAGGAACACAAGGTGACTGGGCTGACTGAAGGTCTGGAGTACGAGTTCAGAGTCATGGCAATCAACCTGGCCGGCATCGGCAGACCGAGTGCTCCCACTGATCCACAGGTGGCCCTGGATCCCATTGGTAGGTGTAAAAAGTGAGAGTGGGAAGAAGTATAAAAAATACTAATGATATAAAGACATAATGCTACAGTCAAATCTTTTTGAATATCTTTATCATCAGATGCCCCTGGTAAACCTGATGTGGTCAGCATCACGAGGAGCACAGTGACTCTCCAATGGACTGAACCACAATTCGACGGTGGCCACAGGCTGACTGGCTATATTGTTGAGAGGCGCGACCTTCCATCTAAGATCTGGGTTAAGGCTAACAATGTGAATGTTGTGGAGCCTGCGTTCACTGTCACCAATCTGCAGGAGGGTTGCAAATATGAGTTCAGGATCAGGGCGAAGAATGCTGCTGGTGCTCTCAGCCCACCCTCCGAGCAGACAGACACCATTATCTGCAGAGATGAATATGGTGAGATGACAACATATAACAGTCATAATTCTGAATGCTTTCAATGAGACAATGTAACAATTGGCGTAATGTATGATAAATTAAATGTTTTCTATTTCCTTCAACAGCTGCACCAACCATTATTATTGATGCTCAGGTGATGGAGGGTCTGACTGTCCGAGCCGGTGATACCATTGTTATTACTGCCACAAGCATTTTAGGCAAACCTGCACCAACTTCATGCTGGTCAAAGGGAGGAAAGTACTTTAAACCCTCTGACATTGTTCAAATTGAGACCACCGCAACTTCCTCTACTCTATCCATCAAATATGCCGGTAGGAAGGACTCTGGAGACTATACCATAACGGCCAGCAACCCCTTCGGTGTAAAGGAGGAAACTGTTAAGGTCAAAGTTCTGGATGTTCCCGGAGCTCCTGGGCCCGTTGAATGCAGTGGTATTTCATCTGAAAAAGTGACTCTTACGTGGACAGAACCTACTGAGGATGGAGGCTCGCCTATCAAATATTACACCATCGAGAAGAGAGAGACCAGCCGCCTGCTCTGGACTGTCCTGGAAGAGAAGGTCATCAACTGTCACTATGTGGCCAACAAGCTCATCCAGGGGAATGAGTACTTCTTCAGAGTCTCTGCTGTCAACCAGTATGGTGCCAGTGAGCCTTCTCACTCGGAGGCAGTCAAGATGGTTGATAGATTTGGTATGTACAGTTAATTTATGTTTTTTGTTGCATTTTACATCCTGCATTTTCACTTAATTTTTTTTTTCACCTAAATAATATAAATATAATATCTCTGGAAGAGGAATACAGACTACCAAGATTCATAAATGTGTTTCATTTATCTATACTTTTAGGTCCTCCTGGTCCACCATCCAAACCAGAGGTTGATAAAGTGGATGGACATTCAGTCACTGTAAAGTGGAGGAGACCAACTGAGGATGGAGGAAGTGATATCATTGGTTACTGTGTTGAGAAGAAAGAGAAAAGGGCTATGGGATGGGTCAGGGCATCCAAGAAATCCATTGCTGAGCTCAGCTATGAAGTCACCGGTCTCACTGAGGGCGTGGAGTATGAGTTCCGTGTTCTTGCTGAGAACAAAGCTGGCTTTGGAGAGCCAAGTGAACCATCTATGCCTGTCAGAACAATAGTCGTTGCCTGTAAGTAAAAATAAGTGTTTCAGCTGTGAAAAGCAAACAGGCCACCACACCAATATTACATTATTTTATTATCAACTGTTTTTACAGAATGCTGTATTTAATTTTACACTAACCACTGCTTTTGTCTGGCAGATGTTCCTGGACCTCCAGTGAATCCAAGAGTCACAGACACAACCAAGACCACTGCCACACTGAACTGGGGAAAACCTCTTGATAATGGTGGACTTCAAGTAACTGGGTATGTGATTGAACACAAGAAAGAAGGAACAGAAGAATGGATTAAGGATACCCCTTCATCTCTACTTAGGATCACAGAATTTGTTGTTCCTGGGCTGGAGACTGGTGCAAAATACCACTTCAGAATTAGTGCTGTGAATGCTAAGGGGGCAGGTGAACCTGCTGAAACTCAAGAGCTGGTTGAGATCGTGGAGCGTGCAGCTGAGCCAGATTTGGAGCTGGATGTTGAGCTGAGAAGAACCCTTGTGGTCAGGGCAGGCTGCTCCATACGACTCTTTGTGCCAATCAAGGGACGTCCTACACCTACAGTCACCTGGACTAAGGAGGGTGGTCCTGTCCCACGTGCAGTCATTGACACCACCGAGTCATTTACAATGCTGCTTATTCCTGAGAGTTCAAGGATTGATGCAGGCAAATATGAGCTTACCCTCGAAAACTCAGCTGGAAAGAAAAGTGCTGATATACATGTGAGAGTTCTGGATTCACCTGGACCTCCACTTAACCTGAAACCCATCAAGATTGACAAGGAAAGTATTACTCTTCAGTGGGAAATGCCTCTTATCGATGGTGGAGCCAAGATCACAAACTATGTCATTGAGAAGAGGGAATCAACACGCAAGGCTTTTGCTACTGCTGTTACAAATTGTCCACATACTTCAATCAGGATTGGTGATTTGGGTGAGGGTTGTGAGTACTATTTCAGAGTGTCTGCCGAGAATGAGTATGGCATTGGTGAGGCTGTTGAAACTACAGATCCAATTCGTGCATCCCAGGCACCAACTCCTCCAGAAAGTATTATTCCTACTGATGTCACCAAGAGCTCTGTGAGCCTGGCTTGGACCAAACCCAAGCACGATGGTGGAAGCAGAATAACAGGATACGTCCTGGAAGCCCAGAAGAAGGGAACTGATCAGTGGGCCCACGTAACAACAGTCAAGACCATGGATTTCACTGTGAAAAATCTCAATGAGAATGAGGAGTACATTTTCCGTGTAATGGCTGTCAACCATTCAGGCAGAAGCGCTCCACGTGAGAGCAAACCCATTGCTGTTAAGGATTCTACTTCACTGCCTGAGTTTGACCTGCGTGGCGTATGTCAGAAGATTGTTATTGCCAAGGCAGGCGATGACATCAAGGTTGAGATCCCAGTTATGGGACGTCCTAGACCAACTATCTCCTGGCAGAAGGATGGCGCAGCCCTGAAGCTCACACAGAGAACCAATGTGGAGACTACCGCTGCTACTGTTGTCCTCAGCATCAATGAATGCAACCGAGCCGACAGTGGCGTCTACACCATGACAGGAAAGAACATTGTTGGTTCTGTGATAGATAACATCACCGTCAAAGTACATGATGTACCAGGGCCACCTAAGGGACCCATTAAGATTGTGGAGATATCTCGTACCTATTGTGTCTTTGCATGGGACACTCCTGAGAATGATGGAGGTGTTCCAATCAATAATTACGTGGTTGAGATTAGAGACACCACTTCCCAAACATGGACAGAGCTGTCCTCCACTGTCATCCGTACCATGTTCAAAGCCATCCGATTAAACACTGGATCAGAGTACCAATTCAGAGTAAAGGCTAAGAACAGATATGGTGTTGGACCTCCCATCACCTCAGCAGCAGTGGTGGCTGCCTATCCATTTAAAGTCCCTGGACCTCCTGGCACTCCTAGTGTTGTTGCATTTACCAAGGACTCTATAACGATTGGCTGGAATGAGCCTGTGTCTGATGGTGGAAATGAAGTCATTGGTTATCATGTGGAAAGGAAAGAAAGAAGCAGTATTGTGTGGCACAAGATCAGTAAGGGTATTGTGAAAGGAAACATCTTTAAAACCACTGGGCTTGAAGATGGTGTTGCCTATGAGTTCCGTGTCATGGCTGAAAACATGGCTGGAATTGGTAAGCCCAGCAAGGCCTCAGAAGCAATACTGGCCTTGGACCCTGTAGACCCACCAGGCCAGCCTGTGCCAATATTTGTCAACAAGAATGTCATCACTATTCAGTGGACAAAGCCTGAGTATGATGGTGGCTTCAAAATCACTGGCTACACAGTTGAGAAGAAAGAACTTCCAGCTGGTCGCTGGATCAGAGCCAACTTCACCAACATCATTGAGACAACTTTCACTGTCAGTGGGCTGACACAAGATGCCTCCTATGAGTTCCGTGTCATAGCCAGAAACTCAGCAGGTGCAGTAAGTGTGCCCTCTGACCCCTCAGACCCAATTATCTGCAAAGATGACATTATCGAGCCACGCATTATGGTTGATGCCATCTTTAAGGATGTTGTTCTACTGAAGGCAGGAGAATCTTTCAAGCTTGATGCTGACATTGCCGGTCAACCAACACCATCTATGGTTTGGACCAAGAATGGAAAGGAGATTGAGAACACAATGAAACTGGATGTTAAGTTCACTGAACTGACAACCACTCTCACCAACAAGGACTCTGTCAGATCCGATGGAGGAGAATTTGTTTTGACTGCCACTAATGTTGGTGGATTTGCTAAGCACATCTTTAATGTTAAAGTGCTCGACAGACCTGGACCACCAGTTGGACCTCTTAAGGTGTCTGATGTCACAGCTGATAACTGTGTACTGACCTGGGCTCCACCTGCAGATGATGGCGGTGCCAAGATTGAAGGATATGTGGTTGAGAAGCGTGAGTCAAGCAGACTGGTTTGGACCAATGTGATTTCAGACCTACAGACTACACAATATAAGGTGACTAAGCTGCTTAAAGGAAATGAATACATCTTCAGAGTTATGGCAGTAAACAAATATGGACTTGGCGAGTCTCTTGAATCAGAACCCACTATTGCAGATAACCCATATGTTGTTCCAGATCCTCCAGAGAATCCTGAGGTGACAGCTATCACTAAAGATTCAATGGTTCTTATGTGGCAAGCACCTAAGAGTGATGGTGGAACTCCCATCACCAACTACAATATTGAAAGGAAAGACAGAATAGGCCTGCGCTGGGTCAAATGCAACAAGAGAAAGGTCAAAGATCTTCAGTTCAAGGCAGCAGGCCTTGTTAATGGACATGAATATGAATTCAGAGTAATAGCTGAGAATGCTGCTGGAGTGAGTGCACCAAGTGTCTCCAGTCCATTCTACAAGGCAACTGATGGACTGTACAAGCCAGGGGCTCCATGCAACCCCAGAATCTTGGACACAACCAAGTCTTCAATTACTGTTGCCTGGAACAAACCTGTGTATGATGGTGGCTCTGACATCACTGGCTACATTGTAGAGACATGCATCCCATCTGAAAAGGAAGAAGAGGAGGAATGGACCATTGTGACACCCAAAGAAGGTCTCATTGCCACCTCATTCACCATTATTAACCTGAAGGAGAACCAGGAGTACAAGATCAACATCTCGGCCGTCAACAGTGAAGGAATTGGAGATGCAGCATCTGTACCGGACAATGCCAAGGCAGAGGACAGGCTCCTTCCACCTGAGATGGATTTGGATGCTGAGCTCCGCAAGGTTGTGAGTCTTAGAGCTTGCTGCTCACTTAGACTGTTTGTGCCGATCAGAGGCAGACCAGCTCCTCAGGCCAAATGGACCAAAGGAGATGGTGAGCCAATTGAGAGGGCAACCATTGACAGCACAACATCATACACATCACTTGTTATTGAAAATGTAAACAGATTTGACAGTGGAAAGTATAATCTTACAATTGAAAACAGCTCTGGCTCCAGGACTGTTACAGTCCAAGTTAGGGTGCTTGATACACCAAGTGCCCCACAGAATCTGAAGATTACTGCTGTAACAAATGAAGCTGTCACTCTGACTTGGGATCCACCAGTGAATGATGGAGGAGTTAAGATTAAAAACTATATTGTTGAAAAACGTGAATCCACAAGGAAAGCATACGCCACGGTCAATGCTCTCTGTCATCATACCACCTTCACAATTGGCCAGCTCCTGGAAGGATGCAACTATTACTTCAGAGTTTTGGCTGAGAATGAATATGGCATTGGCTTGCCCATTGAGACTGGTGAATCAATTAAAGTGTCTGAGAAACCACAGCCACCTGGCAAAGTCACTCTTAAGGATGTTACTAAAAACAGTGTCACCCTCTCCTGGGAGAAGCCAGAGCATGATGGAGGCAGCAGAGTAGGCTGTTATGTTGTTGAGATCCAGCCTAAAGGTGTTGATAAGTGGACCCAGGCTGTGATTGTGAAGGAAACAGAAGCTACAATTAGTGGACTCAATGCAGGTGAAGAATACATGTTCCGTGTAGCAGCGAGAAATGAGAAGGGAACAAGTGACCCACGCCAAATCGGTGTACCTGTGATTGTAAAAGATCTTGTGATTGCACCTGTTGCCAAACTGCTGTTCAACACATTCAGCGTGTTGGCTGGAGAAGACCTGACAGTGGAGGTTCCATATGTTGCACGTCCCAAAGCAGCTGTCTCCTGGGTAAAGGATGGTCAGCCTCTGAAAAGGACTACCAGAGTTAACTTTGGTGGAACAGACACAATGCTGAACCTCAAAATAAAAGAGGCCACTAAAGATGATGTTGGACACTATCTCATTACTCTCACCAATACAGCAGGAGAGACAACGGCAAACATTGGCATAGTTGTCCTTGACAAACCTGGCCAGCCAAGTGGTCCAATTAAGGTGGAGGAAGTCACTTCTGACAGTGTAACCATCTCCTGGAACCCACCTGAGTATGATGGTGGTTGCACCATCAAAAACTACATTGTGGAAAAGAGAGATACATCTACAACTAACTGGATGGTTGTATCTCCTAACCTTGCAAGGACCAAAATCAAGGCAGGCAGACTGAAGACTGGCTCTGAATATCAGTTTAGAATCACAGCAGAGAACAGATATGGAAAAGGCCCAACTCTTGTATCAGAATGTATTGTGGCTCAATACCCATATAGGCTCCCAGGACCCCCAGGAACACCATCCATTGCAGCCTGGACCAAGGATAGCATGGTAGTGGCCTGGAATGAACCTGTGAATGATGGTGGAAGCGCCATCTTGGGCTACCATCTTGAACGTAAGGAGAGAAACAGCATCCTATGGATAAAACTTAACAAGTCCCTTATTACTGACCAAACCTTCAAGACCACTGGCTTGGAACCAGGAATGGAGTATGAATACAGAGTTTATGCTGAAAACATTGTCGGAATAGGCAAAGTGAGCAAAGTGTCTGAGGGTCATGTTGCTAGAGATCCCTGCGATCCTCCTGGCACCCCAGAGGCAACAAAGATCACTAAAGACTCTGTGACCATTGTTTGGACCAAGCCTGAGTATGATGGTGGTGCAAAGGTTACAGGTTACATTGTGGAAAAGAAGGAGCTTCCTGAAGGTCGTTGGCAGAAGGCTAACTTTACTAACATCATTGAGACAGAATATGTGGCAACTGGACTTGTGCAGGACGATCAGTATGAGTTCCGTGTCATTGCCAGAAATGCTGCTGGTGTTTTCAGTCTGCCCTCTTACAGCACTGGTCCTATCACTGCCAGGGATGAGATTGACCCACCACGCATCAGTATTGACCCAGAGTACACACAAACCATTGTGGTTAATGCTGGAGACAACTTCAAGATTGATGCAGATGTTCATGGCAAACCCTTGCCCTCTATCCACTGGATGAAAGGAGAGCAAGAACTGGGAAACACCATTCATAGAGAAATTAAGAACACACCCATCAAAGCTTTTATATCTGTCAAGGAAGCTAAACTTTCTGATGGAGGCCAATACACTCTGCTGTTGAAAAATCCAGGGGGTGAAAAGGCTGTACAGGTCAATGTGGTTGTTCTAGATAAACCCGGAGAACCACAAGGACCTCTTGTTTTTACAGGAATAACCAAAGACCAATGTTGCCTTGCATGGAAAGCACCAATACAAGATGGTGGCAGTAAGATCTCTCACTACACTGTGGAGAGGAGAGAGACAAGCAGACTTGTCTGGACTGTTGTTGACCCAAAAGTGGAGAATATTTGTCTAAAGGTCACTAAGCTCCTGGAAGGAAATGAGTACATCTTTAGAGTCCGTGCTGTCAACCAGTTTGGAGTAGGTGCACCACTGGAATCTGCTGCTGTCATAATCAAAGATCCGTATGTGCCCCCTGGGTCACCAAAGAGTTTAGAAGTTTCACATGTTAAAAAAGATTCAATGGTGCTCACCTGGGAGGCTCCTTCTGAAGATGGAGGCAGTCCTATCACTGGATACATCATTGAGAAACATGACAAAGAGGGTGTAAGATGGACCAGATGTAACAGACAAACTGTCACTGACTTAACTTTAAAGGTCACTGGACTCCTGGAGAGCCACCTTTATGAATTCAGAATTGCTGCTGAGAATGCTGTTGGGGTCGGTGAGCCAACCTCCCCAACTGTATTCTACAAAGCTCTTGATCCCATCTTCAAGCCTGGCCCACCACACAATCCAAAGGTCACTGACACAACTAAAACCTCTGTATTCCTATCATGGAGCAAGCCTGTGTGTGATGGGGGCTGTGAAATTCAGGGATACATTGTTGAGTGTTGCACTACCACAATGTCAGCAGAGCCAGCTGAGGCTCCTGCTGAAGCCCAAGCTGAAGAGGCAGCTACCACAGATGCACCTGCTGAGGAGTGGATAATGTGCACACCACCAACAGGTGTGAAAAAGACCAAGTTTGAAGTTGTAAAACTGAAGGAAAACCAGGCATACAGGTTTAGAGTATGTGCTATTAACAAAGTTGGAGTTGGCGAGCATGCCGATGTCTCTGGAGCTGTTGTTGCCCAGGACAGGACAGAAGAGCCAGATCTTGACATTGACCCAGAACTGAGAAAGATTGTGACCATTAAGGCCGGAGCTTCCCTTAGGCTGTTTATCCCCATCAAAGGAAGACCCACTCCTACCATCAAGTGGGACAAGGATGAAGCTGCCCTTAAAGAAACTGCTCAAGTTGAAGTGACCAGCAGTTACACATCCCTTGTAATAGACAAGATGAGCAGAAATGACAGTGGAAAATATACGGTCACTGCAGAGAACTCAAGTGGAACAAAATCTGCATTTGTTGTTGTCCGTGTTCTTGACACACCTAGTGCTCCTGTTAACCTCAAAGTGAAAGAAATTACAAACCAGTCAGTGACATTGGCATGGGAACCACCACTGTTGGATGGTGGATCCAAGATCAAGAATTACATTGTTGAAAAGAGAGAAAGCACACGTAAAACATATGCAGCTGCTGTGACAAATTGTCATGCTCTTTTGTGGAAGATTGAGCCACTCCAGGAGGGTTGTAGTTACTACTTCCGAGTGCTTGCTGAGAATGCACATGGTGTTGGCCTGCCTGCAGCAACTGTCGACCCTCTTAAGGTCTCAGAGGTGCCCCAGTCTCCAAAGAACTTGATTGTTACAGACCAAACCAAAACAAGCATCTCTTTGGCGTGGGAGAAGCCCGAGTATGATGGTGGTAGCAGAGTCATGCAGTACCTGCTTGAGGTGCAGCTTAAAGGCCAGGAGAAGTGGTCTGGTGTTAACACATTTAAAACAATGGAAGCTACTGTTTCTAATCTGAACCCAGGAGAGGAGTATCTATTCAGAGTTACAGCAATCAATGATAAGGGAAAGAGTGATCCAAAAGTCCTCGCTGGTCCAGTAATGACCAAGGACTTGGTCTTTGAGCCTGATGTTCGACCAGCATTCAGCAGCTACAGTGTCCATGTGGGCAAAGACATGAATATTGACATACCCATCTTTGGACGTCCTAAGCCAGCAGTCTCATGGACTAAAGATGGAGCTCCTTTGAAGTTCACCACCAGAGTCAACATTCTCAATACACCAACACATACAACACTCAGCATTAAGGAGGCAGCAGGTGATGATGGTGGCATGTACAGTATAAATGTTTCCAACTCTGCTGGAAAGAAGGACACAACAGTTGAAATCATTGTACTTGACAAGCCTGGCCCTCCATCTGGCCCTGTGAGGTTTGATGAAATCACAACACAGAGTATCTCTATTTCATGGGATCCACCAAAACACAATGGCGGCTGCCAGATTTCAAACTACATTGTGCAAAAGAGAGATACTACTACAACAACATGGGAAAATGTCAGCATCAACTGTGCCAGAACCTCCATTAAAGTGCCTAGATTGAAGACCGGTGCTGAGTACCAGTTCAGGATCATTGCTCAGAACCGCTATGGCAAGAGTCATGGCCTGGATTCATCTGCTGTGGTCGCTCAGTACCCATACAGAGAGCCAGGACCCCCTGGCACTCCTTTCATCGCCTCTCTCTCTAGAGACCACCAGATTGTTGAGTGGCATGAGCCTGTCACAGATGGAGGAAGCCCTGTTCTCGGCTACCATCTTGAAAGGAAAGAGAGAAATAGTATTCTCTGGGTCAAGATCAACAAGACACTTATTCACGACACTACTTTCAAGAGTCACCCCTTGGAGGAGGGTGTCGAGTATGAATACAGGGCATATGCTGAAAATATTGTGGGCATTGGCAGGTGCAGTAAGATCTCAGAGGGCTGCGTTGCCCGTGACCCATGTGATCCTCCTGGTACACCAGAAGCCATCCATGTGACCAAAGATACCATTGTCATTCAGTGGACTAAACCAGAGTATGATGGTGGCAGTAATATAACTGGCTATACTGTGGAGAAGCGTGATCTGCCAGAGGGCAGGTGGGTAAGAGCGAACTTCACTAATGTGATTGAGACCAAGTTTACTATGACTGGACTGACTGAAAATGCACAGTATGACTTCAGAGTCATTGCTAAAAATGCTGTTGGCACCATCAGTAAGCCATCCTTCAACAGTGGACCAATCACTGCAAGTGATAAGGTGGAGGCACCCAAATTTTCCATTGACCCAGCATTCACCAAGGCCATTATCATCAATGCCGGAGAGACATTTAAGCTAGATGCCGATGTCCGCGGAAAGCCACTTCCTGCAATCCAGTGGTTCAAGGATGAAAAACCAATAGAGAATACTCTCAGACTAGAGATCAAAAACACAGAACACCATGCAATGATTGTCATTAAGGACTCTGTTAGAATTGATGGTGGAGTCTACACGCTCCAGCTGACAAATGAGGCTGGCAGTGAAACTGTGCCATTTAAGGTTGTGGTCCTGGACAGGCCTAGCCCATGTGAAGGACCCCTCCACATCACTGGAGTAGCTGAAGATAGATGTACACTGGTATGGCGTGCCCCTCTACATGATGGAGGTAGTCCTATTACACATTATATCATTGAGAGAAGAGAGACCAGCCGTCTAGCTTGGACTGTTGTTTCTAACAGCTGTGAGACAACATGCTACAAAGTCACCAAACTGTTGGAAGGTAATGAGTATATGTTCCGTGTCATGGCAGTTAACAGTTATGGTGTCAGTGAGCCACTCGGGTCTGGTGGAGTGATTATGAAGACTCCATTTGTTCCTCCTGGTCCACCTCATGTTGAGGATGTATCCAACATTGCCCATGATGGCATGACCATCACTTGGTCTGCCCCTGAGTCTGATGGTGGCAGTGATATTACCAATTACATAATTGAAAAGAAGGACAGAGCTGGAATCAAATGGACCAGATGCAATAGGCAGAAGGTCACTGACCTCTCCTTTAGAGTCACAGGCCTAACCACTGGCCATGAGTATGAGTTCAGAGTGGTTGCCGAGAATGTAGTTGGAGTCGGAGAGCCAAGCCTTCCAAGTTCATTCTACAAGGCCTGTGATCCCAAGTACAAACCTGGTGCCCCAGCATATGTGCATGTGATTGACTCCACAAAGAGTTCGCTTACAGTGTCATGGGGTAAGCCTCTGTCTGACGGTGGCAGCACCATCCAAGGATACCTTGTTGAAGTTTGCAAGGCTGAAGAGGAGGAATGGACCATGGTTACTCCCCCCACTGGCCTGCGTGTCAATAAATATGAAGTTACCAAACTTACTGAGGGTCAGGAATACAACATCCGGGTGTGCGCTCTGAACAAACTGGGAGTTGGTGAGCCAGCAGCTCTCTCGGGAACAGCTAAGCCAGAGGAAAGGGTGGACCCACCACAGATCCACCTTGACTCTGAGCTAAGGAAGGGCATCACCGTGAAAGCTGGTGGATCTGTTAGAATCCATATTCCATTTAAGGGCAGGCCAACACCTGAGATTAAGTGGACTAAGGATGAGGGAGACCTGACTGAAAAGGCAGTAGTTGAGAAGGCCCTCAACTTCACACAGCTGTCCATTGACTCATGTGACAGGAGTGATTCCGGAAAATACACATTAAGCCTAACCAACAGCAGTGGCTCTGTGTCTGAATTTGTCGCTGTTAAGGTCCTGGATACACCTGGAGCCCCACATAATCTTGTGGTTAAAGACATCAAAAAGGACTCGATCACCCTTGTATGGGATGCCCCCTTGGTTGATGGAGGTTCTAAAATCAAGAACTATGTCATTGACAAACGTGAATCAACCAGAAAGGCATATGCAAATGTGTCCACCAAGTGCACAAAGACAACATTCAAAGTTGAGAACTTGATTGAAGGTGCTATGTACTACTTCAGAGTCATGGCTGAGAATGACTCTGGAGTTGGCCAAGCTGTTGAAACAAAGACGGCGTCCAAGGCCTCTGAGGTACCACTGCCTGTTGGAAAAGTATTCCTCACTGATGTCACCAAGGCCACTGTCTCACTGGCCTGGGAGAAACCTGAGCATGATGGAGGCAGTAGAATTGGTGGCTACCTAATTGAGATGCTGCCCAAAGGTACAGATAAGTGGGGAGTTGCAGCAAATACAAAGACATGCGAGGGTACTGTCAAAGGACTCACCGCTGGAACAGAATACTTATTCCGTATCATTGCTCACAACGAGAAGGGAAAGAGTGAGCCAAAGGCACTTGCTGCACCAGTTATTGCCAGTGACATGACTATGGAGCCAAGCATTAAGATGCAGTTCAACACGTACAGTGTATTAGCTGGAAAAGATATTAAGTTGGAGTTCCCTGTGCTTGGCAGGCCCAAACCTAAAGTTACCTGGACCAAGGATGGTCAAACATTAAAGGTGACATCCAGAGTCAATGTAGCAAACACTCCAGAAACAACTGCAATTCAAATTACTGAGGCATGCAAAGAAGACTTTGGTAAATACACTATTACAGCAACCAATACTGCTGGCACTGTCACTGAGGATGTGGCTGTCATTATCCTTGACAAGCCTGGTCCACCAACAGGTCCAGTCAAGGTTGTTGAAGTGAGCAACACCTTTGTCCATCTTGCTTGGGAGCCCCCAGAGTACACAGGTGGATGCCAGGTGAAGAACTATATAGTGGAGAAGAGAGATACCACCACCACAACATGGCAGTCAGTCACCACACAGCTTGCTAGAACAGCTTTTAAGGTCACCAAGCTGAAGACTGGTGCAGAGTACCAGTTCAGAATTGTTGCTGAAAACAGATATGGAAAGGGTGCACCTCTGGACTCCAAGGCCATTGTTGTGCAGTATCCATATAAACCACCAGGACCTCCAGGAACACCACATGTCAAATCTGCAACAAAGGAAATGATGATCATTGAATGGAATGAGCCAGTCAATGATGGTGGCAGTGCAGTTATTGGTTACCATCTGGAAAGCAAGGAGAGAAGCAGCATTCTGTGGAACAAACTGAACAAGACTATCATAACTGATACCCAGTTCAAGATCTGCAATCTTGAGGAGGGTATTGGATATGAATTCAGAGTTTATGCTGAAAATATTGTTGGTATTGGTAGATGCAGTAAAGTGTCTGACTCCTTTATTGCTCGTGACCCATGTGATCCTCCTGGTGCTCCTGAAGCTGTATCTATTTCTAAGAATCTAATCAAGATTCAGTGGACCAAGCCTCAGTATGATGGTGGCAGCAAAGTGAATGGATATATTGTGGAAAGGAAAGATCTTTCCTCCCCTGATGGGCGCTGGGTAAGAGCTAACTTCACCAATATCATTGAGACGGAGTATACCATCACTGGTCTGACCGAGAATGAGCAGTACGAATTTAGGGTTATTGCAAGAAATGCAGCAGGAGTCTTCAGTGAGCCATCTGATAGCTCTGGACCTATTACTGCTACTGATGAAATTGAAGCACCAAGGGCTTCGATGGATCCCAAATACAAGGATGTCATTGTTATCAATGCTGGAGAAAACTTGCTTCTTGATGCAGACATTCATGGAAAACCAATTCCTGATGTTGCCTGGCTAAAGGAGGGCAAGGAAATGGACAAAGCCCTGCGTATTGAAGTGAAGACTACAGAGAAGTGTGCAGCCATGACCATTAAGGATGTAACCAAGCTTGACAGTGGCCACTATGACCTTGTCCTCAAAAATCTGGGTGGTATAAAGACTTTCCCTATCACTGTCAAAGTTCTTGATAAACCAGGTCCACCCACTGGACCGTTGAGAGTGACAGGAGTCATGGCTGATAGGTGCATCCTTTCCTGGTCTGAGCCAACTCTGGATGGTGGGGCTAGAATTACTCACTATGTCTTGGAGAAGAGAGAGACTAGCAGGCTGTCCTGGACAGTGGCTGCACCAGATATCAAGGGTCTGTTCTATAAACTAACAAGTTTGCTTCCTGGAAATGAATACATTTTCAGAGTCAGGGCACTGAACAAATATGGTGTTGGTGATTATCTTGAGAGTGAACCAATCATTGCACGTAATCCATACAAGCCACCTAGTGCTCCTGGAACCCCAGAAGCCAACCAAATCACAAAAGACTCTATGGTTCTGTCATGGACCGTTCCAGAACAGACTGGTGGAGCTGACATTGAAGGTTACCACCTTGAAAAACGTGACAAAGACAGTGTAAGATGGACAAAGTGTAACAGACAAAAGCTGACTGACACCCACTTCAAGGTCACAGGTCTGATGACAGATCACTTCTATGAGTTCCGTGTTGCTGCTGAGAATGAGGCTGGAATGGGAGACCTCAGTGAATTGTCCTTGTTCTATAGAGCATGTGATGCTACAACACCACCTGGGCCTCCACACCATCCTAAGGTGACAGACTACACAAAGTCCTCTGTGTCACTGTCATGGGGCAAACCTGACTTTGATGGTGGTGCCTATGTTAAGGGCTACATTGTTGAAATGAGGGAGTATACACCAGTGCCTGAATCAACAGAAGAGGCAGAAGAAGCACCAGCAGTAGAGGCAGTAGTTGAAAAAGTATGGACTATGTGCACTCCACCCACTGGTATTCAGGCCACTAAACTCACTATCACAGACCTGAAGGAGGGTGGAGAGTACCAGTTCCGCATCTGTGCAATCAACTCTGAGGGAGTAGGGGAGGCTGCTAACATCCATGGCACTGTGGTTACTTCTGACAGAGTAGAAGCACCAGAGATTGAGCTGGATGCTGATCTCAGAAAGGTGGTATCTGTCCGTGCTGGTGGAACTCTGCGTCTCTTTGTCACTATCAGAGGAAGGCCTGAACCTGCTGTGAAATGGGAGAAGGTTGAAGGTACTCTTACAGACCGTGCTGCAGTTGACACCACCAGTTCATACACTATGCTTGTCATTGACAATGTCAACCGTTTTGACAGTGGAAAATACTCACTGACACTAGAGAACAGCAGTGGTACAAAATCTGCTATTGTTGCAGTGAGAATTTTGGATACACCAAGTGCACCGCAAAACTTTGCTGTAAAGGAGCTCAAGAAGGATTCAGTGACTCTTGCCTGGGATTCTCCACTCACTGATGGTGGTTCTAAAATCACAAACTACATCGTAGAGAAGAGAGAGTCTGTCAGGAAGGCTTATACTACTGTCACCAGCAACTGCACTGCTAACTCATTCAAGATTGAAGAGCTACCTGAGGGTGGCATGTTCTACTTCAGAGTCTGTGCTGTTAATGAATATGGTCAAGGACAGATGGTTGAAACAAAAGAAGTCAAAATATCTGAGGTACCTCTGCCACCAAGCAAAGTTACCCTTGTAGATTTGACAAAGACCAGCGTGTCACTGGCATGGGAAAAACCTGCTCATGATGGTGGAAGCAAAGTAATGTGCTATAATGTTGAATTTAAGCCTAAGAGTGGAGACAAATGGGGCACAGCATGCACTGTCAAGGTGCCTGAAGCAACCATTCCTAATCTGACTCCTAATGAAGCCTATTTATTCAGAGTAGTTGCAATCAATGAGAAGGGAAAGAGTGAGCCAAAGGATCTTGGCTTGCCTGTTGTTGCAAAGGATGTTGCAATTGAACCATCTGTCAATTTACTGTTTACTACATACAGTGTGAAGGCTGGAGATGACCTAACTCTTGAGGTTCCAGTAAGAGGCAGGCCAAAGCCTGTTGTATCCTGGAAGAAGGATGGCCTTCCTTTGAAACAAACATCATCAGTGACCATCTTAAACACTGCAACCTCATCCAAAATACTCATCAAACAGGCTAGCAGAGAACATGTTGGCAAGTATGAGATCACCCTTGCCAACACAGCAGGAACTGTCACAACAGATATTGGAGTTGTTGTCCTTGATAAACCAGGTCCACCTAAAGGTATTAAGGTGGATGCTGTGACCTCAGACAGCATCACACTGTCCTGGTCACCACCAGATTATGATGGTGGCTGCTCCATCAGTAACTATATTGTGGAGAAGAGAGACACAAACACACAGGAATGGCAGATGGCAGCAAGTAATGTTGCCAGGACATGTTTCAAGGCTGGCCGCCTGACACATGGAGCAGAGTACCAATTCCGTATCTATGCAGTTAATCGTTATGGAAAGAGTACATATCTGGATTCACCAGGAATTACTGCTCAGTATAACTTCAAACAACCTGGACCTCCTTCCACACCTATAGTGAAGTTGGCCACAAAGTCCTACATGTTGGTGACTTGGAATGAGCCAGTCAGTGATGGTGGTAGTCCTGTTCTGGGCTACCATGTAGAGAGGAAGGAACGTTCTAGCATTCTTTGGACAAAAATGAACAGAGGAATGATCAAAGATACAGAATACAAAGTCAATGGAATTGAAGAGGGCATGATGTATGAATACCGTATCTATGCTGAAAATATTGCTGGTATTGGTAAATGCAGCAAAGCTTGTGAAGCAGTCGCAGCCAGAGATCCATGTGATCCTCCAGGTACACCTGTGGTCACTGCTGTTACGAGAACATCTGTCTCTTTATCTTGGGATAAACCAGAGTATGATGGAGGAGCCAAGGTTTCTGGTTACATCATTGAGCGCAGAGACCTTCCTGAAGGACGCTGGACAAGGTGCAACTTTACCAATGTGCCTGAGACCCGCTATGATGTGACAGGCCTTACAGAAAACAGCCAATATGACTTCCGTGTCATTGCTAAGAATGCAGCTGGTTTGTTCAGTGAACCATCTGACAACACTGGCCCCATCATTATCAAGGATGATGTGGATCCACCCCGTATCATGATGGATGTCAAGTTCAGAGAGACAGTGTTTGTGAAAGCAGGTGAAACTCTGAAGATTAATGCTGACCTTGCTGGGCGGCCTGCTCCAGTCATTTCCTGGACCAAGGATGGCAAAGAGATTGAGCTGAGAGCCAGAATCCAGATTGTTTCTACAGATACCAGCACTTCTGTCATTGTCAAGGACTGTAGCAGGAGAGATTCTGGACAGTATGTGTTGACTCTACAGAATATTGCTGGAACAGTTACCATGCCAATAAACTGTGTGATTCTTGATAAGCCAGGACCTTCAGCAGGACCTCTGCAGATCACAGGTCTCACAGCGGAGGAGTGCACTCTGTCATGGGGTCCTCCTCAGGAGATCGGTGGTGCTAATATCACACATTATGTTGTTGAGAAGCGTGAGACCAGCCGCTTGGCATGGACACTGGTGAAAGGAGATGTCACAAAAACTTACTTCAAAGTCACAGGACTGCTTAAAGGCAATGAATATATCTTCAGGGTTTTAGCTGTCAACAAGCATGGACTTGGTGAGGCTCTGGAGAGTGAGGCAATAAAGGTTACAGATCCATACACATTTGCCACTGCCCCAGCTAGTGTTGATGTCACTACCATAACTGGAGATTCAATGACCCTCACCTGGTGCAAGCCAGCCAGTGATGGAGGCAGCCCCATTACTGGATATGTAATTGAGCGTCGTGAGAAGACAGGCATGCGCTGGGTCCGTGTGAACAGAGATCCAGTTGTTGAATGTACCACAGTAGCAACCAAACTGCGCAAGGGTTGTGAGTATGATTTCAGAGTTTATGCTGAAAATGCTGCTGGTCTAAGTCCCCCAAGTGAACCATCTGCAACCTTCAGAGCAATGGATCCTCTGGTTGTTCCTTCTCGCCCAACCAAACCAAAAATTGTCAGTTCAACCAAGGACAGTGTTTCCATTGTCTGGAAACCACCAACAAATGATGGTGGTGCTCCCATCCTTGGATACACTGTAGAATACAGAGATTATGTCCACAAACCAGAGCCAGAGGTTGAGGAAGAAGACGAGGAATATGAAGAGGAGGAGGACGAAGAGGAGGTACCTGAATCACCTGAAGACCTAGCAAGATGGGTTGAGGCGATCCCTCTTACCAAGAGCTTGGAATTCACAATCAAAGGACTAAAGACAGATGCAGAATATGAATTCTGTGTCAAGACAATAAACAAAGTTGGCAGCAGTGTGCGTAGCCTGTATTCAGATGCAGCTGCAGCAATGGACAGAACTTCAGAGCCATCATTTGATGTTGACATTGAGATGCGGAAAGTACATCTTGTTAAGCATAGCACAGCATTTACTCTAAATGTACCATTCAAGGGCAAACCTGTCCCATCAGTGGACTGGACCAAGGAGGGTGTTGATCTCAAGGTCAGAGGAACCATTGAATCAACAGATTCCAGCACTTCACTGACTATTGAGAAGGCAACTAGAAATGACTCTGGGGAGTACAGTGTCACTATAGAATCACCACTTGGAAAAGCAACATTGCCCATGATTGTCAAGGTTCTCGACTCTCCAGGACCCCCTGTCAATGTTAAAGTTTCAGCTGTGACTCGGGATTCTGCAACCCTCACTTGGGAGGCTCCAGAGAATGATGGCGGTGATGCAGTGAAGGCCTACCATGTTGAAAAACGCGAGGCCAGTAAGAAGGCCTGGGTGTGTGTGACCAGCAACTGCCACGCACTTACTTACAAGGTTGAAGACTTGCAGGAGGGAGCCATCTATTACTTCAGAATTATTGGAGAAAATGAGTATGGAGTGGGTGTCCCCCAGGAGGCCAAGGCTGGAACCAAGATTACAGGTAACATCTCTTAAGTTGATTTTACACCTTTTATCATTTCAATCAAACATGCTTGATAAAACTTCTCACTGTATGTTACAGAGGTACCAAGTACACCAATGAAACTTGGAGTTGCAAATGTTACCAAGGACAGTGTTACGATTGCCTGGACAAGACCAGAATACGATGGTGGTAGCAGAGTTAAAGGTTACCTTATTGATGCCCTGGAGAAGGGACAGACCAAGTGGGTGAAGTGTGCCACTGTGAAGACCATGACTCACACAATCAAGAGCCTGAGGGAGGGTGCTGAGTACTTCTTCAGAGTTCGTGCTGAGAACCACGCTGGACTCAGTGAACCCAAGGAGATGATTGTACCTGTTATTGTCAAGGAAATACAAGGTATTATCTCTAGTTTTACTCTTATATTAGTTGATGTATTTCTACAGAAGGATGAGTTTTTGTATCAAATGTAATATAGTGTAAAATACTTTTGAATTTCTATATAATGAACACTGATAACAATCCTGTCTTATTTTTTCAACAGAGGCTCCGGAGTTTGACCTGAAGAACTACCCCAAGAATACAGTTTATGTGAAATCAGGATCCAACCTGACCTTTGAGATTCCTCTCACTGGCAGGCCAATGCCTAAGGTGACAATGTCCAGGAACAATGTTGTCATCAAGGGATCCAAGAGGCTGCTGACAGAAGTAACACCAGACAGCTTAATCATCACTCTACATGAAAGCATTTCGAGTGATGCTGGCAAATATGAAGTCACTGCCTCAAATGCAGGAGGTACCACAAAGATCTTCATTATCTTTGTTGTGCTGGACAGACCTGGACCTCCTGTTGGTCCTGTTGCGATTGGAGAAGTCGGTGAGACGACAGTGTGTCTGAAATGGGCTCCCCCAGAGTATGATGGTGGCAGTCCTGTTACCAACTATGTTGTTCTGAAACGTGAAACCAGCACTCCTACCTGGGCAGAGGTGTCAACAAGCATTGCCAGAAGCGCGATCAAGGTGACTAAGCTGACCAAGGGAGAGGAGTATCAGTTCAGAATCAAGGCTCAGAATCGCTATGGTGTCAGCGACCACATTGACAGCAAATCAGTCATGATAAAGCTTCCATACAGTAAGTCAGGCCATTTGAATACATTCTAATGTAGCTTTCATTATCCTGTTCCCTGAATGAACATGGCTGAACATCGCCATAGTGTGTGTGTGTGTGTGTGTGTGTGTGTGTGTGGGGGGGGTGTCTTATGATGATACAACTTTTGTTTCATGGGTGATGAATTATTTGGAATAAACACTTACATGATTGCTGTCCATTACAGCCATCCCAGGACCTCCATCCACACCATGGGTCAGCTATGTATCTAGAGAGAGCCTGACAGTCTGCTGGAATGAGCCAGTTACTGATGGTGGAAACCCTGTGATAGGATATCATCTTCAGATGAAGGAGAGGAGCAGCATCCTCTGGCAGAAGGTCAATAAGACAGCTATCCCAGGAAACCAGTGGCGAGTTACAAACGTCTGCCCTGGCCTTATCTATGAATTCAAGGTGGCAGCTGAAAATGCGGCTGGTATTGGAAAGATGAGCAAGACCTCTGAGGAGGTGCTTGCTATTGATGCCTGTGGTAAGTGCTTTTAATTTGAATCTCTATGTGTAGTTTTAAGGGGACACACAACCTTAAATAATATGAGCTTGCACTAAGAATCCTCTTTACTGGTGTTTCATAAAAATCTTTCTTACTTTAATGTTACAGAGCCCCCAGCAAGCATCCGTGTCACAGAAGTCACTAAGAACTCCATCAGTCTGGCCTGGCAGAGGCCTCCATATGATGGTGGCAGCAAGATTACCGGCTACAGTGTGGAGAGGAGAGAAGCTCCCAATGGGAGATGGGTGAAGGCCAACTTTACAAACATCATTGAGATGGGCTTCACTGTATCTGGACTGACCCAGGATGAGTCTTATGAATTCAGAGTATATGCCAAGAATGCTGTTGGGTCTGTCAGCAATCCGTCTCTCATTGTTGGCCCAGTCACTTGTATCGACGCATGTGGTGAGTTTTTGATTTATATCTATGGTTACTTTTGTTGTTTATTTTTATTGGATTTATTTAAATACATTACTTATATTAATATCTTATGTCCCACAGGTGCCCCAGCCATTGACCTTCCACCAGAGTATCTGGATGTGGTTCAGTACAAGGCCGGAGTGTCAGTTAAACTCAGAGTTGGAATCATTGCCAAGCCTCTGCCAACCATTGAGTGGCTCAAGAATGGAAAGGAGCTGGTGGCATCTTCTACTGTGTCTGTTGAAAATTCCACAGACTCTTCTGCTGTTCTGATCAAGGATGCAACTCGCCTTGATACAGGCTCATACGAGATCAAGATCAAAAATGTTCTCGGATCAGCATCTGCAACCATCAGGATTGAAATCCTGGGTATGCAGAAATTTATGATTCACACTTTGACATTTACACAATTCTGAATTCCTTTTCAGTTTGAATTGAGGACCTCTTATTTTATGCAACTTACATCATCTCTGTTTTTTATGTTCATATGCTCTTCCTTTTTTTTGTTACCTCCCCTTAGACAAACCCGGACCCCCAGCTGGCATCATTAACTTCAACCTCATCACAGCAGATAAGATGATCTTCTGCTGGGAACCCGTGCCTGAGTCTGATCAGGGAGGTTCCAAAGTGACCCATTACATTGTTGAGCGGCGTGAAACCAGCCGAGTGGTCTGGTCGACAGTTTCAGACAAGCATGAGCAAACACACGTCACTGTCGGCAAGCTTGTGCGTGGAAATGAATATGTGTTCCGCGTCGTGGGTGTTAATAAGTTTGGAGTTGGAGAACCACTGGAGTCAGAGCCTGTCATCGCTAAGAATGCCTTTGGTAAGCTTTGTGGCTGTGGAGTGCTGAATATGATGGTAAAAGTGAATAAGTCATATTGAGTGACATGAAGGCCGGTCGTTTCTTACTTAGTGAACACCATATGGTTTTTCTTAAATTTTTAACACGATTTTTAACACGATTTATCTTGACATTTTCATTTCCTTAACATATTTGTTGTCCATTTGTATAGTAACTCCTGGCCAGCCTCATACTCCTGAGGTGAATATCATCACCAAGTCCACCATGGTGGTAGAATGGGACAAACCAGGTGTAGATGGAGGTAGCGCAGTGACTGGCTACTACCTCGAGAGACGTGACAAGAAGAGCTTGCGCTGGATCAGGGTTTACAAAGACCCTATAACTGACATCAAACAGACTGTCTACCACCTGACAGAAGGAAATGAGTACCAATATCGCATCTGTGCCATTAACAAGGCTGGAGAGGGGCCGTTCTCCGATGCATCGGACTACTACAAGGCTGCTGACCCAGTTGGTAAGTTGTCTAACAACACAGATTTCCCAAAAAAACAAACCAGATAAATGTGCAGCTCCACTAATAGATATTTTATTAACAGACCCACCAGATGAGCCTTGCAAGCTGAAAGTGGTTGACTCCACCAAGACATCCATCACCTTGGGTTGGTCCAAGCCAGAATGGGATGGAGGCAGTGAGGTCACCAGCTACATGTTGGAGAAGCTTGTTGAGGGAGAGACAGAATGGGCTATGATTACCTCCAAGGGAGAGGTCAAGACAACAGAGTACACAGTTCATGACTTAAAACCAGATGTCAACTACTTCTTCAGAGTTTCTGCTGTGAATTGTGCTGGCCGTGGAGAGCCTCTGGAGATGACTGAACCTGTACAGGCTAAGGATATCTTGGGTAAATTTGTCACTCATATTGAAAATATGAAGTGTGATGACAACACTATGTCTTGTTTTGTTCTTATCTGCCTCACATATAGCAGCCCCTGTGTGACCATGAATATTTTTCTTGATTTTCACAGAGGAGGCCCAGATTGACTCAGATGTGGCCATGAGAACTCACTACATTGTGAAAGCTGGCAAGGATGTGGAGCTTTCTGTTCCTCTGAAGGGCAGACCTGCTCCCACTGCTTCGTGGAGCAAGGGAGAGGAATGCATTGATCGCAATCCCAAATATGAGTTCCACCACTCAGACACAACCACAGTCCTTGTTATGCGTGAAGTGACCAGGCTGGATACTGGAAAGTACACAGTCAAGATAGAGAATGGTGTGGGAGAGCCCAAGACACTGACCCTATCCGTGAAAGTACAGGACACCCCAGCTCAGTGCAGAAACCTGGTCCTGAAGGACGTGACCCGTGGAAAGGTGACTCTCTGCTGGGAGCCTCCACTCGTTGACGGTGGTGCTGAGATCACAAACTACATTGTTGAGAAGAGGGACTCCTCCAAGAGATCCTATTCTGCAGTGACAAGCAAATGCACAGACACAACATACACCATTGAAGATCTCTCTGAGAAGACATCCTTCTTCTTCCGTGTGTTAGCAGAGAATGAGAATGGTGTTGGGGATCCATGTGACACACTTGAGCCTGTGAAGGCCACAGAGACTCCAGGACCAGTCAAGGAGGTCTCTATGAAGGATTCATCAAAGACATCTGTTACTCTGCAGTGGCTGAAGCCTGATTATGATGGTGGCAGCATCATCTCTGACTACGTCATTGAGAAGAAGCTTAAGGATGAGGAATGGTCTCTGGGAGGAACCAGCAGACAATGTGAGTTTGAGGTCAAGAAACTCAAGGAGCATTCCGACATGTTCTTCAGAGTTGCCGCCAGGAACGAGAAGGGACAGGGCGACTTTGTTGAGATTGGGGCTATCAAAGTCATTGACTACATAATCACACCTGAGGCATGCCTTGCAGAGTACCCAGATGGCAGCATCAGTGTTCGCCTGGGTCACAATGTGCACATTGAGCTGCCATACAAAGGCAAACCCAGACCTGCTATTCTGTGGCTGAAGGACAACCTGCCCCTTAAGGAGAGTGACCAAGTACGCTTCAAGAAGACAGAGAACAAAGCAACTCTGATGATTAAGAATGTGAAGAAGGAGAATGAGGGTAAATACACCCTGACCCTTGACAATAAGGTCAACAGGAGATCCTTCCACATCCACGTCATCACACTTGGACCACCCTCAAAACCTGTTGGACCCATCCGACTGGATGAAGTGAGAGCTGAGAGCATCATGATCTCCTGGGATGAACCCAATGATGATGGCGGTGGAAATATCACCTGCTACACTGTGGAGAAGCGTGACACCTCCCAGACTGCCTGGAAGATGGCCTGCTCCAGTGTAAAGGACACTCAGTTCAAGGTCCCCAACCTGATCAAGGGTGTACAGTACCAGTTCAGAGTGTGTGCTGAGAACAGATATGGTGCCAGTGAGCCTCTGATCTCACAGATGGTCATTGCCAAGCACCAGTTCAGGCCTCCAGGCCCACCGGGCAAGCCTGTTGTGTACAACATCACCAACGATGGCATGACCATCCAGTGGGAGCAGCCCATCTATGACGGTGGAACCCCCATTCAGGGCTTCCATGTGGAGAAGAAGGAAAAGAACAGCATCATGTGGCAAAAGGTGAACACTATGCTGGTCAAAGAAACAGAGTACAGGATTTTGGAACTCATTGAAGGCCTTGAGTACTCCTTCAGAGTCTACGCCCAGAATGATGCTGGCTTCAGCCGAATGAGTGATGAGAGCAAGCCAACCATGGCTGTCAGTCCTGTTGGTGAGTGCAGAGTCCAGACAATGATATTATTCTCTTTGCTTACACTTCAAACACACAGCATATTTATACTGAGTTTATCATTTCAGTTATAAAACCTGACTATGATGTAGTACGAGTGAAAGCACTTTGACAAAAATAAGTTAAAGATGTATCTCATGTCTTTCAGATCCTCCTGGCCAGCCTGACTACACTGATGTGACTAGTGACTCAGTGACACTGAAATGGGATGCACCTAAGCGTGACGGTGGTAGCAAGATTACTGGCTACAACATTGAGAAACGCCAAGGACATGGCCGCTGGTTCAAGGCCAACTTGACCGACGTACATGAGTGCCAGCACACTGTCACTGGGTTGGCAACAAATGAACGCTATGAGTTCAGAGTCATCGCCAGAAATGCCATTGGTGTTGTCAGTCCTCCATCCAACTCATCTGGCTTGATTGTAGTCAGAAGTGAGAATGGTGAGTAATGACAGGACAGTAAGCCTAGAGGGTTGTAATATTAATTACAATATTATAAAATTATTATTATATTATTATTATGAAATCTCAGGACTGATAGGTAAATAATGAAGTTGATGAACATTGCTTTTGTTGCCGTTTAGTAACTGCTCACTGGCTAAAAGTAAAAGGCAGTGTAAACCAGCTTAGCTTTCTGAAAATTACATTGTTAAAACTCAATAATGCTAAACACTAATACCTCACATTTTTTTCAAAACCAGCTACTCCAAATATTGAGTTTGGCCCCGAGTACTTTGAGGGTTTGACAGTCAAGGCAGGAGACAACATCAGGCTGAAGGTAACCATCACTGGACGCCCAGTTCCGAAGGTCGTCTGGTACAGAGATGGTGTGGAAGTTACCAAAAAGATGATGGACATTATCAACGTAGCTGGATCCAGCACCTTGTTTGTCAGGGACGCTGACAGAACACACCGTGGCCTCTACACTGTGGAGGCTACCAATGGATCTGGAAGCAAGAAGGAGAACATCCTTGTTCAAGTCCAAGGTATTAAGTTTAGACATGTTTCTCTTTATATTACAGTACATTTTTTACACCATATTTAAATGTTTATGTTCTAACATCATTCTCATACACCTACGTGATACAGACACACCTGGGGAGCCAGTGGGACCCATCATTTTCAGTAGCATCTCAGAGGGCAAGTGCACTCTGTCTTGGAGCCCACCAGAGAACGACGGCTGCTCCGAGATTTCACATTATATAATTGAGAAGCGTGAGACTGCCAAGATCTCCTGGGCCTTGGTGTGTGATGAATGTAAGGAGTGCACCTTCAATGCAACCAAGCTCATCAAGACCAATGAGTACCAGTTCAGGGTCTCTGCTGTTAACAAGTTTGGAGTTGGCAGACCTTTGGAATCCACTCCCATCATTGCACAGATGCAATACAGTAAGTGGAAAAATTAAAAGGCTTTATATTTAATATTTCAGACAAAAGAAATTTAGATTTTGATTTCTTGTTTGATTTCTTATCTATTTTTGGTCAATACAAACATTGCACTTATCTACCTAAATTGTTTCCCCCCAGCTACTCCTGATGCTCCAGGTACTCCTGACGCCACTGAGGTGACAGGAGAGAGCATCACCCTGTCCTGGGCTCCTCCAACATCTGATGGAGGAAACCCCATTCAGTACTACATCATGGAAAAACGAGAAAAGAAGACTGTCCGGTTCTACAAAGTGATTACCAAGAAACCCATTGTTGAATGTGCTCACAAGGTGCTTCACCTGACAGAAGATATGGAATATGAGTTCCGTGTCATGGCCGTGAATGATGCTGGTGTTGGAGCCCCCAGCAACATCTCTATGCCTATCAAAGCTGCCGAACCAAAGGATATTCCCTGTGCTCCATCTGTGGTCTGTGTATCTGACTCCACCAATACATCCATCAGTCTGGAATGGAGCAGGCCTGCAGATGATGGAGGCATGGACATCCTGGGCTACATTATCGAGATGGTGAAGGGAGAAGAAACCGAATGGAAGAGAGTAAACGAGGAGCTGGTGGCAGAAACACACTATGTGGCAGCTGGTCTAGAGACAGGAGCTGAGTACAAGTTCCGTATCGCAGGTGTCAATCATGTGGGCAGAGGCGATGAAAAGGAGACTCCAGAACCTGCTCAGGCTGTAGATAGGTTAACACCACCACAGGTGGATATTGACGCCACCTTCAAGCAGACACACATTGTCAAGGCTGGAGGTTCAGTGTGCCTGGGCATTAACTTCAGAGGAAAACCCATTCCCACTGCCACCTGGATAAAAGAGGAAGGAGAGCTTGGTGTTATGACAGAGATCATAACCACAGATGGCTACAGTTCTCTAAGTATTGAAAGCTGCTCTAGAACTGATACAGGTAAATACACTGTTAACCTGGAGAATGCCAGTGGCAGCAAGGCCATTACATTCACTGTAAAGGTGATGGACACTCCTGGAGCTCCACAGGATGTTGCCTTCATGGAGGTATCCAGAGGCACGGTGACACTTACCTGGAAGCCTCCTCTCAATGACGGTGGTGCCCGAATCCATCACTATATTGTTGAGAGGCGTGAGGCTAGCCGCCGCACTTGGCAGCAGTCTGGTGGCAAGTGCACACAGCACATCCTGAGGATCCAGGACCTGCTTGAGGGAGTGCCATACTTCTTCAGAGTTTCAGCTGAGAACCAGCATGGTATGGGTGAAGCATTTGAACTGACAGAGCCTGTTATTGCCACTGCAGAGCCAGCATCTCCAAAGAGAATGGACATCCTGGACACCACAGACAGCTCTGTGTTACTGGGCTGGCTGAAACCTGAGCATGATGGTGGCAGCCGCATCCAGTGCTATGTCATTGAGGCAAAGCCAAAGGGTACAGACAAATGGGTTGTGGTTGGCAACACTAAGAATCTCACTTATGCAGTTGAAAAGCTCAACAAGGGTGATGAATATGACTTCCGTGTGAAGGCTAAGAATGAAGCCGGCTACAGCAAGCCCAGAGAGACTCTGGCTCCTGTGCTGGTCAAGGAGCCTCACATTGAACCTGCTGCTGACCTCAGTGAGATCACCAACCAGCTGATCACATGCAGGTCTGGCAGCACCTTCACCATTGAGGTTCCCATCAGTGGTAGACCTGCTCCTAAAGTCACCTGGAAGCTAGAGGAGATGAGGCTGAAGAGCTCAGACAGAGTCTCCATCAAAGTAACTAAGGACAGAACCAGCATCTCAGTCAAGGAGGCCATGAGAGGAGACGGTGGTAAATACTACCTGACTCTGGAGAATGTGGCAGGAACCAAGACCTTCACTGTTGAAGTTAATGTCACAGGTAGACCTAGTCCTCCAACTGGACCCATCGAAATCTCATCCATCACATCAGAGTCCTGCGTCGTTAACTGGCAACCACCAGAGGATGATGGTGGCACTGACATCACCAACTACATCGTAGAGAAGCGTGAGTCCGGTTCCACAGCCTGGCAGCTGATCAATTCCAGCGTAAAGCGCACAACTCTCCACGTTAGTCACCTGACCAAGTACATGCAGTACACATTCAGGGTGTCTGCTGAGAATAGATTTGGTGTCAGCAAGTCCACTGAGTCTGAGACTATTGTTGCAGAGCATCCTTTCAGTAAGTACTACTCCGTAACATTTTGACTTCACTACACCTATTGAATAATATTAATATTAAAAAACTGATGTTCTTAAACATTTCTTAAACTATTCATATAAAAATGCATGCCTTCTATTAAATCAGGCTGTAACTGAGGTGGCTGTGCTCAACAAAAAATTTAAAAAATCTAATTTTTTTTAATACAGCACCTCCTGGCCCACCAACAAGGCCTTCAGTCTTCAATGTCACTGCTAACACAATGACCCTGAAATGGGAGGAGCCCTATCATGATGGTGGAAGCAAGGTGACAGGCTACTGGATCGAGAAGAAGGAAAGGAATAATATCCTGTGGGTGAGGGAGAATAAGATCCCTTGCTTTGAGTGTTACTACAAGATGGAAGCTCTAGTTGAAGGCCTGGAGTACCAGTTCAGGGTTTATGCCATGAATAGTGCTGGGCTGAGCAAAGCCAGCGAGGCTTCCAAGGGAGCAGTTGCTCAAAACCCAGTTGGTGAGTTTTGATACAGTTTAGTATCACACTACCTAGTGTCTTACTTAATACTCCATTGCTCTGTCTCTGACAAACATTTTTGATCTGTTATGTAGATCCACCAAGTAAGCCAGAAGTCACAAATGTCACAAGAACCACAGTCTCCCTCAAATGGTCGGCTCCACTGAATGATGGCGGCAGTCCCATTGTGGGCTACATCATCGAGCGTAAGCCGTACACTTTGACTGGTGAGGGCCGCTGGCTCAAGTGTAACTACACCAATGTGACAGACAACTTCTACACCGTCACTGCCCTGGGAGAAGGAGAACCCTATGAGTTTAGAATCATTGCCAAGAATGCCAACCAGGTCTTCAGTATACCCTCAGAGTCTACTGGATCTGTGCAGTGCAAGACCGACTTTGGTAAGAACTTCGTCTGTGACTGGGATACAATACATTACAGCATAATTTCACACTTTGGAGTTTTAGATAAATTTTAAATAAAATGACAGTAAGATGAAACTGTCTCATGATTCCTGTTAAATCAGTGTGAACAACACCATCAGACTTTATCATGTAGATTTCATTGAATGTGAATATATTAGTTTCAGCAAAGGAGTACTGTACTTTCAAGAAATTGTTTCATAACCACGTACTTTCTATCCAATTAACAGAACCTCCAAAAGCCCAGCTGGACAGCAAACTCTTGTCTGAAACTGTGATGGTCAGAGCTGGTTCAGACCTGGTTCTGGATGCTGCAGTAGGAGGCAGGCCTGACCCCAAGGCTTCCTGGTCCAAGGGCAACAGGGAGCTGGAGTTGTGCGAAAAGTACCACCTGCAGTACACTGCCACCAAGGCGATGGCCATCATCAAATTCTGTGACAGAGATGACACAGGAAAGTACATCCTCACGGTCAGGAATGTAAGCGGAACCAAAACTGCTGAGGTCAACGTCAAGGTGCTTGGTAAGAACCTTTTTACTTTTCACCAATTTAATTCAGTACATTTGCAGATTACACTAGAAGCATTCATGTGACGCAGTTAGGCAAAGCAACATACCATGAGTGCATACATTTCTTCCAGATACACCTGGAGTTTGTGAAGGCAGCATTGAGATCAGCAAAATCACTGAAGAGTCATGCACCCTGAGCTGGAAGCCTCCTGTTGAGGATGGTGGCGATGAGGTTGCCCACTACATTGTGGAGAGGCGTGACACCAACAGGCTCAACTGGGTCATCATGCATGCCGAGTGCAAGAAGCTGACCTGCAACATCACCGGCCTTTTTAAGAACACAGAGTACCTGTTCAGAGTCCGGGGAGTCAACAAATATGGAGCCGGAGTCCACCTACAGTCAGCCCCCATGGTCGCCAGAAACACTTTCAGTAAGTGCTTTTAAAAGCATAATTGTTCGTAAAGTATTAAAGTGACTGTGAAAATGAAGCCACAAATTAAATCTTCACAACCTCTAACACTCAACTGCTCTTCCACTTTGTCTTCCTCCAGCTGTGCCAACTCCTCCTGGTACTCCAGAGATCTTGGCATCAGGAAAGGACTTCGCCACCATCGAGTGGCTGAAGCCAGAGAGTGATGGTGGCAGCCCGCTGATCCACTACCTGGTGGAGAGGCGTGAGAGAAAGAGTGCCCGCTGGGTGAAGGTGAACAGGGATGGAGCTAATCTGGACACCACACTGAAGGTGTCTGGTTTGACTGAAGGCAACATCTACCAGTTCAGAGTGACGGCCATCAACAAAGCTGGAGAGAGTGAAGCCAGCGAGGTTTCTCTGTATGTCGTCTGCAGAGTGCCAACATGTAAGTCCTGTTTGTTGAAGTATACATAGCTAACATTACATGTAACTGAAGATCTGACTGATGATCTATGGAACTTAACATCCTCTCTTCTCAGGCACCCCTGCTCCTCCTTCTATCCCTCGTATCACCGACACTCATGCAGACAGCATCAGCTTGGCCTGGTCCCGCCCCGTGGAGGATGGAGGAGCTGATGTGATGGGCTACATCCTTGAGATGCAGGAAGCTGGAGCGGAGGCATGGAGCAAGGCCCATGAAAAGACCCTGCGTACTTCAGAGTATGTGGTGACTGGACTTTCTGCAGGCAAGAAGTACTGCTTCAGAGTGGCTGGCATCAATATCAATGGTGCAGGAGACTTCAGTGAACCCTGTGCCGAGACTGAGCCAGTGGAGAGAATTGGTAAGTCATCTAGAAAACAAGACAAGAACTTGACATACAAAAATTGCAAACTTTGGTTTCTTCTTCTAATACATAAAAATTCATTTGCAAGTCTTTCATGATGCGGTATGTATCACTAACATGACAAGTTATTTATTAATCATCCCGTCCTCTCACACAGAAACCCCTGACTTTGAGCTCCACGATGACCTAAAAAAGACAATCTGCCTACGTGCTGGTGGCTCCCTCCGCCTATTTGTCAATATCACTGGTCGTCCCACTCCTGCCATCACTTGGAGCAAGCCAGGTGTTGACCTCCACAACAGAGGCTTCATCGAGGTCACCAACACGTCCACCACACTCATCATTGATAAGGTCCACCGCTACGATGCTGGCAAGTACACGCTGGTGGCTGAGAACTCTGCAGGGAAACAGGAAGTCAACATTCTGGTCAAGGTCTATGGTAAGTTGATGTAAATGTCTGCACTTCACAGACACACACTACAGTATATGCTGGTATATACTACACAGGGAAATACTGAGATTCTTTAAAAGTTTTGCCATTGATTTAATTTTATGTGATACAGTAGCTTTTGGGAAATTTTATATTTTAACTTGAGGAATTAATTTTTATTTTTAGATACTCCTGGACCAACTGGACCAATCAAGTTCAAGGAGTTGACCAAAGATTCTGCCACCATCTCTTGGGAAGCCCCAGCTGTAGATGGTGGTGCTCCTGTCAACAACTACATCATTGAGAGGCGTGAGGCTTCCATGAGAGCCTATAAAACCATCACCGCCAAGTGTAGCAAGACATCCTACAAGATTGATGGCCTGATGGAGGGCATGCTGTACTACTTCCGGGTCCTCCCTGAGAACATTTATGGAATTGGAGAGCCCTGTGAGACTCCCGATGTGATCCTGGTTTGTGAGGTGCCTTTGTCACCACACAAGCTGGAGGTGATTGATGTCACCAAGAGCACCGTTACCCTGGGATGGGAGAAGCCTGAGCATGACGGTGGCAGCAGATTGACAGGCTATGTCATTGAGGCCTGCAAGTTTGGCACCGACAAGTGGATGAAGGTGGCCACACTGAAGCTCACTGACTTTGAGCACACCATTGAGAAGCTGAATGAGAAGGAACAGTACTTGTTCAGAATCAGAGCGATCAACAGCAGGGGAGCCAGTGAGCCCAAAGAGCTTGTTAGCCCCATCACTGTACAGGAACAGAGAGGTAACAGACCAAGGAAAAAGCATGAAAATAAAAAAATGCATTGTGACAATACTTTGGCTATTTGACAAAAATGGGTTTGAAAGAGTTAAAAGTAGGACATGAGGTTGATTTTCTTGGCTCTGTATGATATTATAACATGCTGAAGATTTTCTGTTGAGCAGAAACTATTAGTGTCATCACATCTCAGTTCACAATCTATTTCTCAACTGTTGTTAACTGTGATTACATTATTTTTTTATCTCTCTTTTTCCTTTCCAGTGATGCCCGTGGTGGACTTCTCCAGTATTCCTCAGAAGGTTGTCAATGTCTTGGCCGGTAAGACTCTGGAGTTGGACCTGCCCATCATTGGCAGGCCTCCTCCCGTCTGCTCCTGGATCTTCCATGACACTAAGATGAAAATTACAGACCGTGTCAAAATTAAGAGCACCGGCAAGTTCTCCAAATTGACCGTGTCCGACACCACCATTGACGACACTGGTGACTACACCCTGGAGGTGAAGAATGTCGTTGGTGTCATCACAGAGGTCATCAAGGTCATCATCCTCTGTAAGAAACCATCTCCCCTTTGCTGTTTTTGTTTCACTATTTATTGATGTTGGTTATCAATAGTTAAGTTCTAGTTTGACAATATTACAGACAATAGCAAGTATTTTATTAACACTTACCTTTTAGTCAAACTGACTAACAATTTATTTTATTAATCCCACTTCACTAGCTAAACCTGATGAACCAAGTGGATCCGTCAGGTTTGATGAGATTGATGCAACATCCGTCACCTGCAGCTGGGATCCTCCAGTAAGAGACGGTGGAGCTCCCATCAGTGGCTATGTAGTGGAGCAGCGTGATGCTCACAGACCTGGCTGGGTGCCTGTCAGTGACTCTGTTAGCCGACCAACCTTCAAGTTTGTGAACCTGATTGAGGGAGATGAGTACGTCTTCCGCGCAGCTGCCGTGAATCGCTATGGCACCGGAGAGTTCCTACAGTCTGAGATTGTCACCTGCAGGAGCTTGAAGAGTAAGACTTGTTACATATTACTATACAGGCAGAAATACAGAAATACGACAGAGTTACGTAACACGTTTCCTCTTCCTCACAGATGTGCCTGGACCCCCTGGCCGTCCAACCATCTTTGATGTTTCTCGTGATGGCATGACCGTGGCCTGGAATCCACCAGATGAAGATGGTGGCCTTGATATTTCTGGATACATCATTGAGCGCAAAGAAGTGAGGTCTGACAGATGGGTGCGCGCCAACAAGAACCCCGTCACTATGACCAGATACAGGTCAACAGAGCTAATCGAGGGCCTGGAGTACGAACACAGAATCACTGCCATCAATGCCAGAGGACAGAGCAAACCAAGTCTGCCCTCCAAGCCAGCGGTAGCAACAGATCCCATCGGTAGGAGAAAAGTTTGAGAGAAAGCTTTGTTTTACATAATATATATATATATATATATATGTACATATATTGTTTCTAGATAATACTGTGAATTCATAATTACAGTGGGTGACAGCTAAAGTCTTAAATGGGCAAGTACAGACTCATATCTTTTGAAGCTGGAAATAATGACATGCTTTTCTTTCTTACTTAGATCCACCTGGCTGTCCTCAAAACCCAAGGATCACTGATACCACCAAGTCCTCTGTGTCTTTGGCTTGGAGTCCTCCTGATGATGAGGGAGACGCAAGAGTGGATGGTTACCTGATTGAGATGCAGAAGGTGGGCACTATGGCCTGGATCAAGTGCAACACCACACCATCTCTGATCTGCGAGTACACGCTGACCAGCATGCCACAAGGAGAAGAGTTCAAATTCCGTGTGATGGCCTGCAATGCCGGTGGCTCTGGAGAGCCTGCTGAAGTGCCTGGAACTGTCACTGTGACTGAGATGCTTGGTAAGGACACAGTGGTTACAGTAACTACTCTCACACTAAGATAATTTGTGTATGTTTAACATAGAATGAAACTGACTTTTGTAACTATCATTCTTCTCCAGAATCTCCTGACTATGACCTGGAGCTGAAATACAAAGATGTGTACGTGGTCCGCCAGGGAGGAGTGGTTAGACTTTCAGTACCCATTAAGGGTAAACCTCACCCAACCTGTAAGTGGTTGAAGGATAGCGGTGCAGTCTCCACCAAGGCCATGATTGCCTCCACCGAGGACGCCAGTGAGCTGGTGATCAAGGGAGCTGAAAGGAGCGACTCTGGTGTCTATGACCTCCTGCTGGAGAATAAGGTTGGCAAGAAGAAGGCCCAAATCAAGGTGAAGGTTATCGGACGGCCGAATGCTCCAGAGGGACCAATGGTCTTTGAGGAGATCCAGGCTGCATCTGTTAAAGTGTGCTGGAAGGCACCCACTGATGACGGTGGCTCAGAGATCCTGGGTTACATTGTGGAAAGACGTGAGGCAACCAGAAACGCCTGGTACACTGTGGACTCCAGAGTGACTGACACTCAATTGGTTGTTAAGGGCCTGAAGGAGGGAACAGAGTACCACTTCAAGGTCACGGCTGAAAACTCTTTTGGTATTAGTAACTCTCTGAAATCAGAGCAGCCACTGGTGCCCAAGACTCCTCTTTGTAAGTATTATACAATAATCTATAAAATTCCTCACTCTTAAGTGTCACCTGTATCATTCAGTGATGACTCAAAAAAAATCATCTGTGTTTTTAAAACCAGGTCCTCCTGAGCCTTCAAGCACCCCACCAGAGATCATGGATGTCACCAAGAGCTCTGTGGCATTGGCCTGGTCCAGACCAAAGGATGACGGTGGTTCTGCCATTACTGGCTACTTTGTTGAATACAAGGTGGTGTCCACTGAGTCATGGTCCCGCCACGAGACCAAGATCACTTCTACCATGTTTACTCTGCCTGGACTCACCCCTGACGCAGACTACCAGTTCCGCATTGTAGCTGTCAACGACATTGGTGAGAGTGAGGCTGGTCCTGTGTCTGACCCAGTCACATGCAAGGATCCATTCGGTGAGTCTTCTCCACTATAATAAAATCTAATCAACAATAACTGATAGCACTGTAATTACTAAAGTTGATGGAATTTTAATAGCCATGAGACAATTAGATCCCATAGATCCCATAGAACCCAAGTGAAATCAGTAGATCAAGACAACCTCCAATACTCACAACCAGATTCAAAAAAAGACACAGTGGTTATTTTTGGCATCCATAAGACACAACAAGCAGCTAACTAACTAATATTTGTTTCTTTTCTTCCAGACAAGCCAAGCCAACCAGGTGAGATCGACACTGTCAACGTCACAAAGAACTTCATCACTATCCGCTGGCAAGCTCCAGAGTGTGACGGTGGAAAGGAGGTCCTAGGCTACTGGGTGGAGTACAGGAAATCAATCGAGAGTACATGGAAGAAGTGCAACAAGCAGAGGCTGAAAGAAAAGGAGTTTACCATGCCTGGATTGGCTGAGGCCACAGAGTACGAGTTCAGAGTGTTTGCTGAAAATGAGACAGGAATGAGCAGACCTCGTAGGACTACCACATGCATCAAGACCAAACTGAGCGGTGAGTATACTGAATTATAGTGTGAAAATTTTTTAGCAGACATTTACCCAAATTGTTTTTCCAGAATGACTTCACCAAATAAATAACTGCTTCCTTGTTTTGTATTTATAGTTGAAACTAAACCAAGCCTGAGAAAGGAAATGGATGAAACAACAGCCAAGCTTGGCCAGCCTGCTGTCATGAAGTGCCAGATTATTGGCAGACCTGTTCCTGAAATCAAGTGGTATCATGCTGGCAAGGAGATTGTCGAGTCCCGCAAGTACGAGATGAGCTCTGATGGTCGCAACCACTCCCTGTCCATCATGACTGACGAGCAGGAAGATGAGGGAGAGTACACCTGCAAGGCCATCAATGACACCGGAGATGCCGAGACCACAGGCGTCCTGGTGTTGGAGGCTGCTTCATCCTTCCACCCAGATTACCCATTGAAAGAAACCTACTATGCTGGCCTGGGAACCACTTTACGCATCCATGCTGTCTACATTGGTCGTCCCGAGCCAAAGATCATGTGGCTACATGGGACAAAAACCCTGGAGAACACAGAAGATATCAGCATTGAGACCACAGAGCACTACACACACCTGGTCATTAAGAATGTGCAGCGCAGAGTCCATGGAGGAAAGTACAGGATCAGACTGCACAACCACTTTGGCAGGGCTGACACTGCGTTCAATGTTGAAATCTATGGTATGTTCACATAAATTATTGTAATTATTGTAGTGAGTACAGCAATACATGCATTTATAATAGTAAGTTATCCACTGAGTTATCAAATTTATAATGAATTAAATCTAATACATTTTTTCTTCATCACATTGACATTGTACTGCAACATTGATAACTTTTTCCAGATAAACCTGACGTGCCTCAGGGTCCCATTGTCCTGGACGCCCTCCTGAAGAACTCTGTCATCATTAGCTGGAAGCCACCCAAGGATGACGGAGGCTGCATGATCACCAACTACATTGTGGAGAAGCGTGAGGACAAGGAGGGCACAGAGTGGGAACTGGTGTCATCATCCATTAATGGCACATCTTGCCGCGTCCCTAACCTCATTGACAGTGCCGGATACTTCTTCCGAGTGTACGCCCAGAATCGCTATGGCAACAGTGAGCCATTGGAGCTCACATCACCAATTCTTATCAAGAGCCAACTGGGTAAGCTTAATATAATGTCAATTTATGTTTCAAAGTAGTTAATAAATGCATGTCTTAGAATGTAAGCATAGAACCGTAATACATCATATTAGGTTATTTGTAAAGAGATACCCAGGTACACTTTGCAAAAGTACTGACAATGGCTTCTAATTTACATATTCCTGTCCACAGAGAAACCATCACCACCTCTGTCACCAGTTGTGTCTGGAATCACCAAGGACTCCTGCGTTGTTTCCTGGAAGCCTCCACTCAGCGATGGTGGCTCCAAGATCAAGAGCTATTGTCTTGAGAAGAAGAACAAGAAGGACAAGAAGGAATGGACCGAATGGACTCCGGTGACCACAGACGAGATCAAACAGACAGTGTTCTCGGTCAAACGTCTGACCGAGGGCATCGAGTACATCTTCCGTGTGAAGTGCGAGAACCTTGGAGGGCAGAGTGACTACAGCGAGGAGACCACTCCCATCATTCCAGCCACAGCCGTCGACATCCGTGCTCCTGCCTTCAAGGAGGAGCTGAGGAACATGAGTGTCAAGTACAAGAGCAATGCTACCCTTGTCTGCAAGATCACAGGACAGCCCAAGCCTGTGATTAAATGGTTCAGACGAGGAAAGGAGATCCATTCTGACGGAAAGAAGATCAAGATCCAGGAGTTCAAGGGAGGTTACCACCAGCTGGTCATCACCGAGGCTGATGAAGAAGACTCCACTGTGTACCAGATCAGAGCCACCAACCAGGGAGGATCCATTTGTGCTACAGTCTCTCTGGATGTTGAAGGTAAGCTCAGATTTCTCTAACTATCATTACCACTGACTTGTACAAAATCAATACAACCATATTAAACAATTTTTAACATTCAAATAAAACATGACATCTCACTCAAGTAATTTCTCTAATTTCTAGTCCCTGCCAAGATCCACTTGCCAAAGAACCTGAAGGACAAGGAAGCCATCCCCGCCCTGCGTGGAGAGGTGGTCAATATCAAGATTCCTTTCGGTGGCAAACCAGATCCTGTCATTACATGGCAGAAGGGACAAGATCTCATTGACAGCAATGGCCACTACCAGGTCATTGTCACCAGGTCATTTACTTCTTTGGTGTTCCCCAACGGAGTGGAGAAGAAGGATGCTGGTTTCTACATTGTTTGTGCCAAGAACAGGTTTGGCATCGACCAGCAGACAGTTGAGCTGGATGTGGCTGATGTGCCTGATCCTCCACGTGGTATCAAAGCCAGTGATGTCTCCAGAGACTCAGTTTCACTGAACTGGGTGGCTCCAGCAAATGATGGCGGCAGCAAGGTCATCAGCTACATCATTGAGAAGTGCCCCACCACTGCTGAGAGGTGGGAGCGTGTTGCCCAGTCCCGTGACACCCGCTACACCGTAATCAATCTGTTTGGAGGAACTAGCTATCAGTTCAGAGTGATTGCTGAGAACAAGTTTGGACAGAGTGCTCCATCTGAGACCAGTGGACCTGTCATGACCAAGGAGGACAAATCTAGAGTTCTGCTCTACGACAGGGAGGTTGATGATACTGAACATGTCCCCAAGGGCAAGGCTCCAAACTCCGATGCCAAGAATCTGCACAACAAATATGCCATTGCAGAGGAACTGGGCAGAGGTCAATTTGGCATTGTCCATCGCTGTGTTGACATCAGCTCTGAGAAGACTTACATGGCTAAATTCGTCAAAGTGAGAGGAGCTGATCAAGCAGTAGTCAAGAAGGAAATTGCAACACTGAACCTGGCCAAACACACTAACTTCCTCCTCCTCCATGAGTCTTTCGACAGCCCTGAAGAGCTGGTGATGATCTATGACTTCATCTCTGGTGGTGATATATTTGAGCGCCTCAGCACAGCTGAGTTTGAGCTTAATGAGCGTGAGATTGTTAACTACATCAGACAGATCTGCTCAGCTCTTGAGTTCCTGCACGCTCAGAGCTATGGACACTTTGATATCAGACCAGAGAACATTGTGTACACAACCAGAACCAGCTCTAATGTGAAGATTATTGAGTTGGGCCAGTCCAGACATCTGACCCCTGGAGACCAAATCAAGGTTCAGTATACCACTGCAGAATATGCTGCCCCTGAGATCCACCAGTGTGATATGGTCAGCACTGTCACTGACATGTGGTCAGTTGGTGTCCTTGCCTATGTACTCCTCAGTGGACTTAATCCATTCACAGCTGAAACCAACCAACAGATGATTGACAACATCTCCAATGCAGCCTACAGCTATGATGACGAGTCCTTCATGCAGTTCAGCGTTGAGGCATTGGACTTCACAGACCGCCTAATGACAAAGGATCGCAAACATCGTATGACTGCTGCTGAGGCCCTGGCGCATCCTTGGCTCACCAAGCCTGTGGAAGAGATCAGCACCAGAGCGATCCCAACTGGCAGGCATAAGAGATACTACCAGACGATGGTGAGGAAAGAGTGGAGCACTGTTGTCTCTGCAGCCCGTGTGGCCAGCGGTGGCTCCATTAGGTCCCAGCGTGGCGTCTTTGTTGCTAAGGTGAAGATTGCTCCATTTGAACATGGTCCTCTTGCAGGCCAGATTTCCCATGCAGTGGTGAATGAAGGAGACAATGTGAAATTCATCTGCAACATTGACAACTATGATAGCACTACTGAAGTGACATGGTACTGTGGCGTCAGGCAGCTTGAAGCTGGCGACAAATATGAAATTGAATATGAGGATGGCCTGGCTGTAATCACCGTCAACAAGGTCACAAGAGCAGATGATGGCACTTACAGATGCAAGGTTGTGAACGAGTATGGTGAGGACAGTGCCTACGCAGAGCTGTTTATCAATGGCGTTAGATCTTACCGCGACTTCTTCACCACTCGTGTGGTCAAGAGAACAAAGCGCAGAGTTGACACTGCCAGAATGCTTCAGAAACCACCAGAGTTCACTCTTCCTCTGGTCAACCATACAGCCTACATTGGTGAGGATGTGCGCTTTGGCGTCACCATCACTGTTCACCCTGAGCCTCGCGTCATCTGGCATAAGTCAGGACAGAAACTTATCCCTGGACATGATGACAGGAAATACACTTTCATAAGTGACAAGGGTCTGTACCAGCTGATTATCCACAACCTCGACAATGAAGATGATGCTGAATACAGTGTCGTAGCCCGTAACAGGTATGGTGATGATAGCTGCAAGGCTCGTCTTACTGTTGTTCCTCGACCTAAACCAGCAGACCTCACCCTGAGGCCCATGTTCAAACGCCTGCTAGCAAATGTAGAGTGCAGGGAGGGCCAGAATGTGCGCTTTGAGATTAGAGTTTCCGGCCATCCAACACTGAAGTGGGAGAAGGATGGCACACCTCTAGCCTTTGGACCATCTATTGAGGTTGTTCATGAGGGTCTGGATTACTTCATCCTTCATGTGAGAGACACTCTTCCTGAGGACTCTGGCGTATACAGAGTTACAGCTACCAACTCCGCTGGATCTGCCAGTTGCCAGGCCACACTCAAAGTGGAGCGTGTCGCTCATGTGAAGAAGGATTATGAGACCAGTGAAAAGGAGAGGGAAAGGGTATCTGGAAAGGAGGAATTAGATAAAAAGGTGAGGCTGTCCCAGATTTTGGCAGGCACTGTTGTTACTCCTCTACCACCTGCAGCAGTACAAGCTGTAAGGGAGGCAGCCACCATGTTCAAACCTGCTGTGACAACTAAAAAGGGTGAGAAGACTGAGGCTGAGATAAAGAAAGAAAAAGAGGAGAGGAAGAAGCGTGCAGATGAGAAGAGGCTGCGTATGCCCTATGTCGTCCCAACTCCTCGTGTCATTAACCCAGCTGTTCTTGAGGAGGATGTAGAAATAAAACACTTCAAGCCATTCTCTGACATGAAATGGTACAAGAAGCTGCGGGATCAATATGAGTTCCCTGAGCCTATGGAGAAAATCAAGCAGAAGAGGATGAAGCGTATTCGCCTCTCCAGGTGGGAGCAGTTCTACGAGGTGCCAATCAGAATCAAGGACCAGTATAAGCCTAAGTGGCGCATCTCATCCATGACTCAGGATGACTTGGAGACTGTGAGGCCTGCAAGGCACCGCACTCCTTCCCCTGAGATGGATGCCTACCACAGGATCAGGAGGAGGTCCCTGGGTGACCTGTCAGATGAGGAACTGCTGCTGCCTGTGGACGAGTATCTGTCCATGAAGAGAACTGAGGAGGAGAGGCTTCGTCTGGAGGAAGAGCTGGAGCTTGGCTACTCTGTTTCTCCACCTAGCCTCAGCCCAGTGCGCTTTGAGCTGTCTACCCTACGTCCCTCATCTCCAAGAAGAGCCTACAGTGATGATGAAGAGGGAGAAGAGGTTCACAGATATGACTCCTACCGTATTCCATCTAAATACGAGGCTGGCCCAAGTTTCGTTGATCTCCGCCAGCGTCACGACAAAGCCACATATAAACCTCCGAGACAGAAGCAGAGGGTGCATGAAGAGAGAGAAGATCAGGAGCTGCTGCGCCCGCACACAACTGCTCAGAGAATCTCCTCCTACAAGAGTGAACTCAAACGTATGGAGTTTGAGGAGAAGACCCGAACCTCGAAAAGGGAAACAACTGTCACTGTTGCAAAGGTCTCTGAGAGCATTGAATCTGAGCACCTGACAGCCATCACTTCAGAATATATTCCTAAACCAATTAAGAAGCTCCCAATGCCTGAACCTGAGAGGAGAAGATCTCCTACCCCAGAAAAGACTGTGAAGACAGACATAGTCCTCCCCAAAGTTGACTTTGCATCCAGATATGAGGAGAGGAAACAGGCTTTGAGATCAGAGAGAAGATCAGTGGAGAGGAGGGTTGAGGTGGTGACACAGGCTCCCTTCAGCCTTGACCACGCCCCACGTATTACTATCAGGTTGAGATCTCATCGCGTACCCTATGGCACCAACACAAGGTTTACCCTTAATGTCCAGGCCAAACCAGAACCAGAAGTCAAGTGGTTCCACAATGGAAAAGAGATTCATCAGAGCAGCAAATACCACATGACCAATATCAGTGGAGTTCTGACCCTCCAGATCATCAACTGTGTGACTGAAGATGCTGGCACTTACCGTGTGGTCTGCAAGAACGGCAAAGGAGATACTTCTGACTATGCCACATTAGATGTAGCAGGAGCAGAATATGCTGCCTTCTCTTCACTCCGCAGAGATGAGGAGCCTCCATCCTCCCATCTGCCAGAAATGACCAGAACAGAGGTGTATCATGTCTCCTCCTCTAAGACAACAGTGAAGGAAACTGTGACAGAAACTGTGAAAGAGACCACCGCTGAGAAGCCAAGGGAGAAGCCTAGTGTTCCTGCCAAGATCCTGACCAAACCACAGTCTCTGACTGTAGAGGAGGGAGACCTCGCCAGATTTGAGTGTGATGTGGCTGGCGAACCTGCGCCGTCTATCACCTGGATGCATGAAGGAGCAGTTGTCGGTTCCTCTGCCCGTCACCACATTGTCTCCACTCAATACAACTCCTCCTTTGAGATCGCCGCTGTTGAGATGTCGGATGAAGGCAGCTACACTCTGCAGGTGGAAAATGCTGGAGGCAAACAAGAGGCCCATTTCACTCTTACGATCCGTAAATCTGAGTCCAAGGAAAAAGTAGTTGCCCCTCCCAGAGTCACCTCTCCAGAGGCAAAATCCCCTCTTGCTAAATCCCCTGAACCTGTGAAATCTCCTCAGAGAGTGAAGTCTCCTGAGCCAATCAAGTCACCTCAGAGAGTGAAGTCTCCAGTCTCACCAAAATCCCCTACTCCAAAATCCCCAACACCAAAGTCCCCTACTCCAAAATCCCCAACTCCATCTGAGAAGGAACGAGTGACCTCTCCAATCAAGTCACCAAAGAGAGTGATGTCACCAACTCTTGAAAAGAAGCCAGCCTTCTCTGTCAGTCTGAGCGACGTCACTGCAACCTCTGACTCTATTGTCAAGCTGTCAGTGAAGGTGACAGGAGAGCCCAAACCTGCAATCTCATGGTTGAAGAACGGAAAGGTAACATTATAATACATTAACTATTCTACTGTTGGTTTCCGATTATTAATAGATAAAATAAGACCCAAAAGTGACATATTTCCATTGGTTGGTAACTGAATCATATTTTAATGATTGACAGGCTCTGTCTCAGGGTGGGAAGTATGAAATTTTTGAGGAGTATGGCTCAGCTTACCTTGAGATCTATGAATCAGAAGTCTCTGATAGCGGGGAGTACAAGTGCACTGCAACTAACAGTGCTGGAGTAGTGTCAACAACCTGCACAGTCACTGTACGAGGTAAGATAACACCTGCTTGTGGAAACACTTTTTAACCTGAAGCTAAAAACATTCAAACTGTTTCTTACCTCAAAATACACTTATTTCTGTTTCAGGCTCAAAAATCTCTGAGGAGGTTGTGAAAAAGGAAATGGTCCATGAGGAGGTCCTGTCCTCTGTGAGGGAGGTCAAGTCCTCCCACAGCCAAATGTCCATTACAGAGGGCCAGTCTCTGACTCTGAGGGCCAACATCCCTGGGGCCTCTGACATCAGGTGGATCCTGAATGGGGTTGAACTGGCCAGTTCAGAGCAATACAGATACGGAGTGTCTGGAAACGAGCAGACCCTGACCATCAGGTCAGTTGGCCAGAGCGAGCAAGGGATCATCACGTGTCAGGCTCAAACACAGCAAGGCCTGGTCCGGTGTCAGTTTGATACTGTGCTCTCAGCCAAGCGCTCAGATGCACCCCACTTCCTGGTGCAGCCCAGGTCCCAGAATGTGAATGAAGGAGAAAATGTCAAGTTCACATGTGAACTTGCAGGAGAGCCTTCACCTGAGGTGGAGTGGTTGAAAGACAACATGATTGTGAGTAGTTTTCTCCAGAAAGTTCTGTTTGGTTAATCAAGCTGCAGGGATCTGTTTTAGGATAAATGAAACAATCAAAGCCTGTAGCTGATGTAACACAACTCTCTCTCTTTGCAGATGTCTGTCACATCAAACATTAGACTGAGCTGCTCTAAAAATGTGTACACTCTGGAGATCTGTGAAGCCACAGTTGCAGACAGTGGGAAATACACGATAAAAGCCAAAAATCTTTTTGGACAGTGCTCTGCAACATCGTCCCTCAACGTCCTCAGTAAGTTTTTACTGCATTCAACTAACACAATTAAACACACTGTGTCTCAGTGTGTTTAATTGGCTTGGATACTGAAATCTGTGATGAAAAATGACTTGGATTGCACCAAATTGTGCCAAAGCAAACATCTTAAATCTAATTCAACATTCAAACCCTTAAATGGAAATCCAAGGCACTTTAACACCCCGGCTTACACTCTGTGTTTGACGACACTGCATACACAGTTGCATACAGTATACTGTGGTTGTGGATATATGTGATATGAGCCATGTGCTTGTCATTTGCATTCTCAGCTCTTGTTGAAGAACCAACAAAAATGATTATTGTGGAGCAAAGAGCTTCTACTGATGCTGCTGCCAGCATGCAGAAAGGTTTCTCAGCCTCGTCAGTTCATATGGAGACGGCTTCCATGCAGGCCAGCAGTCGCAGCAGCAGCAGCAGCTCCCGCTCTGCAGCTGCCCAGTACTCGTTTGAGAGCATGTCTGCGAGTAGCATGTCTGCCATGATGGCTGAGTCACTGGTTTCCATTAGCTCCAGCAGCCAAATGATGGAAATGTCTGCTCACTCGCATGTTGAGGCCTCCTCTTCCTCCTCCTCCTCGCTGAGGGCCCTCACCACTGGGGTTAAAAGAGGTGAGACGTATTTTACAAGTTGCCTGAATCAGTATGTAACTTGCTCTTACAGCAACACAGGAGATGGGCCTTGAATGATCTGAGCATCTTAGTGAGTACAGAATGTGAAGACGAATGTGATGTGAGAAGTCCCACTTGGTTAAAGAAGAGGTCCTCTCATGTAATCTTCAGTTCACATTTGAGAGTTTAGCCTTAATGTTTCCATTCCAGTCACAAGAAATAAGCCTCTGTTTTAATCAAAAATAAAAACCTGTTTGTTGGAAAGGTACACCTTCTTCTGTGCTGTGAAAAATAATTACTCGGTTGCAATAAAGTAAAAAAAAAAAAAATCATAGGTAGCCAACTTGGCAGGCTACTGTGGCTGAATAGCACTAGCATGTTCCAGGCTAGGTAGCATGTTACTGGTTAGCTTGCAAGCTACAGTAGCCCACCAAAACTGGAGATACATGCAAATACAGGGTCAATAAGAACTCCATTATATGTGAAAATATTAAATAATAGTAAATAAAATGAATAAAGTCAATGACTGTGATAAGGAAACATTTGTTCTCTACTTCTAAATCTATAAGGATGTCAGAAATCATTAAACAACCCTGCTGGTTTTCAACGTGTTCATACTGATGATGATTTGGCATGTTTCTGTGACTGCAATGTGAACATCAGTGAAGGCGTGAAAGCAATGACTAAATGAAAGAAACTACCAGAGGTTTGTATGAGACTTGTATTTTCACAGATGTAAACCTTCCATCACTGACCTCGTTCCTCTTCGTTAACAGGCACTCCACCAAAGATCGAAGCCCTTCCACAGGATGTCAGTGCTGAGCCAGGGAAGTCCCTGACGGTGGCAGGGGTGTTCTCCGGAGACCCCGCCCCCTGCATCCAGTGGGTCCGCTCCGGTCGGACCCTTCCCAACGGGGACGAGCGGTACCACGTGGAGAACACCGCTGACCTCTCCACTCTCGTGATCTCTGCGGTGAAGGAGGACGACGCCGGAGCATACACACTCCGACTGAACAACGAGCTCGGCTCCGACTCGGCAACTGTCAACATTCACATTCGGTCCATGTAAAAAAAAGAAGAAGAAAAAAAAAAGATAATTTATATCCCCCGTTTCCCTGATCCAGAACCTTTTTATTTAGTGAATTAGCAACGATAATCTACTTGATAAAGATCTGGGTTTCTGTTCTTGTAAATATGAACTATTTTTGTACCAATCTTGACATTAATTTATGCCAAACTAGACTAAAGTCTAAAGTTGTTATAAAATGTGCCATATTGGACAATTATGACTTAGGATTTTTGAACCACTTTTCTGTGACATGTACATAATGTATATAGCCGAATTTAACGGTTATGGGAAATGTATGCATTGTTATTTATGACAATAATATTAACTGAAACAAAAGAACAAATGTTTTAACAGGAGAAAGTTTCACCAGGAACGAATACCCTGTCAAACCAAGAAACTAAACTCTGTGCCTCAACAATAAGTTGAAGTCTGTAAGATTGCCTCAACAGGTGGAGAGGCTCCCTGTTGATGTTCTGAACCAGAAACAGAAAGACAAAGTTATTGTTTTGGACACGCATCTGTGCGTGTGATATTTCCTATGAGTTGTACCATGAGCATAAGACCCTGAGTGCTGTTTGCATTACCCTCATGTAAGCAGCATGAACTGGCCTTGTGCTCAGACTGACTGAGTCACACCACCATGATTTGATGACCTGCTGAGAGCGCGAGCGGCCTGCACTCTCAGCATTTAGATCATTTTAATAAGGAGCGCTGCTTCTGTCACAGAACAGCCGGATTGGCTTTTCAAAACATAACATCTCCTGGCCTTAAAAGAAGAAAGTCAAGGCCGGTTCTGCTGTGCAGAAGCAGCGCTGTCTCTTGGAGGATAGTTAGGTAACCTGTTTGTGTGTTTGAGTGCGAGTGTTTTTAGCTTGTAGATCTTTCACTTGTCAGTAGTCAGGGTCTTCTTCATTCACCACAGTGATTCCATCTGCTGTGAAAGAGACAAAGAGAAGAGCAGTTATGTTTTACCCTGCACTTTGATTTAATTGATCTGTTGATGTAGAACTATATTTCATCCTCCTTGAGTTTTATGCATTACTGATTTAATAAAGCATGATTTCAGCACTACACTCACATTGTCTCCTTGTGTTTGTGTCTCTGGTGTGTTTCCTGTTCTCATGTTGATCAGTGGTAGAAGATAACTAAGTGCATTCAATCATCTACTGTACTGAAGAAATAGAAGTACTCTACTTGAGTATTTCCATTTTATGCTACTTTATACTTTCTGAGGAGAATAATTAATTAAATCACATTTATGTGTGTTGGAAAAATTGTGATACTTTATGATTAACATAACCATCTTAAGGGGAAACTGTATTATCTTGAATAGAACTTTTTATTATACCGATTACTCTTCAGAGTTATAAAACAGCATATAACATACAACACATAATCGAAGTTCACACCTTTCTAAAGTTGGAAGGCAGTGATGAAGTGTGGTCGTGGTAAACTCAGCAAACATTAAAACTGAATGAATCTTAATTTATTTCTAAACCTTCAAACACAGACTTTATATCAGACCATGGTCTCCGTGATGAATCCTCTGCCTCATCTTTATCTGACGTCCCCAGCGTTAGGACACTGACAGGTTCAAACATGGCTGACAGTGTGGGCTGTGATTGGTTTTTCTCCTGTGATGGACACAGTGCATGGTCTATCACATTTTCAAAATAAGAGAAAATTCATTCCCTGACTAAAAGCTGCTTCAAAATAAAAGTACTTTATATAAATGAAGTACAGTCAGAGGTACAATATGTCTTTATCTTTATATTATTTCTAAAAAATAAAGCTAGAATTACCACCTCACAGATGTAAGCTTCTGCCAAAACACTTCTCTCAAGATACTGCATGCACAGGGCCAAAACTGCGTTTTGTGAGGTCACACTGACCTTGATCTTTGAACACCAAAATCGAATCAGTTCGTCCTTGAGTCCAAATGAATGTTTGTGCCAAATTTGAAGAAACTCCTTCAAGGTGTTACTGAGATATCGTGTCCACGAGTTAAGACGGACAACCGAAAACGGTATGGCTCCAGCTCCGACGGCCGTCGTTGCAGAGGAATAATAAAATTCAAGTAAAGAAAATTTGCTGAAAAATGTACTGAAGTACAGTACTCAAGGTAATGTACTTTGTTACTGTCCACCCCACATTTCTTCCATACACTCAGTTATGATGCCACCGGTCTCTCATCTGCAGTCCCAATGAATCCCATCAATTCATGTAGACGTCCTCCATCACTGTCTGCTGGGCTGAATTTCTTTCCTGGTCCGACCATCAGGTCAAAGACAAGAGTTTTAACTTTACATATAGAACCTTTAAAATAAGCTGAGAGCAGCAGCCGAACCAACATCAGGGCTTGTCAACACCAACTGTGGATTCCTTTAGCATGTCGCCAAGACCGCCCTCAGACCTGATGTGGTTCTGGTGTGAGAACCAATGAAGAGCCATGACATGGAAAGAGCCCTTCGACACAGGAGGGAGAACTATGAGGGCGTATTCAGCAACTGCCACAGACAGAGCTGAAGGTGAGGTGCTTACCTGTGGAGGTCGGAGCAGGACAGTCCCTCTATGTTCAGCTTCAGGGGAGGAGGAGGAGGAGAGCCATCTACAACAACATGGAGGATGCAGAGGAAGCTGGATCTGGATCACCTGTGAGGGTCTGAAACACCTGATGACCTCAGGATACATCACTGATGATGAGCCCAGCATCAGCATACATTTCTATACAAACCCAGTATCTGTAATAAAAATCCAGTGATATATAAAACACCCACTGGACCATGTTTCCAGCATTAGGAGATATTTTACATTTAATATTTTAACTGCTTTTATTTGTAATGGAGTCATTTTACACAGATAATAAATAATAATAAAAGGCTCAGATTTTCATAAAACTTGATCATTCCCTCATTTAAAAAAAGACATTTTCATTTTATTACTACAGACCTGGTGATTCCATTTCAACAAGAAGCTTCTGTCGTAACATATCACATCATTTCTAGTTAAGACAAGAAACTTTCTTCTTTATATTGACAAACTTATTTCATTAAACTACAAGATCATATCTCAATGAGAAACTTTTTTTTGTCCGAGGAGAATGTTTGTGATATAAGAAGCTAAAGTTATGTTACAACAAGAATGGTTTCTTTTCAAAAGGTATATTTTGATATGAAGTAAATGGTGACATGACAAATATCTTGTTTTAACATAAAAATAACCAGAAAATAATCACGGTGGCAGGAATACTGAATATATGATCAAAGATACTTTTGTTGGGTTAAATTTTGTTTGTTATAATCACATTAATTTGACACTAGTCCTTAATGAAAGTAAAACAACATAACCTGATAAAAAAATGTATTGAGAACATTTTCCATCTTATGAAGATAAAGTGCAAATATTAAGACTGTACAAAACACAGGATGTTATTTACATCAACAATATTCACATTTGTAAGTTTCAGCTGTACGACCAGTCTGCTCGTATCATAAACTTCACACTGAAAAATGATTTACCCTGTTTTCTAAAGGTAATTCAGTTTTCATTCACTGTTCATTTCTAAATGCTTCAACTTTGTTCATTTTTAAAGTTACCATCCACAAAACTTACACTTCCTGCACAGATGTTTCAAAGTAAAAGTCCAGCAGCAGCTCAAAGACCAAAATTCATTCAAATGTAATTAATGAGTTAGTGTTAAGAATAGATATTCAGAGCAGCAGAGTAACATGACTGTCACACTAATGATATTAATTCTGTAGATTCAACATGGAGAGTCCTCCATCTCTTTCATCTTCATCTCCTCTTCTTCTTCTTCTTTCAACTCCACCTGAAGCTCGTTGGCTGAGAGAGAAACAAAGTTTGTTACTTCATCTGACTGAAAACTAAAATAACTGTTTGTTAACCTCATCTCTCAAACAGATATCATCACAGTAACAAGACCAAAAGGTCTTTTTTTAGTCTTTCAAAAAAAAATCTGAAACACAAACGCAAAAGTTGACGGAATGCAAGTTGCTAATGTTAGCATGTCTGGGTAAGCCAAGGTCAAGACGTCAAACATAACCACATAATACTGTGTTGACTACATCAGAGTTTATACTAATGTTATTGACAGACTTTGCCAATGATTAACTCCAGTTCCACTGCAATACAACTACTGTCCTGTGTTTTTATCCTGTGTCTTGAGTCATTAGCCTGTTAGCTTTAGCCTCAGTCTGTTAGCATCATATGTCCATGAATACTACTTTACAGTGTTCTCCCTTTAAAGTGAGTCATATGGAAACATTATCAATCATCTGCTGGAGGCAGTTTCAACCAGCTCATGGATCTAACGTTAGCTTAATTAGCTAACTAGCTAAAGGTGATAAAATCTCCTTGTGAAAGATAATTTCAGTATAATCAACGGTCGAGGGCAGGAAATGAAAATCTGCTGTTTTTTACTTATGTCCCTTATCAGGGACCAAGTTGAATCTGCAACTGTTAACACTGTAGACTGTATAAAGACTGAAAATAGAACATTCTAGAATGTAAGACTGTCAATATATGACAGGCCTAGCAACAGTAACTAGGGGGGCAGGCTTATAGAACAGTCAGTTAAATGTATTTGTGATTACCCTGCTCTCTGTTGTCAGTGGCATCGATGATCTGCAGCTCCACGTTCTCTCCATTCTGGAGAACCACCTGCTGGGTTCCTCCACCAGCCTGCTGCCCCACATCCAGCTTTTCCTCTGGGCCCGATGCCCCTGCTGACCCCCCTGCAGGGGTCTGGAGGAAGAAGGAGGGACTGATGACCAGGGGCAGGGAGGGCAAGGGAGGAGGAGGAGGAGGGAGCGGCTGAAGGATTCTCTGTCAGATAAACACATTTTGTACTTTAGTCAACTTCAGCTCCAGACTGATTCTGAACTGACTGACTCTGAACTGTCTGATTAACTGACTTATTCTGAACTGACTGACTCTGAACTGACTTATTCTGAACTGTCTGATTAAGTGACTGATTCTGAGATGATTCTGAAGTGACTGACTCTGAACTGACTGATTCTGAACTGACTGATTCTGAACTGACTGACTCTGAACTGACTGGTTCTGAACTGACTGATTCTGAACCGACTGATTCCGAACTGACTGGTTCTGGACTGACTGTGAATCGACTGGTTGTTGATGATGTCTCACCTGCAGCTGAGCAAAGATCTTCGGCTGCAGAGAGGTGAGAGAGCTGAAGAGCTGAACGGCTTCAGGAGACAAACAGTCACTGCTGTCCACGTCTACAGAGACAGAGACATTAGAACCAGTCCTCCACAGGCTGCTGTGTTCATGACACACTGTATAATCTACTGCACGTCTGTCCGTCATGTGGCTCTCCACATAATAAACAAACTACATCTGTTCTTCTGATCCAGGAGTCCCTGAGAAAAGTCTGAGAGGTTCTACAGGTCCCTGTGGAGCTCCTGCTTCAAGGGTTTGGTTTGAAGGTTCAGAGGTTTTGAGACCAGACTAGAATGAGCTTTAGGAAGGGTAAGGGTTGGAGTTGTGGTCTAGGTTAGACATGGTCATGGGTTATAGGGACCATAAGGGACCAATAAGATCACTCCCATCAATTACCATAAATTTACTGTTGATGTTCTGACAGAAAATATTAACGTTAAAAACATTTAATACACCTCTGCTGTTGCCTCTCTACACTGTTGTCCCTTGAAGGGCCCCTGACCTGTTCTGGTGGATTTGGTCATTGACTCTTTCAGATTATCTTTTGAAACAAAGAGTGAGCTTCACTTCATAATTAATTTAGTTGGACACATGTTATATAGTTGCAGAATAAATTTGATGAAATTTGATGTGTGTGTGTGTGTGTTACCTTCAGCAGCAGGAGTCAGTGTCAGTGTGACCGTCTTCTCCAGGGGGTCAGTACTGCCTTCTGTCCACTAGGGGGAGACAGTGTGAGTTGTTATTACTCTGACTGTACAGATCACTGTGCGTCTGACTCCGTGTGTCTCGTGTGTTTGTCTCTGTGAACAGATGATATTCTATATTTATGTTCTGGTGTGTCTGAATAACCTCGGTGGCGCTGGCCGTCAGC